ACTTGTTTTTTCCGTAGCTTATACTGAGACTGACTCGCTTCGTGTTTTTTTCCTGCTGTTGTCCCAGTCTTACCAATTCCTCCACAGTAGTGACTCTGCCCCAGAGCTGGCTCACCATATGTGGATTGACGTTCCTGAAGATCAGTTTGAGCACTGCAACTTCATTAAAACCTTTGACATAAGGAATGGTACATATAGGCAAAACCACAGATGCTTTCCACTCTCTCTGCCAGTTCTTCATCATAGTCCTCAGACAAAAAGGCAGTACAGAACTTTTTATGAAATGTTATGCCATGGTCCATGGTATTTAAACAAGCCACATCCCAGCATTGTCTCACTGTTCCATGTAGTCCCAGTGCACTGCAAAAATAAATAACCATCAATTCCGCAAACAAAGTTATATGGGTCTGTGTGAGTGTTCCAGTGTCTGAAAAATTCATTATATTTGGGAAAAGCCCATCGAGTTTTCCACAATTCAACACAATTCAGTCCAATCCAGTATCACATATAAAAAAGAATATTTAGAAGTCTGCTACAGGTCTTTTTGTGGGATCCCCATAAAACCAATAAATCAAACCAGGAATTCAGGATCAAAATCACTGTTCAAAATAGGGCAGCACGATATGGAGAAAAAAAGGATATTGTGATTATTTTGCCAGATACTGTGATTGCGGCCTTTAACTACGCCATGACAACTCCTGGAGACACTGTGAATGGAGAAAAAACAGTCCACCAGATTATTCCTCCTTCTGACAGACTCCAGAGAAGAGACTTTAAGACTAGTAGCTACAGTATTTTTTATTGTGTATTGTGACACTCCATGTGAGGGCAAAATAAAGCCAGTCCGAATGGAAGATGATACAGCTGAACTCATGTAATTTAATAATGCAAGCTCTGACTGATTCCAAATTTGGTGGGGACGTGGGGAAATTTCGATTATCTATGATGAAGATATTCATTTACTTTAAGTTAGCTTTGGCTGGGATTGTGACACACCAGGGTTTGTTAGAAAGGTCTGACCGTGCTGAATCCACAAATATATGATATGTAACTGTAGTGGGTATGGTCAGTGGTACACATTAAGAAATGTATGACGAGTGCTATCAAAAGGAAACTAAACTGAAACTATAATAAACTAACAATAAAGGAACAGAATATCCTTCAATATGGGTATCAAATAATTCATTGAATGTTTTTTATAAACTTTAATTTAAAGGATAAATAAGTGATCTAGATGCAATAAGAAATAATTTGTTTAAGTATCTTTAAATATGTATTTAAGACTAAATAACACTCAAAACTAAAATACAAAACATTGCCTGGTCTATTTTTTTCTTGGGTTTTCCATCTTTTGTATGCAGCATGTCACTCAGCCACATTATCCTCTGTCACACCCTGGCTCTTAAGGCATGACAAATATGAGAGATACACCACTTTAAAGAATAACAAAAAGGAATTTATTGAACAAGAAGTCAAATTATGAACTGAACAACTAAATACTTTAAATAGAGTGTGAATACCAGTGTAGTCAGTAGTGTAAGGTGTGCATGAGGGATAATGTGCGTGTATGTTGTAAAGTGTACAAAACAAAACATAAGATGAGGCCACGCTGCAGTCCTCACACCACTGGCAGCGTTCCTGCAAACAGAGAGCAACAAATTAATACAAATCAAACAATAACTTAGGACAACTCAAACAATGCAAACCAGAAGCAGCAGAGAGCTGGAATGGGCAACAGGGCCTTGATTATAAAACCTGGGAGCACCAATTAACCCCCAGTCAACGCCACAATCCGACCTGGCACAAACAAACACCAAACACTCAGTGACACCAGGGGGCGCCACACCTCTGTGATAAAATGTGTCATGTTTGTCAGTCCACTGGCACTGACTCACTCACTGAAATAAACCTGGTTTAACTGGTAGTCTTGCTTTATGAAACATTGTTTCAGTTTGGATGAGATGACCTGTACCTGGCTACTCGGAGGGCAAAGAAAATCGTCGTAAAAATATATAAACCACAATGGAAGACTTTTACTGATTAATTTGACCTTTATTTTACCAGGAAATCCCATTGATCAAAAATAAGATAGGATAAGATGTTCCTTTATTGATACCCTGTAGTGGAAATTCTAATTGGCACCGCAGTACAGGGAAATTTAGTACAAAGAGTAAAGAACGAGAATAAAATACAATGAAATATAATAAAATAATAAATAATAAAACATAAACTACATGTATATATAAACGGTTATATGGTAAGCGTACGTGTAAGCGTATATCTGTGCATGTGCAGTGTTTCTGAAGTATTGTGCAATAAAAGAGTTGTTCTGGACAGGTGAAGAGTCTCCTTCATTGCAGGTGGGAGGTACAGGGTGCTGTGGTGTTGTGGAGTTAAGTGAGACCTGGCCATGGTAGCCAATCACATATTAAAATACAACACATACAACATAATATACAAAAATCCACCATGAAGCAGAACTATTCAAACACAATGGCCTTAAAAACAACCACAAGCCTGCCACCACATTCTTTATGATGGCCTTAAATTCATCAGTGGAATGTGTTTAATTTTGTATCTTTTTGCAAATAATTCCATGTGCAAGGTGCATAGCAAGAAAGAAAATGCAGTCTGTCACAGCTGTCAAAACGCCGGGTACGTTCAAAGCAACCACTTTGAGGAAAGTAGCTCACAACTATCAGAGACAGAGGAGTGCTGTTGCCTGTGAGTGGTCAACGATGTCATCAAATCATAAAGAATGCAATAATGCACACTGAATCAAGAGGCAGCATGCATATAGAATATGTCACTGGGAGCAATCACAGACTAAAAAGTCCACAAGTGTTTTCTTTGCATAGAAAGTGAAGCAAGATTAGCCATGGTGCACTTCTAAAGAGACAGGATGCTGTCTCTGTTTGTTTGGCTCAACCCTGCAGAACTGTGTCACAGCCGCATTCAGACTGTGTACTGTCACTCCAAAAAACCATACACTCCTAAGCAACAGCATAAACAAACACAACAGGGTTGACCAATAAAATCCCACTGTACAAAGACAAATGAAAGTACATCCTTCTGTTAATGCTTTGCATATTATGTTTCCATAATACGGGGGCCCTGAGGTGCAAAACACAACAACATTGGACAAAAGCACAACAACAAAACAGAGCACACAACAAAATTTCAATTCAGATTTTATTCAAGATGCTCAGTGATACTGTATGACAGTAAACTCCCACTGATGCACTGACCGGCCATGGATATATGTTGGGATGCTACTGGGACTATTTCCCCCGGGATAAATAAATAAAGTATCTATCTATCTATCTATCTATCTATCTATCTATACCTTTGCCTTTGTTGTGGCAGGTCACTGTTACTTCCTGTTTTCTGTCGTTGCGCAAACGTTAAACTGAGCTTGAAAGGATGGAAGAAAAGACTGAAATCATATGGGGATATTTCAACGGGGCACATTTATAAGATGTCCTTTTTGATATGATTTCAACAAATCATGATATCAAAATGCCTCTTCAAACCCTGAAAACACACTTGAAAGAAGGACTGACCAGATGGAGCAGCATTCTTCATCACGTGACATCAGAGGAGCCATCTTATCCTATCCTTATTCCTACAGCAGAGTTGTTTCACCTGCAGGGATTTAATGGTAGAGCCTGAGGAAGGGTAGATCTGAGACTGAGAACTACTTCCAATTGGTTCATTGTAGGTCAATCCATGAGAGGGGTTTATCCATTTGGTTCCATGGTAGTAGTTGTAGAATTTGGGTACTTCAAGTCCTCATTGACATTTGTGCTTTTTGAGTTCTCAGCTTCATTCTTGGTTTATTGTAGGCAGAGGTGGCAAAGGTACACACATGTTTTACTTGTATGTACAGATGTACACTTACTTGTGTAAAAAAGCACTCTGGTAAAAGTAGAAGTACTGCTTCAACTTCTTTACTCAAAGTACCCAAAGTATGGAAAAGTACTCTGTTGGTTTCACTGAAACCTGCTCTCACCAACCCTTTGCTGCATTATGGGCATATTTGACCTCTTTGAGCCAAACTAAATAATTGTTTTTAAATTGAATTGTTTTTATTTTTTATTTTAATTGTATATGAAGGAGTAGTTTAAATTGATATGAAACAAGTAGAAAAAAAAAAGAAAAAAGAATCCTATTTTTTATTAGATCATGTCGGGCCAGAGAGGGAGATGGAGGAAAGGGCCCCTGGCTGGCCGTTGGAGGTCCCTGTTCTTTCTCTATTTCAGGGTTAGTCAACTTAGAGTTCAGTTGGTTAAATAAACTAGTTGAACAAACTGGCCCCTGGTTTATTGTGTTGTTTTTTAAATGGTGATTTCATCTGTTCATTGTGCTTTCTAACACCTAAAATGGTGTGTTTTTTGTAATGTTGTTTTGCACCTCAGGGCTACCTTGCCATGAACTTTATAGATTACTAATAGAGTCATTCTAGGTCGCCAACACCTTTGGGACTTGCTGAAGTAAATTGTAAATGGACATTTAGGAGGCTCTATTGTCAGAAATAGAATATTCATAGGTATGTTTTCATTGGTGTATCATTTCATTACCTTAGAATGAGCCGTTTTTAGTTCTGTTTTTTTTATCTCTGTCCTCTTCCACGGAGTCCGCTATGTTGACCCGCCATCTTTCTACAGTAGCCCAGAACGGACAAACACTGGCTCTAAATAGGGGCATTTTCACGCATTTCATGGCCACCGTAGTTCTCGTTTGCACAGGGAGGTTGCTTCTTATATATCATCTCATCTAGTCACTGTAGTTGGTTACTTTAGTGGTGGTGCATTAGCATGTTTCTTCTCCTTGGTAAGAACAGAATTCATTCCAACAGACAGCATCACACTGACATCTAGTGGAATAAAGCCAGTGTGAATCTGTGCTGTGTTGTCAGAATGATTTTGCATACGGCAAATTCAAAAAGGCACTGCAAATCCATAAAAACATTGTTTAATTAAGAGACTTCGGAACCTGCCTTTAATGGAAAATATGTAGCAGCATTTTATTTTAAAAAGTCAAATAGAAATCTTACATTTCGGTGGTGTGGGGGGGATGCAGGTTGGGATTAAAATAAAAGTTAAATACAATCAATATCTTAGCTTCTGAAGCCCAGCTGGTTCACTTGTCCATCTAGGTAGCCAAGCTACTGGTCCCTTGGCAAAACATGGCCATGTTTTGTCCAATAAAATGGCATGAGTAGAACCAAAAACAAGAGTAACACACTATTTCATACACACACACACACACACACACACACACACACACACACACACACACACAAACATACATACTTCCCCCTCCATCATGCAAAGCCCACTTTTATAGCAGCACATAGAGCCAAATATGACCCTAGGAATAGTTTTTGGGCAAATGAGGCCACTAATAGATTAAAAACAGCAATCACCAAACACACACACACACACAAAATTAAGTAGAGACTCCATAAAATGTCCATTCAATTTGGCCACTGCATAGAAAACAAAAAAAAAAGGCAACCACCAAATGTAGGTGTGGTTGGTAATTAATGCAAGCATTCGGGTGCAATGCTGTTCAAAAATAAAAATCTCCTCTCGAGTCGTCCCATCCTGACAGTCCTGTGTATTTCGTCCAAACCGGAGGGTTAAATAGGTAAGATTCCTGTGGGGAGAGAGACCATCCAAACGGCGTTTCCCCAAATTAGCCAAAGGAAGTGTGCACGCACACGTACGCGCACACACACACACACACACACACACACACACACCCACTACAGAGACATTTAAAAAGCACCTGGATCCAAGTAATCAGCCTGACTTTGAAAGGAGAAAATACTATTTCCATCAACGTTTCTCCACTGAAAATCCATCATACGTGTGTGAACTGGTACTGCAGAGTCGCTGTTCAGAGGCAACACATCCGGGTAGCTTTACCTCCACTTACAGTTATAATATAAAAAATCTAATTAGGATTTGTTGTCGTCTTGTCATTTTCAGTGTTCCCTTCGCTACTTTGGAAGGTGCCGTTCTGGGGATGGAGTACGCATCCTCGGTTTGATTTTCAGCACTGTGGCGTCCACTCGGACCAACTCTTCAGTTTTCTCACTGCTCAGGGGCGGAGTCAGGACGCCTGAAGGGACAGGACAGTTGCTGCGACACTCCAACTCCACATCCTGGTAAGAGTAGGCCTTGTCCTGTAAACAGCAGACATACAGATTAACTGTGCTGTCACTACAAGGGCAGTAGAAGGGGTTTCTCTGCACTTTCCTAAATATCTGAGTTTGAGACAGGCTCATCAGTGCTCAATCAGGTCCATTATGCACATTATACAAGCATACTGTGGAAATTTGAAACCTCCAACATTTAGATATTTTCTATAAAAAAATATTTTTACATGTCCTGTGTTCTTAGGGAATTTTTGTCATGTAAAAGTCTATTACAATACTTTAACTTACCAGCCATGTAATGTAGGAGGCATGGGTCTGGATGTTGTGCATGTCATCTGCAGGGATTCCAGTGAATGTTTTCATGGGAGATCCCCCAACCTCCCGCAGCGCCATGGCAAACGGCTCCATCCACCTCACGCACAACTCTACCTCCACCCACTTCAGAGCTGCACAGGCAGAAGGATGAACAGAAGTCATGACAACGCAACCAGGGTAACGCCAGCAGGAAAAAGTTTACTTGGATGTTGTAACTTTTGCTCAAGAACTCTCAAATGAAGAGAAGTTGTTTTTACCTGACACTTTTTCCACCACTTGTAGAGAGGAGAAGTGAAACAGGGCTGAAGCAGCGAGGATGCCATTGGAGAACTCGAGGCAACGCACATCTAGCATACACAGGTCCAACAACTAGAAAAGGGAAACAAAATACAAACAACTGTTTTTAAACATCAGAGGATACCTCCAGACTAGTACCACAAAATGGAGGTTCTTGCAAAAAATGCAAGTCTCGACCGAATAATCAGTGGTCTTTGTATACATACTGCTTCTCACAGGTCGTATGGGGGGGGGGGACTTTAAACACAGCATCCTCTCGGAAAATGGAGAACTGTTCCCTCTCTTACTGTGCTCTACGCTCGACTGTTACAGTGCATAAACCACTGTGTGCGCTTTTCATATCAGCAGGCTTTATGTTTTTTTCTCCCCAGTGTCATTCCCTCTTAGTGAGTAACAGGTGTTGTAGTATTTCTGTGCCACTTTGTGGGTACCAGGCGAGGTGCCCTTGTCCCACTGACAATAACCTTAAGAGGGCAAAGCCTACATGAATTACAATCTGGAGTAACAGCAGTAGTAGACATCCATATAGTGTGTATAGTATGGCCTCCTATTTCTGTCATTGCTCAGTACCAAACTGATTTATCAAATTATTAGCTAGGAATTCCAAAAACCCCCCCCCCAAAAAAAACAAACATACCTCTGCAATCTGTGTGAAGGTATCCTGGGGGTATTTGGGCAGGAGCAGCTCATCTGTCTCTTTCAGGTAGGCCACCTGCATGTAAACATTGAGCCAGGAGATGGGAGTCTGTGGGCTGAGACTCCACTTCAGCTCCTGTGTTAGAAAGACAAAGAGCAGATCGGCTGTTAATGTCAGAGACGGAAAACCATCACAACTTGGAACTTTAATAAATTCAAGATTTTACATGATTCCAGGGATGTGACAACTAAACCTTTTGGCGCAGACTTGCTCGAAAATGACGTGATGAAAGACAATGAAGAGAACGCCATTCGTGATTTATGTTATGTTTATTAAAGGGACAATAATTCCAAGTTCTAGCAAAGCTACGTCAGTTGGGGTAGATTGGATATGTGATACTTGTAGACCAGTACATACTGATGTGTCATTGCTCATAGTGTGAATGTTCTTTACCTTCATAATAATGATTTCCATACTGAGAATCTCATCTTCGGTGCAGGCTTCGTCTGTAACATAGGCAAACTGGTGGACTTTGGGAGGATACATCTCCTGGGAGAAGCAAACAGGTGGGACGAGCGTTATAACAACCAATCACACAGACAGACCAATATTGGAGGTACAATCTCAGATGGACCACAGCCTGTTTAAAAACCAGGGATCAGTCCAATCCTTCTCACCTCTACTTTGGCAGCGATGAAGAGACAGGTAATGCCTATGAGCTGCAGAGTTGATTTGAAGACGTTTCTCTGAGTGGACATGAAGCGATCAAAGTAGTCCTGAGCGAGGTGGTATGTCTCCCTGTGCAGTTTGTACACCTCACTCACCTAAAACAGGAACACAAAGAGAACATGCAGTGCACCGACTTCAAACCATATCCACTAGCAGGTCTGCTTATGTGAGTAACTACGGACACTAAATGGTATCAAGAAGTCCTCAATGATGGAACATGTATTCATCCGCAGACGTTTGCCTAAGGGCAAAGCTGTATTGCTATGCTAACAAAGTCATTTTGTGTCTTTGCTGATTAGTGTTATTACCATTTTATTTCAAATATTAAAATAACTGAATGAGTCTGGTTTCTCAGTACATTTCCACACACTGTTTCACAAACAGATGCAACCAAGAGCAAAGATTCAGAAGTGGTTGAAGGCACAGGAAACTGAACTTGTGGTGGGTTGGGTGTTAATTGTGTATGATGCCTTGCCATCAAGCTCTTTGAAATGTCACAAACTGCTGTAAATTGCTTCAATATTTTATTTCCTAGTTCAGATGCTGGGTTTTAAACCCATTTGGGTTGTTTGGTCACGAGGAAAATCGGTTCCAGATATGGAACCTTAAATGTGTGATGTGTGACAGTCAGACGTATTAAGTTGACAGGAGGTCATTTCTGTGAAATGTCGGGACAGTGCAGGACTATTACAGGAAAACATTTGAGGCAAAAAATTATATATAATTTCAAACATCGCCTGATACAGAACAAACTGAGCTGTAAACTGTTTGTGTAGCTCAAACGGATGAGGTTTTTTAATTATTTTTTTTTACTACTACTACTACTACTACTACTACTACTACTACTACTACACCCATGCCAAGGACTTCACCGGGATTGGGATCCTGTGGGTCCTGTTTATTGATATTTGAGTTATTGATAGTCCGTCAATGTTCTTCTTTAAAGTCTAACATATCCAACCTACTACATTAAATAGACAAAACTAACTATCTCATTGTTGAAATTTACAACATTACTGTACTCTTCCAGAAAGAATGACATTACCAAATCTGATCTAAAGATGTTTTGCCACACAATACTGTTAAATATCACTTTACAGTTTTTAACCACACGACAGTTACGCATAATTACCCACAAAACACATCTGAAGACAAAAGCAGGAAGAGAGAACTTAGCATTGTTCTAAGGGAGCCCAACGTGGGAGTCGCAAGGCTGTTTTGATTTTTAGGGGTGTAGGAAAACTTTACAAACATATACAGTAGGCCTATATCTCAGAATTTCAGCATTTATGTGGAGAAAAGGTTTAAATTATTATTATAAATCCTAAACATATTAAAAACTAATTTCTAATCTATCATGTAAATCATTCAAATTGCTTTTTCCCCCACCAACTTCCTGCAGTTATTGTGGTCTCTGTTTAGGTTCATTGTACAGTTTATCAGTTGTTCTGTATGTGTTGAATAGAATATGAAACATCTATATGGGTCACTTAGTCAGGACTCATCAGTTTACTCAATGACCACTGATCTACGGTGTAGTTTCCACTAGCACCAGTTCTACAGTCATGAAACTAAATACTACGTTCTGTAAGGTTCAAGGATTTTGCGTTCCTGTGCTGTCTACAGCTGCTCTTATCAGAAAGCATAAGAGCCAATTTAAGTCATACTGTGCAGGCCAGTAGATGGTTATAAATGCAGCCCCCCCCCCAAACACACCTGAAATGATCAAAATGAAAGTCATTACATACTTTGGTGTTGACAAAAGGGGTGTCACACTGATCACCTAGACATGCTACCGACCTCCATGAGCCAGTCCAGGAGAATTGCCCTCATCTTGGGCTGCAGATGAGGATGCTTCTCCATCATGTGAACATCCCTGGTATAGGTCTTGTCCTTCTCCAGCATGTTGTTCCACACCACATCCTTACTGGCCCAGCTGGTAACAACACAGGAAGGACACAATGGTAACTCTTGTGCAACACATTTTGCACGTGTAACAGATGTATTTAAAGTGACCACATAAACCACAAGAACAGAAAATACTGAGTGAACACTTCAAGTGCTCAAGTTCCTACAGGGCTTGACAGGGCTGTATTTTAGCTGCAGTTAGGGAGGTAGTGATTGAAGGTGAAGGAGAAAAATTATGAGCGGCAACCGCAGACAAAGGAACGCTAAAAGAAGCCTGAGCTTTACTTATATATGTCTTTAATGTGAAACACACCAGTATGTGCTAGGATATCATAGAGCACCTGAGATAATCCACAGTACTCACCACAGCGCAGGAAGCGGGGCACAGTGTACAGGGGTTGAATATATGTTGTTTACGTTGTAGTTGGGAATGCATGCATTTATCTGGACAACTGTTTGGTCCACTTCCTGATCAGGTGTGGGGATCCACCTGTGTGGACTTGGGTAATCAGGATCAGGACTCCAGCCCGGCTTCACAGGAGAGGGGGAGAACAGACAGGTGACATTAGAAAAATGCGAGGGTAAGATCACAGAAAGAAACATGTTGTGATATGCCTGACTCCATACATGAAAACCTGAAAGGGGAGTTAGCGCAACTCCCTAACTAATGTCAAGTACTAGTTAAGGCAGAATTAACAACAGATCAACCAATGTGTGCTTATGGAATGAGCCAACAAGCTTGCGTAACATTTGATACAGTACAGACCAAGGGGTGAGAATCCGTGAGCAGGCCATGGATACATGAACAGAACTGAGATGTGGGTTAAGACTAGAGTGAGGCATATTTTTTGCCACCAAGTGCTCACCTCACACTCACGCTGCTTCTTCTTTGTCATCTCTGCTACCTCCTCATCATCCAGATCTGGTAAATACTGAGGAGCACAGAAGGATTCAGTTGTAGTACCGTTTGTCCCACAGGATGGTTACTGATAATCACATTTGAAGTAACATGTTCTCAATTACGAGCCCACCTCAAAAGCAGGAAGAGAGCCTAGCATTGGCACCAAAAACGAGGCTAGTCTGTATGTGATTCAGTTCACAAAGAGCACAGAGCTGATCAGATCAATTTCCAGCGCACATGAGTTTGTAAAAAGGTAGAAACTGAATCATGTCCGATAGGTGTTTTGCTTTGTAAACGATTTGTAAAAACAAATAAAATAAATGCAGCAATGGTCAATATGAGCTGTATTGACTTGCCAATAATGATGAATATGACAGAGTGGTGTAGAGGTACCTGAAGAAGTGGGTATTATCTAAATTTATGCCCTCATTTTTATTTTTTGCCCGTCCTGAAAAGGATAAATTTCCTACTCTCACACCCGAAAATAGACCAGCAGTATTTACACATTGTCGTTTAACTTCTGTTGCCTGACTTTAGGGAGTAAAGAGCTTTAAGAAATTAACACTGGCTACAGAAGAATCGATCCTGGCCCACTGACAGGTGAGCCAACTAAATAGATATGCATTTTGAGTCCTTATTTCTTACTCCGGGGATCTTAAACTGCTGTTTGAGGGGCCAAAAAAAGTCAGCTCGCAGAACCCTATTGAGTGACACAGCAGCAGAGGGTATTTAGAAGTAGATATACCCAATGCAGGCTGAAAAATAAGTGGTTGGGTATGCCCTGCTTTACCCCACTGATGTGACACCAGTTTTACATTTCCACTAGAGCTGAAAATGGGGCCACTTCTCGGCTAGTCTGCAAGCCTTTCAGACTACTTACAATGGCAACATCTGCCTTCCTCTTTCTCGGTCGTACTGTACTTTCCTTGGGCGCCTCGGGAGCAACAGACTTCGGTTCTGTGTCTTCCCTAAAGCAACAACACAGAACAAACAAGTAGCTGTAAGTCTCGGGGTTAGCACAAAACATTTCAAAAAGCTTGAAAATACGTGTTAATGTGGTCAAATTAAGGTCATATAGCAACAAGCTAGCTACCCGGATGGCTAAAGCTCCCATCAACTTTCCCTTCTGTCGTCACACACTTTGATTGCCGCGCTTAAACGAGCAATGGATGAAATAAACATGGAACTCACCGTTCTCCCCGCATTATACTCAGAGGGATGTGTGTCAGTTTTGGAGTAAACCTGTGAATGAGAAGTGTTTTTTTAGTTATTTTCTGGGGTTTAAGGAAACACATTCATTCACTCCCAACCCCCACTCTCAACTCCCTCCTTCTGACAAAGCCCAACTCAGGCGACGCGGGGAAATGCGAACTGTACGCGATGCTAAAAGTCGCCAGAAAAGTAGCACCTATTGCACGTACATTCATGAAATTAGTCTGAGACAAACATCAGACGCTGTGCTGGCTTCTTAGCGTTGTTATTTCGCGTATTTTTAGGGGGAACCTGGTTATTTCCCCCCAACTAACTTTGGACAGCTGGCTTGCCACATAATGGCCGAACGACAGGCAGAAATGGGACACCAACAATGAACAGTAACAGCAACAAACACCCAACTAACACGGCGACATTTAAGTATGAGCATCCATAGGAAAACCTTTAGGTGAATCAATTAACCGCGGTTCAACTTGGTCTGCTTCAGCCAGCGTTTAACTCAGCTTAAAGTTGCAGCTGAAGCTTAGCTTAACTAACTCGAGTTTCTTTCCATCCACTCACCTCAAGATTCTGCCCTTGAAGTTCACTCTTTATCCACTTTTTGAAAAAGAAGTGAGTATTGTGTAAGTTGACCGCCTGTTTTTCCGACTCGGGGGTGCTGTGAGTGAGTGAGTGTGTGTCCAGGCCAGGAGCAGCTTGTCCTCTGAGCAGGCGCCTTGCAGAGAACAGATGACTTGAAGCATCAACGTCAGGGAGGAGTAGCTTTAACTTGGCGCTAAACCCCCAACTCCGCCGCCTCTTTATCAACTATATTCAGCCCCATTCACCACAGTTTCACACCCGTAGCGTGTGTACAGCACACTTGTTTGATACAGTCGGTCTATATTGTGCTAAAGAAAAGGAAAAATACTTTTTATAAACTGAAGGCGTGACTGCTGTTGGTGACAGCTGCGGGGGCGGAGTTTCCAACGAGGAAGTGTTCGCTTACCGCGTGGCTAGTCTGTCAGATGTAAACAAAGCCGCGGTCCTTTGGATTCAGCCTCAAATATAACATAACACGGCCAAATTATGGTGAAGTAACTGAGCCTTTTCGTTCTGTGAACTCCACGTAAGGTTGTCACTCACTGTCACCCTGGGCGCATCTATTATTTAGCAAAAAAATAACTATGTTAGCCTGCGGATGCTTCTGTCGGCGCCCATTTCCCGCATGGGTTGCCATATATCCTCCTATTTCAACCACGCGATCTTCTACAAACTAACCTGCTGCACTGCTAAATGCGTTTTCATCCAGGTTCTGCTGTAAATTAAGATAAACAATCGTTTTATATACTACCGGCTTGATATAGATTTTGAGGATGGTCTACTGTTTATAATCTTATTCGATTAAACTAATTTGACCTTTGGCCAGTCACGTGATCTGCATGCATAGAAAGACTGAAAAACAAGATTTTTTTTCTTTCAGCTCCCTGGATTCTTTACAAAAACGGCAACATGAAGTTTTTGGACCTTTTTGGGCGCCTGAAATCTGTGGTTATTGGAATGATTCACGTTAAAGCCTTACCAGGTAAACTGCACTGACCTCTGCCTCAATGTTCTAATGTAAAGCTGTCAGTGGTGGATGAAGACATTCAGTTTCTTTACTTTAGTAAAAGTAGCAATACCACACTGTAAGAATACTCCATTACAACTGTCCTGCATTGAAAATGTTGAAAAAGTTCTCAATGCAGAAAAATGGCCCCAGTGAATGTTATACTGTTATATATTACATTATTAGATTGCCCATGTATTAATGTGTAAGTAGCATATATCTGTTACAGTTGGTGTAAGTGAAGCTAATTTAAACTACTTTACTGTTGGGTAGTTAGGAGTTAGGGGACCCCCACCCTTGCAGGTGTCCCCAGAAAAATGGGGCATCATTTATTAAACTACTATTTCATTGACTAGAAGTTAGCTCAACGAGATAATCTAAAAGAATGACTATTCTGTTCATACAGCGGGTTTCACACTTTTCACTGTTAATCTGCCAACCTACTGTATAGACAGTTATATTATCAGACGGTGGAGACTACATCTTATCACATATAGGTCTGCAGCCTGTGTTTAATTTGGGGGTCCTTGCCACCAAAGAGGTTGAGAACCACTGGTTTAACAATGTATCATATTTTATTAAGATGATCATATTTGTTAAGTTACTAACCAGTAACTATAACTAATGCTAGCTGAGTAAAATTTACAATATTCTCTCTGAACTGTGGAGTAGAAGTGGAAAGTGGAATGAAATGGAAATACTCAAGTCAACTACTTCAGTATAGTATTTGAGTAAATGTACCTAGTTGCATTGCAGGACTGCAGATCTGGGAGCATTTGTGATATCTCGTGCTGTATCTAAGCAAGTTTGTCGTCTATCTCAGGCACCCCCCTGGGTTGTATGAAGATGTCCCAGATCACTGAAGAAGCATGCAGGGAGGCAGCAATCTACCGTGATGCAGGGGTTGTGAGTTATTGCACATTGTGTGCAAATTCCTTACACATTTGAAGTCTTTCCAGGTCTGCCAGTAACCACCGCTTGTATACCCCTCTTTCAGGATGGTGTAATCATTGAGAACATGCACGACATCCCTTACTCCTTCTCCGTGGGCCCTGAGGTGTGCACCTGTATGACTGCAGTGTGCACTGCTGTGAGAAGCATCTGTCCATCGCTGCCACTCGGAGTGCAAATACTTTCCTCTGCCAACCAGGAGGCGCTGGCTGTGGCTCTGGCTTCAGGTTCAGTCTTTGCGTTGGTTAAATGATCATTGTGCTGGATATGAGGCTGTAATCATCTTCAGCCAAAGCTTTCAGGACAGAACAGAACAGAACAGAGGTCTTTAGTCATGTGTTATCATGGGCCAAAGTTGAAACAGATTTTCCTAGCAAACAGATTGAAGTTGTGTTAATCAGTGAAATAAGCTGCTGTGTGTTTGATATTCACCATTAAACTGTGAATGGAGGTCAGCTAATTGTGGTTCAGACTTAGCCACAACTTTGACACAGTCACTGTTACTGTATGGTCGCAGGTCTGGATTTCATCAGAGCTGAGGGTTTTGTCTTCTCTCACGTGGCTGATGAGGGTTTCCTGAATGCCTGTGCCGGGGGCTTGTTGAGATATCGCAAGCAGATTGGAGCTGAGCATGTGCAGATCTTCACCGACATCAAAAAGAAGCACAGGTCAGATCACCATATGTACAGTTTAAGTAGTAAGTAAAACCTGTTGAGTCACTGATAGGCAAAAAAAAACTTGAAAGCATATTTGACAATTTATATCTCTGAATACAACTGTAGTGAACAAAGATTCATAGAGATTTAAGGTCTTTTAGTTTGTCAATAGCCTCAAAGTTAATTTGTTGGACCCAACTGCCAATTGGGTTTTGGTGAATTTAAATCTGTAGTTTTAAAAAAAAGAAATATTTATCAAACTGCTGAAAGTGACATTTTGCTGCTTCACCAAAAACACTTTTGTTACACACTCTTTTTGCAGTTCTCAGGGGTGGAAATGATTTCCTTTTTCATGCAGCAAACTGTTTCAATCTGTTTTGGAAATGCTACTGCACTGTGTCCTATAAATGCAGACTAACATTGTGAGCAAGTGCTGTCCTGTATTGTCAAGAAAAACTTTCTTAAAAAGAGTGGGAACCCTGTTTTGGTTTTCAGTCACTTTCTTCATTGTCTGCACTTGTCAGAGGTAGTAAATGCCCTTAATATACTTATTATACTGTGTGTTTCCTCTGAAGTGCAGCTGAATTGTCTCCCTGCTTCACTTTGGTTTTCTCTTTGTTTTTGTGTCAGTCAATTTCTTGCCTAATTTTCCCTCTCTTCATTTCTTTATGTATTTTACAAATACTGTTAGTGATTTCACATGTGATTCACTTATGGAAATAATAAGGATTTTACGCAAATTAACTTAAAGGACCAGTGTGTAGGATTTTTCCTCTGTAGATAAAAACAGCTCATTCTGAGGTAACAAAAACACAACAATTCTTGTATTCAGGTGATTATACACTAATGAAAACATACCTATGAATATTATATTCCATTTCTGACAATAGAGCCTCCTAAATGTTACACACTGGACCTTTAATAAAATATAAAGTCATATAGGCATGTGCAGAATAACATTACATTATCACTCATTAGAATGTAAGGATGTTTTGTAAAAGAAAAAAGAACAGTGCGGCAGATGTGGGTTAAATCCTCGTCTCTGGCTATTCTCTCTTAGCATAGAGCTGCTCATAAAGGTTAGTCGTACACTTTGATGTAAGTAAGAGAGAGCTTGATGAATAGCTTCTTTTTAGTGGAAACGTCGGCTCTTGTTGGCTCTAGTAAGTCATCAGTGAACTCCCACTTTGTATTTTGTAAGTTTGACACCCCAGCTGTTGTTCTTAGTTCCAGTTTTCAGTCAATTTTACAATGCATTTTAATTTGATTTAATTTAACCCTTTCAGCCCACTGTCTAGAGTTAGTCTCAGTTTTACTCTGTGCGCGCACACTGACTGTGTGTGTTTTCCCAGCTCCCATGCCCTGACATCAGACGTGAGCATTGAAGAGACGGCCCGTGCCGCCGAGTTCTTCCTCTCCGACGGACTCGTCATCACAGGAACGGCCACTGGGGTGCAGGCTGACCCGTGGGAGCTCAGAGGTACTGCCACAAAAACTCCATACAACCAGGAGCCATATGGTGCTGCAACAAATGCAAATTGAAACTTTGGCATAATTTTGGAAAGCAAAATAGGGCTGCAATAGCTATTTTTAAAATTGAGTTGTGTTATTTTTAATTAATCATCAATCTATAAAATGTTGAAGCTCCCGTCCAGTCAGAATTCAGTGTTTCTTCTTGTTCTTACAGTGTGCTGTTTGAATGCTGTCTGTGCAGAGTTTGGCACTGGAAGGATGTTTTCACATTCATCTGCTGAAAGTAGAAAGTTTCTCTGTGATCATTGAAAATCAGATTTTTAAGGGGCGGGACCTACCAGCATGATTTGTGACATCACTACAAATAGTTAGGGAGTCAGTCCTGGTCCAGTGTGCAACTTGTAAACTGTGATGTAGAAACTTGAAGCCACCAGTGCACATCCACTGAGAATGGACTTTACAGTGAAGTAGGAGACATCTTGTGTCCCGCAGGGAATTAAAATGTGCATATTCATATATTCTAAAACTATTAATGTAGTAGAAGGAGTAGATGTCTTTTTAAGGATTTTCATTTAGAAATAATACACACAAGACATAAGACACACATTATTGTTCAAAGCAGACTATACATGTCTTAATGGATGACTGAAAGGGATCTTTAAAAACCTAAAAGTAAATAAAACTAAGAAAATAAAGTAACATCCCAAATTTGAGAGCTACTGTACACTATGTAATTAATTTTAAGTCAGTGCCCTGTCTGTCCACTAGAGGACACCCTCACCTGTAGTGACACCCAATGAGAGTTCCTGACAGCACTGCTCAGTATCCTCTATTGGCCAGGACATTGTAGATTCAGACCAGTGATCAACAGTCACCCAATATGGAACCCATCTGAAGCGTGGCCACACTGTGGTTTAGTGTAGGAATGCTGGATATGCGCGCTCACTCTGTCCCTGTCTCTCTCTCACACACACACACCATATACAGTGTTAATGAACATTAGGTTACTCTGAACTCCACTGGGTGGGACAGTTTTGTTGAGTTTTAAAAGGGAGAAGCCTCAGTGCCTGACCAAGCGATTGCTGACTCACTGGTGGTGATCAGCGAGCTTATGCACTCTGAGCAAGATACACTTCATTCATTCTGTATCCCTCCTAGAAGTGAAGGGATGGACAGCCATTCTCATTATTTAACTATTCTACTAGAAACAAATACAAGCACACACAGTAAGAGTAACTGTGGTTGCTATTGGTGAAGTACCACTGAGTCCTGTTTTATTTGTTACAGCCCTTAATGACGGCTGGAAGTCCAGATGTGGAAAGAGGCAAAGTACTACATTTACCTAAATACTGTAATTAAAGATCCCCCCAGACATGTATTAACACATATATATACAAATAGCTTGGAACAGTATTGTGTGTCTGATGTGTTTTTCCACAAACAAAACTATAATTGCGAAATGAACACTTCCAGAATCTCAGAATACGCAAATTTTTCAAGATGTCTCCTACTTCCCTGTAAAGTCCGTAAAGTAAAAATTTCCGAGGAATCACTGCTTATTTGACAGCTATTCTTACTACATATATGATCATCTTAATAAATATAATGCAATCTATAAAGTAGTTCAAATAAGCTCCATCTCAACAGGCTGCAACATAAAATACTGCTTATATGTCACATGTATTGGTGATAATGATCCAGTGATATAACCTGTATCACCAACTTGTATAAGGAGTACCTGCACTTTTGATATGTAAAGGACCAGTTTGTAGGATTTAGCAGCATCTAGCAGTGTAGGTGTAGATCACAAATCTGTCACTTTACCCGGCTGTTCAAAGCCGGAGGGGGAAATTACCATGGCGAGAAATGCGAACATACCTATCGAGAGCCAGTGTTGGTTTGTGCCTTGCTATTTTAGAAACATGGATATATAGATCCTCCGTTTACATATTTGCTGAAACTTTCACTATATCCTGACAGTAGTACACGAGACAGATAATCTGTGAAACAATCAGGTTCCTCTGGCTCCTCCTAGAACTTCTAATGGCATTTGCAAGAATCCATCGGGCCTGAATGAAAACAACCAATCAGAGGTGAGAAAGATGGTTGATTGCTGAGTCTCATTGACAGGGCCTCAAATACAGACACTGTGGGACTCTGGGAATAGACTCAAGAATCAACTATCTTCAAGCCTCCAACCCAGAACACCGTTCTATCTTTCTTGGCTCTGATTGGTTGTTTTCGTCCATGAGGAGCGCTAGGAACAGAGGAACATGATTTTTTCACTGTCTCTTACTACTACTGTCAAAACACAGAGAAACTTTCATTAATAATGACAAAACGTTATTTTTATAAAAGTTACCTACTGCAGCTTTAAGCAGATTTAGCTAGTATTACCTCTGTACTTTTACTTGAATAAATTATTAAATGCAGGATGTGTACTTGTTGGATGGAGTAATTCTACCATCATTTGAATACTTTCCTCCATCAGTGGCTTATTCAGCAGCCAAGGGGGCAGGTTTGTATCTGCTGAGAGTCAGTGGGTCTGAAGTCTGAACTCTCCAGGGCTGCTATTTTAAGCAGAGTGTCTCCAACGCGACACACAAGACTGTAAACACTTGGGGCAAAACAGGCACACAGCCCTGGATTCTAGCACGCGAGTGAGCTGTCACACATGAGAGCAAACACACACAGAGATACATCTCTCCTCTTTTACCTCACACATGCACTCTTTAACAGACACTGGTCAGCCCGACAGAATGATACTAGAGCTCACATGCTGGTGTAGAGTGGCCAAAGTTCACCATGTGAATCATAACCTCTCTTGATTTAATCTTACAACAGACACTGTGGGTGACATTCATGAACGAACATTTAAAAAATCTGTCTTGTGGATTTGTGTGGATTTTTAAGACCTGGTTACTACTGTTGTGCTGTTTCTTTGCTTTTGCAGACGTTTCCCAGTCTGTGAAGATCCCAGTGCTCATAGGTTCTGGAGTGACCTATGACAACATTGAACGCTACATGGATGCAAATGGGATGATCATCGGTTCGCATTTCAAGGAGGGCGGCCACTGGGCCAATGCAGTCGACCCGGCGCAAGTGAAGAGGTTCATGGGAAAGAGACGTGACCTTCTAAAATGAGAAATAAAATGAGAGAATGATGTTTAAAGAGGCCATATAATGCTTTTGGAGGCTTTTCCCTTGTGTTATATAGATTTGTTGTGCACACAGTTACAGTATTCCATCACATTGTGAAAGGCACCACATATAGGCTAGGTCATTAGTTTTCAAGCAGAGCGGGTTGTAGGGGGTCCGCAGCATAAAGGGGAATAGAATATTGTAACTTTTATCGCATTTTGTGGAAGTTCGAACAAATAGGGATAGCCGTTGTTATTGATTGTAATTGATCCTAGTATGATTGAATATGAAGACTTTATAATCTTGAAACCTCAAAATAAAAAAAAATACTCTGAAGGGATCCCTTAAGTGTATAACATTTAGAGGATCTGAACATCTATATCTATAACATAGAATATTCATAGTTATGTTTTCATTAGTGTATAAACACCTGGAAATAAGAATTACCATAAGAGTTAGAATGAGCTGTTTTTAATTTACAGAAGTCACCTTCGATGGAGGCCGCCATGTTTCTACAGTAGCCCAGAAGGGACAAACACTTGGTCTAGATTGGGGCGTCACCGTATTTTCTCCTTCTGGCTTGTAAGATGAGGGTGAAGCAACACTAAATGCCGCTAAATCCTACACACTGGTCCTTTAAGATAAAGCCCTCTCAAATCTGGGGTCTGTGGTCTAATGTGCATCTATAGTGGAGGCCCTTGACATGAAAAGGTTTGGGAGAAAACTGTGTGTCAGACAGAGGGGGAATAGAGGTGCTGCAGCAAGGCCAGTATGAGAGAAAGAAGAATGTGTTTTTTGAACACTGAAGCATGTAAATCTATTATAATAAACCCCCAACATCAACCTGAAAATGAATCTAATATGGCCACTTTAATTCCACTGTATAATCACTGTAAGTACAGCCACATTTAACACACACAGCCACCACCTTAAGAAAACAAGATTTATTTGCATTTTTTTTTTTTTTACATTTTATACAAATAGAAAAACATAATATTCAACTGTATTTACACTTGTGAGTCTAAAACAGACAATCTGTGTCACAAGGAAAAGTACCTGCTGAAAACTACAAAACGGTAGACTCAATACCAGCAGTGGTTTTGTAATTATACCTTACGACTCAGTCAGGAACAAAAGGAACATTTATCTTAAGAAATTCACAGAGCATCGTTATATTTTTGCACAAAATGAATGCTGTACAGGTCGATGTGGTATGAAATTAACTTTAAATACACTCAACAAAAACGTCTAAAGCTAAGGCATGTAATACAATACATACAGAACGCAGCCAGGGAATAACCAGTCCAAATGGGCCGTACTCCTACTGCATGATAATTTAAAGCAAAGTATGATTCCAATTTGTCACGTTTGGATCAGTATAACACATTCACACACCCTCAGCTTCCTATATGCTCTACCCCTACTTATATCTAATCAATCTAAATCTTTTGTTTTCATTCAATAATGTACAAAGGCTTTAATTTGAAAGTTGCTTTCAATACCCGAGGGGCCGACTGTGTCATTCATGATGTCAGGAGATCAAGGGTCATTGTTCTCAGTGGTTTCAGACATGAGGGTTACAGTGCTGGTTGCCTATATTGAAATCAAGATATAAACTTGTGTTTCTGTGCTTCATTTGGCTGATTTTAGACCATTTTACTGCACAGGAAGTGGTGACATGCCTTGGTGGATATGCAGAATGAACTGTGTGAGGTGAAACAGTGGTAGAAAGCCTGAGTATTTCAAGGCACTGTGCTGCACACTGGGCTATGGTGGCAACTCAACACACCCTCTCTCAACAGCTCCGTCCCTCCTGTTCAGTAGCTGCAGAGGCGCTGGCAGGGCTGCTTGAAGTGGCCGTAGCGTCTCTCTGCCGGGGAGAATCGCATCTTGGCCAGGTTCTGCCTGTGGAGGGCGCTGCGGCTCAGCTTCTTCCGCTCGGCCTGGGTCCTGGCCCTCTGGACGGCCAGCAGCTGGATGTTGCAGGGCAGGGGGATTCCCCAGGCTGCCAGACGCCAGGATATATGCCCCCTCACTGCCACTGGCCTAGACAGACACAGGGAGGTGATACAGTGAGTGTTGATGAAATATTAGGTGGAATACAATATGTGATTGTACATCAGCTCTGGATTATCTTTGGCATAACCAATTTAAGATTTATACCCCAAAGGTTCTGGACTACACTTAATATCAGCTTTATGATTAAAATGTTGATCTTTGTGGGCCCACTCATTGACTTTATTCATGCAAATACAATACAATACATGTCACTCATCCCCAAAACCAGTCAAGTGGCCCAAAATTGTTTGTAAGATAAGCATGAAAGTTAATTCTTGACCTTGAAAACCTCAACCTTGCTTAAGGACTTCTCACCCTTTAAAGGAATAGTTTGACATTTTGGGATCTGATTTGGGTACAGCTACTTAATGATGCCCTTGGTCGTAAAGAAACACAATGGAAGAAACTTCTACGTGGCTGGACAGAAGGCTGAGAGAGGATCTAAGCCAACCTGGCTGGGGTGTGGTGAGAAGTGCTGGAACATTTAATGAAGAGGGGATGTCACCTGAGGGTGAGCCAGGAGCAGCATTACTGTCGTGTAAAGGTACTAAGATCTTCAGTTACACATATGCAGTGGTGGAAAGCCCCTACAGGAACTTTCCTTGTGTGTTGACTCTGGCAGCCCCTGTGGACAAAAGCGGCAGCGTTGCTACCTCCCCGTTTATGATTTCAAGGGGAATCAGACTAAGAATAGTATAATCTAGAAATAGCCAATCCTCTCACTGATGGTCTTCTGAGTTTATGTAGGTCATATAGAGGCATCAGTATTAAAATGACTGTTTCATAACCAGTTAAAGCCTCCTCATAGTATGTTTAAATAAATTAGCAGAATACTTGTTCAGTTTTTAGGCAGTGGACTTCATCAGCTGTTGCAAAGAGGCTCTGTTGCTCTTAGCTCCTATAATTGTCTGTAATAGTTCCAGATGCCAACAAAGCAGGTTGCTTTTATGACTTTCCATCTTGGAAGTACAGTCTAATGAGGCATCATTCTGGACTCTGGACTTTTGCAGTCACTGTGTTTATGCCACATACGCTGTTGGGGCTGCACTTTGGGACTTTTGGGACATCTTCCCATATCCTACAAACGGAGTGCTGTGTTAGTCAGCGGTCAGATCTAAGACTAATGTGTGATTGTGTGAGCTGGAGGTAGAGAGTAGAAAGTAACCTTGAGGTGTCCTCTTCGTCTTCATCAGAGCCTTCTTCCTCCTCCTCTGCTCCACTCATCCTGCATCTCATCTGGTAGACAGACATGCTGGGGTGCTCAATCAGCAGGTTCTCCAGGGGATCCGCCTTAGGGGCTGACAGCAGCCCGCTCTCTGTATGAGGAACATCCCAGTTCACATCAGTTTCCACCCCAGTGTAAGCCAAGAAGGTTTTGAAGGATATCGATGTGAATGATGTACTTCTAGCAGTCTGTCTCTCACCTGGGAGGTTAACAATGACCCATCCTCCCTCCTCAAACTCCATCAGCTCCTCGTAAGTGTCGTCTGCTGCCTCAAAGTCCTCACCAGCATTCCCGAGCAGGTGAGAAAGAATCTTTCCGATCATCTTTGTACCTCTGTTGCAGTCTGTAAATGAACAACAGCAAGTTTCAGCTAACAACATCAAATAAATCCATACTTTGAATGCAAAAGCAAGTTAATCCTCCACCTGAACCTCCTCCCTGCTTGTGACTTTTTACAAGTTAACAGTGCAAATGGCTCCCCCTAGAGGCTGTCCTCTGAATACCTATACAGCCTGCTCTGTATCAACAACTGCTTCCATTACGCCAGCTCAGAAACCTGAGCACACTGAGGCGTTACGTCGCCGTGACGTGGGGACAGTTTAGAAGTAAAACAGCTGAGGGAACACGATGGTACAAGAGGCTGGAATTACACTGATTGCAGCAACATTATATAATCTGTGATACTGCCTGGTATGTATCTGGAAAAAGAATACATTATTTCCATACTTTAAAAAGGGAAATTGGCACTACCTCTTGGCATCACTTATAGCTGTTAATGTAACATAACACTGGGGCAGATTTCTTCCACACGGAAACTTGTATTTGTAAGTGCAGCTGACTGACCTTTTGTCCCAAAATGATGACCTTGTCACCCTGGTACGGGCTCCCATGTCATTCTTGGGGTACATGTATTTTAGCCTCTTAATATTACTATTGCATCCTATTACACATTGCTTAATAAGACTAAAAATTTGAAATCTTACTGTCACAATAAGTAGTCAAAGACGTTCTCATCACACAGAATGTGAAGGGTTGCAGGTCCAATATTCACTCACATCCTTGTGTCAGCTCATGGTAAAAACAATTGCACAAGAGCTTGTTTTTCCCAGCTGTTAAAGTATCCTGAGCTGTATCTCAAAATATATCATGGCTATAATATACCATGATAGATAACATATATAATACACACATTGGTACATTTGTGCTGTTGTTTTAAGACAAACACAGATCCATAAATAGACTGTGTTTGGCCCCAGTGTCTGGATGCCTCCCTGCCTGCTGTCTGTCAGCAGACCACTCCCTGTAAACACAGACAGACTGTACCACAGGACACTGTCCTCTCACCCACATTAATGCTACTAACAATCCCTGGCTGGCACAATCTCAGCAGGCCTGTTGTATGCTGGTCAGAGAGGAACAGCTGACAGTGGGCTCAGACTTTAGTGTATTAAATGCTGCTGGCAGTGGGTGAGTTTGTTCAAGTGAACACTGTAGTCCTCCTCTGATATACATGAAAACACCGGCGATACTCAGTCCAAATAACAAGCAACGGCTGCAGAGACACATAGGCAAGAAGAGGACTGTAGTCAGAGAACAAAAGACAGATGCGGTCCCAGGCTGATAAAGGACAGTATTCAGCAGGGACGCACACAGACTGACGGGCTGACTCACCTGAGCAGTTCCAACTGTGTTTGTGTTCGGGTGTGGCCGGTGTACCGAAAGGATCCCGCTATGCTGCTGTTCTTCACAGACTGTTTTGATCTCGAAGTTGTTTATCGGCGAGAGACCTCCTCACAGTGTCCTGACACGTCAACAAACCCCGCCCAGCGAGGCGGGGCCAGTTTGCGTAAGTCGCTGCGTCACATGTCAACAGAGGTCCTCTGCAGGGATGTGAGTGTAGCGAACACGCACTTGTTGCAAGACTGAACAAGAAAGTGTTATTCCTCTGTTCCACAGTGTGCACGCATTGTACTACACTGTGGAGAGACTGAGAATGCAAAACAAGGCATGCAATGGTCACTGAGGGGAAAGCACCTTTTATTTTATTAGACACATTTCATATTTTAAAACTCTACCCTAAGCTATTTCTCACTGACATTGAAAGCTATTTTAAGTCTCTTTAATTTGTAACAAATAAGAAATGTAGGCTATGTTAGTATGATAAAAAATAAGTTGACAAATGTTTGTCAACTTATTTTATTGGCAAACTTATTTTATTTATTATCTTTATTATTTGACCTTTTGATGCGTCTGGTTTCTCGATTGAATTATTTATTTGTATTCCTTTATGAACCACTGCGGTTCATTGTCTTTTCTTACCAATACAAAGTTAATAAAATGTGACATGTGGACGGAAATATACCCCGTGTATTTGTATTCTTTTTTTTTTTTTTTTATCCAGTCTTCTCACGCAATAACGTAACGTGAGGTACAGAGGAGATGTGTCCTGTGTGCTAACGCAGGCTAATGGCTGCGACACAACGGTTCCCGCCGACCGCAGAACACAACACAGCGACTCACCTGAGGCTACAGCGTCGAAGGAAAAGCAGCCAGGAAAAACCTTCGTCTGTGAAAAATAAAAGAAATGACTTTTTTTATAGTTACATTATTAAAAGAGCGAGTGGACTACGGACAAAGTAGCCACACACTAGCTAACTCAATCTATATTTTTTGAAGTTTGAAATGTTTTCGGAGACCTCTGCAGGTCCAGATGATTCACCTCCTACTTCAAACACTGTTGGTTTGGAAAGTGCGCATGCGCCCTACGGAAACGGTTTTACTGTTATAAAATAGAAAAACCGCAAACAAATGAAACACTCCCTAAAGCTCTGACTTCCTGAATAAAAATGAGATAAACCCACAATAATTACCGCCTCAGTTTAACAATGTAAGTGTTGACTCTCCCTTCCTAACTCCCAGACACTGTGTTTGTGTTTGTGTTTGTGTGGACTTTACCTCACAGCAGGAAGTATTCAGCACACACACATAACGGCATTTTATATATGAGTTGATTTATATGAGTTGTAGCGTTCTAACACAATCACATAGATTGACGTTTGTCTGTGTCTGCCTATAGTTTGTTGACCATTATTATCTTGTCTCCATTCTCTGTTATGTACTCTCGGATGTTTCTGTAAAGCAGGAAGTAGAGGACCGCCAACAATCCCATCATACAGTGCAAAGATCATAACGTTTGGAAGAAAGCCGGACGCATGTGAAGAACTGAAAGTAGCAGGTCACACATTCGGGAGAGGACGGAGGGAAACAGTGAAGGTAATTTGTAACAACTACACAACAATCGGATACTGTGGAGGGAAGGCTGGGGACTGCTGGGCTCCAGCTCTTCTTACATAGAAACATCACTTTAAACTGTGTTTGAATTCAACCTACTGTCTTTATTGACTGTAGCCTGATCATTCTGCCTACTGAGTTTGTTATGTCAGTTTATTGTGTAAGAGAATTACCTGCATCAGTTTATTAACAATTAAAAGTGCTTAATGTGTTAAAAACATATTTGATATTGATGAGGGGAAGCTTTAAATGCGGGGACATACTGTACATCTACATTATTATTAATGTGTTGCTGTTTAGCTGATGCTGACCCCAAAGCAAAAGTGAAAGTTGATTTACAAGAAACAATGAAGAACTGCCAGAGGAACCTGTTCCTCTGCCTACATTGTCCCAGGTAGAACCAGAGCAGGGATGTTAGGGATGTATCGATACCCTCAATCACGATTCAATACAATCCACGATACCGGGTTAAAGACAAATAATGGCAAACATCTACTAAATATATTTAGTCTTATATATTCTTTTCCATGGATTCCACGATGGATCATGATGCAATATAACTGTCTTGCGGTATCTTCACATTCCCAGCACTTGTACCTCTCTAATACATTGCATTGTCTGGTGATGGCAAACTTGATTTGACCCCAGAGTTGCAGAACTTTTGGATTAAAACAAGTATCGTAAACCTTTCCCACTGCCCCAGAAGCTCCAGCAGGGTCACTGCATGGAAATGTATTTTAGTCATTTGTTTAATTGCTAATTGACTATTGGATTTGCGCCACTAATGTTTTATGGCCCTATCTTATAGAAGGGGTCTTTTGTTAGAATATATATATAAGATAAAGATAAAGATAAAGATGTGTTTAATCACATCACCTCAAACTAAGTGGCTGGTTAGTGTCTGGGTCTCTCAATAAAGCCACCATGTGTCTGCGGTACACTCGGTTTTCAATGCAGCACACATTTTGTGCTTGTGTATTTGGGCAGCATGATAGGTTTCTGTGTTTTTTAGGTTTGGTGGTTCATTAGATGCCTAACCTCATCTGTGCTGCAACTGTTGGGCAAAATGATGTTTTCTTCTAATCCAAACCGAGGCCAAAAGGCGTAGTTCACCGCTGGAAAGATGGTGTTTTCTTCAAGCTAGACTTTCTGTGCAGTGGAAAGACGAAAAATAGTTTTGAAATTGGTGCCACATGACCTGGAACAGAGTGCTGTGGTATTCTCTTTGGCTCAAAAGGTGGAAAACCTACAAAAACCAGAATGCAACGGGCCACTTAAACACTCCGGCTGGTGGGTGACACACTGCGAGTTGGTGCTTGGTTCTGCTTTCAGGCAGGGAATAATGGTGGCCGGGTGAGAATGAGGCAATGCAGGAACAGAACTCATTGATATTTGATCAGCACTGCCTAGTTAGACAGTTTGATCTGAGTTTCATGACCTCTCGATCCAACAGGCTGTGGAGGAGGACATGTAAAAATGCGGAAGTACAATCTGTAGTTTGAACAACAGTGCTGGAGCTGGCAGACAGATGAGCGGGGGGGTTGTGGGTGTGTATATTTGCATATAGCACCCACACTGTGATGATACAGCACTGGTTGGAAACCTGCAATATTTCCCTATAAAGGTGTGTCTTGTATTTATTTGGCCAGACAGTACAGCTAACTGTCCTCTCTTTCCTGTCATACCAGTGTCACAGCACAGGGATGGCTCCACGAATTGACGATGTCATGCGTCTGTGCTGTGAAATAGCGGCTCATGATCAGATCAAGGTCGCGGTGAAAAACTCCACCAAAGGAGCGCTGGTGGCAGGGGGAACCGCCTTCGTAGGAGGGATGCTCGGTGGACCTGCGGGGATCGCTGTTGGTAAGAATGAATAACTCGGACTACTGATTCTGACCTCTGTATCTCTGAACTAGACATTACAGCTGCCTGACCAACGGGGCCACATGCACCCCGCACTGACAATGATTTGTAGGGTCCCAAACCTCGAAGGAAAATACAAAACTTTGAGTCAGCTGTGATTCACAGATGAGGCCTTTTGGAGAGTGACTAATACACAAGTGGTGTAAGTGAGTGCTGTGTTGTGCTGTGTTGTGTTGTGCTGTAATAAGAGGCAGCAACACAATCAAACCATCATACCCAAAAACCAATTAGTTGTCTCAGGGAGGAGAGAGAGAGTACTGAGCTCCCAGAGGGTTTTTAAAGGCGCGTGACACACAGGCCTCAGGTGTGTCCAATTTCTTCATCAGTTTTACTTCATACTCGTACATCCCCACGTTTGATTGATCCTGAGCCTGTAGCTGACCCTTTATCCCTCTCTGTCTCACCAGGGGGAGCAGTAGGCGGTCTCTTGGGCAGCTGGCTGACCAGCGGGCAGTTCAGGCCTCTGCCTCAGATCCTGATGGAGTTGCCACCTGCCCAGCAAAAGAAGCTCTATAGTGACGTTGTGGCCGTCTTACGCAACCTGGACTGGATGGACGCGGCCCAGCTCATTTCCCTTGTGATGGGTAACGCCACTCTCCAGCAGCAGGTCACTGCAGCGTTGCTCAGCTACATCTCAAAGGAACTCAGAGCAGAGGTGCGCTATCAAGACTGAGTTATGGTTACACGTGGACTTTTCAGGATGATGGATTTGCCAAACACTACCAGAGGCCTTTACATATTCATATTTTTGTACAGTCATCATATAAACCTCAGTAGACAGTGATTAGTACAAATAATATTTTGTGGGACAGTGTGCCTGACTTCCCAGCATAAAGATATTGTCCCTGGGGAGTCATTGATCCTAGAACCTCTTTATTCTCACACTTTGTATCAGGGTCTTTTTAATATAGCCTACCTCTGCTTTAGAATTTCAAATAAACTAGGATTTGAAGCTATCATGCTTTTGACAGATTTTTACTTATTTAAAGGTCCAGTGTGTAACATTTTGGAGGATCTGAGGTATGTTTGCATTAGTGTATAATAAAAAAATAAAAAAAATAAATAAGAATCATTGTGTTTTAGTTAAGAATTAGCTGTTCTGCAGAGGGAGCAGTCCTTCTGTGGAGTCTACAGTCTAGCCTACAGTAGCCCAGAATGGGTATACATTGGCCCTAGATAGGGCTTTGTGTGCTTTCCGCAGCCATTGTAGTTTAGCCTACAAGTTTTGAATGGGAGGGTGAGGCGACAGGGTTGTGATCTACAACTACACCGCGAGATGCCACTAAATCCTACACACTGGACCTATAAAGATCTCAGGATGGTAACATTTTAGAAAAATACACACATCTGTACAATGCAGGTTTTCACAATTTACGTTATCATACGGCAGATTATATTTGTTTTACGTAACTAAATAATCAAAGATCTGAAGTCCACCTACTATCTTTTTGGAGCTTTGATTTGGTTGAACGTTTCAAAATTACTAGTAGGTGGACTTTTGAACTTAGATAAAATGTGTTACACACCAAAGATTGTAACAAATTGTTTTCAAACTGTGTTCAAACATGTTTTTTCTTGAGCCCATGATATATGCTGATTTATATGTAATTTATATTTATATATTAATATAATTTATCTATTGCATATAGTCAAAATAATGTACTTGATGCCCTTGCAGTAAAAATGTTGTGCAGTGGTTTTTATCCAAATAATATGTAGTCTGAGGAAGCACATTACTGCCAGAGAAGATAAGAGATGAAGTTATGCATTACCTGGTAGGTACCCTGGAATCAAGGCACTGGGTTTGAGTCCAGACCAGGCCCATTGCTGCCTTTGCTGTCTCTCTCTACTGTTGCGGGGAAAGTGAAATTCCCCCCAAATTAGACTCATGGTAAGTTAAATTTTTGACTCTACTTAGAAAAATGGCAGCAACTGTGAGTTCCACTTGTGTACTCAACCTCAAAAACACAGATCAGTTCAAAGTAGAAAGGTGACACAATCAAAACAACTGATGCCTGTAGAGCTTTACGCTTTATTCAAATGTCATTGCTGTCATGTTTCAACCACAGATCAGGAACAGTATTCATAAATGTCTTCAATCTGTTCGGCCCTAAGCCCTCACTCTTACCACAGACTCTGTAATATTGCCTCCTCATATTGTAACCCTGCCAAAAGCTTTTCCACCCTTATTGCTCACTTGTTTTTCATGTGATGACCAAGTCAGCAGAGAGCACACAGATTTGTGTAAAATTCAACACAAGTATGACCCCGAGGCAGGGTGCAGGAGACATCCTGTGTTGCAATACCAATATTATGACAAGTGTGTAGACGTGACAGCCAATATGGGCTCTTAGAAAACAACCAACCAACAGAAAAACTGATCTCTTTGACTCTAGTGATTATTTTGTCAGTATTCCACCACTGCTGCTACATTGAACCTTTGAAATCAACAAGGTCAAATCGTGATGGTATAAAAAAATTATTGTCATGTTTTACTTTATCCTGACAGTAGAACATGAGACTGATAATCTGTGAAAAAATCAGGTTCCTCTGGCTCCTCCTAGTGCTCCTAATGGGATTTACAAGTATCCACTGAGCCAGAGCCAAGAGAGATATAAAGATGGTTGTGGTTGGACGCTTGAAGATAGTTGAGTTTGAGTCTCATTTCCAGAGTCCCATAACGTCTGTATTTGACAACCTGGGAATGAGACTCAGCAATCAACACATTTTCTTGGTTGTGATTGGTTGTTTTCGTTCAGGCCCCGTGGATTCTTGCAAATGCCATTAGGAGCACTAGGAGGAGGCAGAGGAACCTGATTGTTTCACAGATTATCTGTCTCATGTTCTACTGTCAGGATATAGTGAAATATGCCAAATTAAATATTTTTTATAAAAATTACCTACTGCAGCTTTAAACATCAAAACTAATTGTAAACTATAAAGTGACAAAAATAGTAGCTGTCAGTCCTCCAGTTTCCTTGCAGTGTTGCAGCTTCTCAAAAACACAGGTGATGTGAAACAGAAACCAACAGGTACAGCTGTCTTTGACTCAGAATCTTCCTTCTCTCTCAAAAATGAAACACACATCTGTCTGAGCTCTTTACCCACTAGAGGGCGTTACTTAACCAGGACTGAGTGCTTTGGAGCACTCAAGGCAGCCAGCCGTAAAGCCAATATTAAAGATCAGTGCAGTCAAATGTACAGTCTTCAAGTACAACGTGGGATCTTAGGAGTTGAGTTATATTGATTACATTGAATAATTATACTATATAATTAATCTTTAAAAAGAAAGCTGTTTTTTTTTATTTGTAAAAACATTTTGATGTGGATGTTGAAATGGCATTACATTGAAAATACAACATATCCAGCCTTTTGCTTTTGCAAATGCAGCATATTCCCGTGTCTGGCACAGACACCAAACAAGAAGGCACAAAGAACAACAGCATTGCTACAATTTCTGAAGTCAAAATGGCAACTGATAGTAAGCACTGAGTGTACTGGATACAGTACCAGGGACACAAACTAGGTGTTAATGTTGTGGTTCAAGCTCAAATATCTTAAGTACCCTGTATACCACTTGAACGCCATTTTACATTAGAATCCAGTGAGCCCACAGAAATATGATTCTCAGTTGCTTTTGGTCTGAACTATTAAAATCAGTTATTTGGAGCTTTAAAGCTGCACTTTCACTCATTCATACTTTCACTATATCCTGGCAGTAGAATATGAGCATGTCAGGATAAAGTGAAACTATCAACAAATATGACAAAAAAAAGCTACTACTGCAGCTTTAAGTGAACAATAAAAGTTATTACAATTAATTTCATGACAGAAACTGTGAGGCTGGTTAAGACCAGACTTTTTGAAAAACATCTGTGGCTTGTAGGGCAAAGATCTGGTGATATGATACATATCGTGATACAGGAATTATAATTCAATATATTGCAGTTTTTAAAAAAAAATCTCATTTTTGGTAATGCTGTCATAGTGTAAAGAACACACCACTAGTGGCTTGTATTTGTGTGGTCCCATTTGTATCCTGGTGTAAAGCTGAGGTCCAGCTGAGCACATGTCTCTGTTCTACAAGTACAGGCATAATGTGAGTAAACTGCACAAAATGATGAAGACTATAAAACACAAATTGCTTTAAACCTGCATTAACTGATTTTTTGGTCATTTGGGAGTAATGGAAACTAGCTTTGAACACAAAATTAACAAATCACCTCATAAAGACCCTAACAAAGGCAGATATGTTTTCTAACTAGTTTAATTACACATTCTGCAAATTCAGAGCAACATCAGCATTTATTGGGAGTCGTGTTTCCAGCAACCTGACGACAGTTGCCTGCTGCATCTTGAAATAACCAAATGAGAGCCTGAGCCATCACAGTAACAAGTACAAAATAAACAGTCAAAAGATGCTAAAAAGCCACATACAGTTAAAAAGAGCTGCAGATATGGGTACCACTTCTCCTTTACACAGCACTGTATCCAAAAACAGGCTGGAAACAACATTAGTGCTTATTGTCAAGTGGTCATTTACAGCTACACTTTGTTCTATATTTTGTATTGACATACATCAAATGACAGAAGGCACGCTGTGACACTGGGCTGGTTGGCCTCCTTGAACACAGCTAGGATCTCCCTGGCCTGACAAAAGTAAACAGATAATCTCCAGACTTCCAAAAGGGGTTCACAGGTCTTAAAATGATGTGAAACTTCTACAGAACATAAATGAGTAAAATAGTTGAAGGCTCATAGCCGGTTGTTAAAACCTGTCATAGTAAAGCTTCCCAGGTCTAGTTTAAAGCTGCAGTAGGTCATTTTAATATATTTATTTTTTGTCAAATTTGCTGAAACTTTCAATATATCCTGACAGTAGAACATGATACAGATAGTCTATGAAAAAAGAAAAATCAGGTTCTTCTGGCTCCTCGTGGTATTTGTAAGAATCTGCCAGGCCTGAATGAAAACAACCAATCAATGCAAAGAAAGATAGTTGATTGTTGACTCTCATTCCCAGGTTGTCAAATACCAACGCTTTGGGACAATGGGAATGAGACTCAACAATCAACTATTTTCAAGCCACCCCAGAGTGCCGTTCTATCTTTCTTGGCTCTGATTGGTTGTTTTCCTTCAGGCCGGTGGATTCTTGCAAATGCCATTAGGAGCACTAGGAGGAACCTGATTTTTTTTCTCAGATTATCTTTCTCATGTATTACTGTGAGCAAATATGACAAAAAGTTATTTTTATAAAAGTTACCTACTGCAGCTTTAAGGTACCCTTATTCATGAATTGGCCAAACCCTTCAAGACAATGTAAAAACATGCTTCTTACTAATTTTGATCTTTAGAGAATAGTTTGATATTTTGGCACATACCCTTATTTGTTCTCTTGCTGAGGGTCAAAAGGGTCAATGTCACTCTCATAACTGTCCGTTAAATATAAAGCTACAGCATGGAGACGGTTAACTTAGCTTAGCATTCAAGACTGTAAACGAGGGAAAGCCGCTAGCCTTGCTTAGTCCAACAGTAAAACCAATCCACATACCAACACCTCTAAAATAAAACATGCTATGTCTTTTAATGCGTTCAAAGACAGCAGTGTAAAAAGTATAAAGTTGCCGTTTATGGAGGGTTATGACTAATTCTTGGCCCGCATGCACACTGCTTTAGAGGTGGTGGTAGGAGGATTTTTTCACCTTTGAACAGAGGATGATTACAAGAGTACATTTTATAAAACAGAAAATACACCATATGTTGTTGATATACAGAAATATTACCAGTTTGGCAGTGCTCCGTGAATGAATGCATTTAGACAAAAGTAGTGTGACAGTGTGGCAGTGCTTTAGACTTTAAAAATATTACTCGTCAATCTGAAGGCTCTTTCTGCTCTTGACAGAGTAACAGAAGTTTACAGGCACAATTGTGTGGAATAGATATAATAAAATCCATTCGCTACCTAGTGTACTATTTATTTTGAGTGTCTGAATTCTAGGTGTAAAATGTATGCGCAGTGTGGTTCATAAATTCACATAAGAGAACTAAATTCGTAGCAAAGTCTGCTAAAAACACCACAATGCAAAGCTTTTCTTTTCCTCCTGATGTGACAGATTGGTGAAATAAGTTAAGAATTCTGACATCAAAGTCAAAATTATTTTGCCTAAATCTATCTGATCTACCCATGTGATCTGATTTTTCACCTAACAAGTGCAAAATGGGTGAGAAGTTCAGGAAAGCTTCCCAGTTCTGTGCAACATTTGTTTGAAACACTACAAGAATAAATGTCTCGTAGAAACACTATCTGAACTACTGAATTCACCACTGAGATCATTGGTAAGTTTACACTCTTATTGAGATCTTCAACTAACTTCATCTCATCAGTGCTTCCTAACCAACTCTTTAAAGTGTTTGAGTAAGAAAGGCAGAACCTAAGCAGCAAAAACACACAAATTCAAAAATGTTCAAAACTCTGGAGCTTCAGAACGCTACAGAGAAGCATTGAGAGCCTCCTGCACCGTGCGCAGAGTGCACGGTGCAGGTTTAAAGCAGTGACATATTAGTAAAGCTATGTATGAAGAATACATTTCACTTCATTTACATGTAGAGTAAGTCAAATAAAAAAAAGAATTTACACTGTACAATACATCATACCAATGTAAAGTGAGACTAGGAGAGTGGAGGTGTAAAAATGCTGGTGCTGTTTAAAACTGTTCAGAGAGGAGATCACACAGTCTCTGAGACACAGAGTCCCTGCTGGTCCGGAGGGTGAGCCGGTACATCTGAGTGGAAAACACAAACAGTTACACAGGCTGGATGATTGTTCGGTACAGGTGTGTGTGTGTGTGCGTGTGTGCGTGCGTGCGTGCGTGCGTGCGTGCGTGCGTGCGTGTGTGCATCTTTACCTGTGCTTGTGTGTTGGGCTCCAGTCGGAGGAGGCAGCCCACCTGAGTGTTCTTAGTGTGAATGACTCCAGCTCCAACAAAGTTTGTGGGATTGGGATCCACCCCGTCCAGCAGAGCTACACCAAAACCTAAGATCTACAAAATAATTTATTTACTGCAGAGGAATTAAAAATATATGTCCACAAAAAGGTAGATTTATTTACAGATACATTACAGATACAATTGAAAGCTCTAGAACGAGTGACGTAAAGACTTGGAGTAACACATTAATGCGTTAAAAAAGGCTAACAGACAGGATTTTAAAACTTGGGAGAGTTTTAACGGCAGCAACTATTTTATCTTCTGTTGCAGTGATTGTGAGGTAAACTGTAGAAATACAGTGCTGACGTTACATTCAAGCACACATTCCTGGTAGATTACTTTGAATGCGATTGGTCAATGGAGCAGCTTGTTGCAGTGCGACACTGCAGGGTACTTTAGCACTGTGAAAAAGGAATCTCAAGAAAATTAAAATTGCTGTTTCTGGGAAATTACTCTCATTTTTGAAAGAATAACAATCTTGACAAGCATGTTTTACATTAGAAAAGTGAACTGGTTTTAATAGAATCTATCTCACTCTGTCTCAATAAGATGTTACAGCTAATATTGAGCTCCATTTAACCAGTAACAACCAGTAACAAGTCTTGTCCCAGTGTTGGAAATGAAGCAGCTGTTCAGTTTTTCATTGTTTTGATAAAAAATGTTAAAAATAAGAATGCTTCTGGTGCCTTCATTTAAGACCAAGTCACCTATTTTCATTATGCTGTTTGAAGACATTGTGTCTTTTTGACGATTATTAATCTTAGATTAAAGTGACCAAAATACTTCCTTAAGAAAGTCTGTCTCACATAACTGAGTTTACATTTTTGGCATTTTTTAAGGCCCAGTAATAGACTTGCTTAGATTTTTGGCATTATATCAAGAGCAAAACTGGTTGATTTGTTTCGGTCAATACCAGAAAATGTGATTATATTAAAGAATATTTGGCTGTTTTTACAAAGTAAGTCTGACAGCAGCCTTAGAGGAGTGACTATCCCCCACCAACTACTACTGGGATTGTCACAAATCTTTAAGTCAAACTATCTGCCTTTGTTCTGAAGAAACTTTTTTCTCTCACGGGAACTAATTAGATAAATCCTATCCTTCCTATTCCTTAAACAATCAATTGTTTTCCGACTGGGGTCAAAAACAACTGTAGTAACCCATGTCAGGCTTAAAGACCATCAAATCATTCATGCAGATTGTCTCTGTGATGTTCTCACAGACAGCTGGTTCATGTCTACAGCTGAGCAGTTTCCCTTGATGAACACATTTTTTACCTTGGCTTTGGTGACATCTGTGTCCATGGGGTGTTTGGCTTTGAAGATGTTCTGAACCTCTTGCTGAGGACTGAGGACACAGAGAAGAGAATTACTTATCTGTGGGAGGAGGCAGGCTTTTGAGACCTGAACACAAGCTATATTCACAGAGCCTTCACTCTCTGATGAACAGCCTCGTCCTGCATTAGAAAGGTAGAAAAAATAGAAATAAAACAGAGCTAACAGAACAATGGCCAGGGTCAGGCAGAAGAAAACACTGATTTAAAAAATAAAAAGCCTATTAAGTATGTATGATTGTTAAAAATGTAAATATGTCACTTAGTCAGGGGTCTTCAGTTTACTCAATGATAGAAAAGGGGTCATAAGGAGAAAGGAGGAAAACCACTAGGTTGGTCCATAAAATGCAATCAAAACGGTTTACATATACAACATATTTATATTACTTGTTTTATCCAACCAACAGTCCAAAGCCCAAAGATATTTTGTTTAATGTCAGAGAAAAAAGATGAATATTCACGTTTTGGAAGCTGCCAACACTGAGTTTTTGGCTTTTTTCACCCTTCTTTGTGTCTACTACATTAACACTGAACTTGTAATTAGGACAGCCATTGATAACCTACTGTATGGTAATAATACTAACTCAACTATACTACTCAATAATAATAATTTTAGGTGACCTTTTAGACATAAAACAGACAAAATATATAATGACAAAATATATAATGACATTTCCAACAGTAAGGAATCTGCCTAACTGCAGTTGTTCCTGGCCTTTCTGACTGAGACAGATGCAGCCACAGACAGGAACCATTGAGAACGTAGCAGGAGACTTACGCTCCGAGCTGTTTCCAGCGTTGGAAGAAGTCTTGGGACGTCATCTCCGTGGGCTGGAAAAACTTGTTCAGCATCACTGGGAGTTTCACTGCAATGTTCTGTAGAGTTCCCCCGTATCTGTTCACAAACACATACAGTACAATATACAACACACAGTAATTAGAATTTATAGGTAGCTGAATACATTAGAAAAAATGGTATGCATCCAGACACCAACCTGAACTGGATGTTGAGTACCGGTGCATCTGTGAAATCTGACACACACTCGATGTTGAGGATCTGCTGGAACTGAGCCCCCCCTTCTATTATGGGGTCTACTGTCTTAGCGTGGACATTCAGCTGTGGAGACCGTGGTCAAGGATTCTAAAAATACCTTATTGACACTAGCATACATTTCAGCTCACCTGCAGCTTTACATTGTGTCGGGTTGTAGGACAGTTTGTGTGGAAATGAAGCACAAAATACTCATCAGCTGGGAAGAAGTAGTAATAGTTGTTGATATAGTTACTTGTGTAAACTCCAGTGCTTCCTGTTAGGGCTGGAATGGGACAATCAAATCTGTAACAAGAAGGTACCAAGCAGTGGAAAGGATATGAGTCTTGAGCGTGTCGCTACAGCTCACAGATGAGGAGAAGCTGAGGAACTGGGTGGATGTCTTGTTGCCATAGAACACGTACATGCGACCTGTGGGACAATATGTTCTCTTTGAACTAGTCACATCTGACCAGTATCCACTGCATTTACTTTATAATTACCAACCCCACTTTGGTTCCTGATTCTTTTCATTATTCTCCAACACTAGCCTGTCACAAGTATCCTTTAAAAAGACCCTTGAAACTGAAGAGGCCTGATGAGATTTCCCAAAATTAAAAAATGTAGAACTCAAGCATACTGTGACAGTATTATAAAGCTGCTCACCCAGGTTCTGCCTGTACTCAGACTTCAGTCCAATCTGCAAAAGCTGGTTCTCATAGATAACACCATTGTTTTTACAAACAAACCTGGAATTTAGAAGCACACAATTACACATTTACAACAAGAACCTACATTTTTGTTAATTTAAAAGGTTTTATATAGAAGCATTTGCCTTTACATTTTGTGACAAACTGTTACACTAAGAGAATATTCTATACCTGTCAGCAAACTTGTTAGCTGATGTTCAAGGCGTTTGAATAGAAAGAGAAGTTATAATACCTCTTGTGTCACCAAACCTTCTGAAATTGCAATACTAAATCGCCCTTTAATGTTTGGAATGTGGATTATTGACAAACGGCTGTAAACTCTCTTTCTCTGCTAATTTCATCAACCGAGTTCACAGTTTGGTCCCACCTGGGAAAATTTTCCTCAGACACATCTATGGATGCAGGTGAGGGGGTGTCGGAAAAGACATCAACTAGCAGACTGGCTCCAGCTGAAGGGGTGGAGTTTAGATTGAGCAGATCTGTGAAGGGGTGGGTGGAACCCTGGGAGAGAAACATCAGCCAACAACACATTTAACATACAGTATATCTTGAGTATATACACATAAAGCACACCAGAATCTGAACACAAGTGTATATTACTAATTAAATATGAGGCCACAGTACCAGGATAAACGCATAGCTAATCTTAAAACAATCTATTTAATTCCCTGCTTTCTAAAGCATCAACATTACAGTCAATTTGAATTCTGTAATTATATAATAATATAATTACTATAATAACTACAGCTATTGTATGTTTGGACATTTCCCATGCTGTTGGTTTTTATTCCACTAAGAAAGTGGAAGCTAGTTAGTCTGCCAAAGATAGCATGGAATTCCATTACATATTACTTTTGTTCATGTTTTCTCACACTTAAATGTTGTGTCCGTGATTAGTTATATTTCAAGCTGTGATGATGTGTTTAATCATCATTTTTCCCCCTTATTTATATGTTGGAAAAGCAAGTCCAAAACATATGGATAACATGAACATGAGACAATAGTAGTGGTTGTTGTTCATTCCTTTTTGTAGAATTAGCAACTTACCAAACATTTAAAACATTATTACGTGCAATCGCGTAAACACAAACAATCATATGTAAACAAAAACAAAACACATGGACAGAGACAACCATATAATAGGATACAAGCCGCCACTCCAGTGGTGATTAATAATTAATGTAATTCACTATGTGTTGTTTCTAGCTAGTATATAATATACCATGGTCGCAGCCGAGAGTATGATGGGGCTAGAGGAGGCGGGGCGGGGTCTGTTGGTAGGGAGAAGGTCTGCCATCAGTGAAGGAGAAGACTGATTGAGAAAGAGAAGAAAAGGAACAGAAAGGAAAGGAAGGATAGGGGGTGAAAACAGGGAAGGGAGAAGAAAATACAAAAGGAAGGTAAGGATCAAGGAAATGCTAAAAATGCAAGAAAGTAAAGGCAAAGCCCGAAAGTCAGTAAACCAGCAATCAACAATATACAGCAATACACAGATTATAATACTGTTTGTGTGATGCAAGCTTGTTTATAGTGATAAATGCTGTAGTAGAACACCTTGCAGAAAATTCGTACATGTGCTAAATTGTATGAGAACCTTTTCCTGGGGAAGGTTTGTATGAAGAAATCTTTGATAAAAAATAAAAACTGAAGTCGTACTGAGCAGATTTCACAGTTACCTATCAGAGCACTACCCTGTGGTTACCTTTGTGGCTTCAGTGTTGTCGCTGTGCTCGGTGCTGCCGTTGACATTCCGCCGGGCATCGTCAATGTCGGGCAGGTGGCCTGGGCCCTTCTTCCTCTTCAGCTTTGCCAGGATTGAAGACTCTCTCTCTGGGAATGGAGGCATCTCTTCTAAGACTGTGGCCTGTGGATGGACAAAAAGAGACAGCTAATGTGCAATTACCAATGGTGATTTTCAGTTATTCACAATATAATCGCAAAGAGTTTTTATCTCAACTCGTTCAGTCTCTTACTAAAAACCCAAACCTGAATCTGATATAACAATTGCCACAGTGATCTGCGTCTGCAGAGCTTTGAAAGTGTGTGTGAGACTGAGTTCCTGCATAATTCACTAACCAGTATGTCAGTGCTGGCGATGCAGCTGAGCCTCAGGTACTCAACAGCTCTCTGCTGAAGCTCCACGTCAGCGTTGCGGAGCTGGCTGTCTGAGCGCAGCACGTCTTGGATCGTGGCCTTCACTTCTGGAAACAAGTTAATGAATTTGATATAGGCCGACAGCAACAGTGCCCGAGTTGGCACAGAACACAGGTGGAACTTGGAGTGTAGAAGGTTGAACTGGACCAGAGGGCTGAGGGAGAAGACAACACAAAACAGTAAAACCTTCTGACGTTAAGGTCAGCTCTAGGTCAGTTTCAAGACAACATATTTGAGTCAGAACAGTGGATGCTGTTTGTACCTGGAGCGTGAGTCGCCAGCTATTAGGTTACCAAACTCTCCCAGGATGTAACCCCCCACCTTAACCAGGTTCTCATGGCAGGCGGGAGCCTGTAGTGCCTACAAGTGTTCAAAAAGCAGGACAGCACTGAGTTAGGAATAACAAGGGAGAAACACACTGCCATCTACTGCTAGATTTTGGATGTATAGGTGGCAACCACCCAGCTAATGTAGTCCAAGTGGATCTCACATACTCAACATACAGCGACAAGGGTACAATCCCTCAAAGGGTTGTGAAGCTTGATCACTCTTTTCTTCCTCTTTGCCTCAATGTTGTTGTTGTTAACTTTAGGCTGTGAGGAATCATTATGGTTTCTAGGGATGTTTCCACCACATTTTTTGAGACCCCAATCTTAATTCGACACTACGGTATTTAAAGGCGTACTATGGAGGATTTTTCTGTTGCTGTTTGTAAACACCATCCATAGTTTGCCCCTCCTCCCCAGCTTAGCTGAGAGCAGCAGCGATGGTAGGACAGTAGACAGTGAATTACCATTACCATTAATAAATAAAACTGTATTTTCTGAATATTTCACATCGATTATGTTTCTAAAGCACCTACGCATAATTCTGCAAAAGGTGCCCATTGCCAGATTTTGTGCCAAAGCTGCACTGTCTGCTGTGCCTGTAAACTGTGTGCAGCTCATCTCTGCCTTCCATCAAACAGTCGGAGACAGTGATTTGCTCACGACGCTCCAACAGACAAATGTTGGAAGTCTTAATTTTCCTATCCTATCCATTTTTAAAACAGCTGAAACAGCTCGGGACATTCATATTTACTGCACTGTACAGCATGTTAGACTGTGCACCTGTGGGGGGGATTGAAGTCAAGCTGATCTGTTATGGCATAAATCTTCACGCCTACCTCAAAGACGGTCTTGGCAGCATAGCCTTGGACATCATCTCGGTTTATGACAATCTGGATGACACGATACCACACCTCCTCACTGACATAGTCGCCGGCGATGCGGATGAGGTTGAGGATGGTATCTACGTACCAGGTGTAGTCCACAGCATATTTTTCTGCCAGGATAGCCACCTTGAGCACCTGAGGAAGAGAAGCAACCGGCTGAGGGCAAGAGCAGCACACAGAGGAACTAAATGGTTTACAGGCCTGGACTGATGACCCACTATCTCCTCTCTGATTGAGTAGTCGGCGGTCTCCAGGTAGCTCAGCATCTCTGCCACAATCTGCTTGGCGTTGCTGCGGTCACACATGGCGTAGAGGAGATCAACAGCCCGCTGGCGGACGCTCACGTCTCGCTCCGTCTGCAAAGAAAACATACATGAACAGAACATATGAGATGATAACGAATGTGCAGATGCTATCAGCTACTTCAATTCCACTGTAGCCTGATATACAAACACTTGTTGTACCACTGAGGATTTTTAGGAGATGGCCATACAATGAACCTCACTAGAAACAGGACTGTTCGGATGAGGAAGAGGGCACACCGCTAATGTGCAGTGCAACGAATAAGATGGAGGAACTGACAAGAAGTGCATAGGTTCTGTCAGAGTACAAGAACACCTGAACGCCTGCATCGTCACTCTCATAAAGAACAGGACTACGACTCCAATTTTAAAAAGGTTCTGCGCAGCCCTTGACATTGGATCACTTTAACTAGCAGTTTTGGTTAGAAGTGACATTAACATTAGCCATGGTACTTGCTTTTATATGTGTACGTACTGTATGTATACAAGTACTGCATTTTTTATTTAATGTTGTATTTATTATTTACTACTATTGACTGCTGTCTACAAGCAAGATTGGCCCACAGGGAGCTTTACTCTACCTCGCTAATCAATTATACCAAGTTCCCTGAACAAAGACACATCACTGTCTGTGTTTTGGGATTCATTTGAAATATTCTACAATGGAAATGAACAGAATCTTCTGACTGTCCAAAAGTATTTTTTATGAAATAATTGTTGACGTGAGACACGGAGAAATAAATCTACAGGACCAAAGATATATCTGTGTGCAGAAGGTGTATCTATGTCCTGCAGAGGTTTGATCCATTTGCAGGGTTCCCACTCTTTTAAAAAAATCCAGGACCTCTCCAGGAGTTTTTCTTGACAATACAGGACAGCACTTGCTCATAAACAGTCATGAGGCTTCAGGCAAATTGACTATATTAATTTGGCAGTTCCAATCAAGTAGAATTGATAGTATTTTACAGAAAATCCATCTTCTAGAGAGTCTAAGTGTGCATTGCAGGTAGAATGAACATCACTGTGCATGTATTTATCAATCACAGCATAGTATTGTATTGTGATGCTGTATGCATGTACAATTTCGCTTGCAGTTCTGGTAAAAATAGACTCAGATCACTGTAAGTCCGTTCTACTTTGCACCTGGTAAACCCATTTTAAGTGTTATACAGTCGAGTTACAAACTAACTAACTAACTTTCCAGGACAACTTAGATTATTCCCAGGATATTTGGTCATTTTAATCCAGGTGTTTCCATGACTGGAGAACTAGTCCAGCTTTTCCAGGACACGTGGGAACCCTGTATTTGATCTATTTGGTCCTACTGCTTGACTGGGCAGGGATGTGTCACTGACTGCTGCCACTCAAATTACTTAATTTAGTTATGGAAGTCCAGGGTGGATCAGTAAGTTATGTATTTACTCATTTCTGATTATTATATTGTAATATTATTAAAATGATTATGGGTATGATTACAGCCTCCAGAATTAGTTTTAGCTATTGGACAGAGTCTAACCAGGTTCTAAAAGAAATGATCCAAGCTGTACACATCATTTTCACATTAACCAGCAAAAGCTTACCAAAGGTACGCACCTGTTGAAGGACTCACCTTTAGAGCGTTGATCACAGTTTCTATATGTGTCTTTACGGTCTCATGAGAAAACTCAGAGCTGGCCAGTGTGCACATGCTCTCCAAAGCCAAATAACGAAGGTTGGTTTCCCTGTGCTGCAGAAACTGGCCTAACTGGTTGCAGGCCCGTACCAACAGGGTGGGCTCACTGAGAGACAAGATAGAACAACTAACTGTAGTGTCCAAATGCAAAAGACACATTTCAACATCCAAAAACCTGCAAGTACTACACAACACAGGAATGTGAACTACTGACAGCTAGGGTTGGCCTGTGGCCTTGATGTTAACTTTAAAGATAAAGCATAACTAAATGTTCTGTTAATGGTGTTTCTGGTGCAGTGGACTAAAAAAGTTGGACTAAATGAATGAGAAAATTCATCAGAAATTCCTGATTTTCCATTTCCAGAACACACATCTGGAATTCCATGATATTCCAGAAATTCAATGAGCAGCAGGAAGCTTGTCGCAGTGAATATGACCAACCTGTCATGGTGGATGATGAGGGAGATGGCTTCAAACAGAACAGCATTCTTTGCGTTGGAGTGCTGGACCTTTTTGGACTTGGGTGGCTCCTGGGCTTTGTTGAGGATGGTCTCCAGACACTCTGTCAGGCGACTTCGCAGCGCTGCATCCTCTGCAACGACAAAGGCTATGTTCTTAACACCTCCTAGCCTTTACTTTAACTACTGTCATCCAACATCAATAGTCTTAACATCCTAATATCAGACACAGATTCTGCTGACACACCTGTTCCAGGCCAAGAGTAATTAATGGTAGCTGGAAAAGCAAATGTAATAAAAATTTGTGCTGACACTAATAAGACAGTGGTGTATTCATCAATTAAATTCCTGCTCTGTAGTCAATGGATGAGATTGATATTTATCTTCTCATTTCACTTTCAGACCATGTTTAATTATACCCTAAATGTTAAGCTCTAGAGCTATTAGTCTGGGACAAGAACTCTATACAAACACTATATACTAAAGGCTGCATACTGTTTTTTACATGTTAGCAGGGCCAATTACCTCAGTAATATGAGAATGTATTTCTATCCATTATTGTGCTTTTAGGCTTAAAGCAAACATGTTGACTACTGACTGTGAAGGTGCCGTTATTTCAATAAATATAAAAACACAAATTAGTTCTGTCTGTGGGCAAAGCAATGGTCTTCCTGTGTGAGTTTGGTAGCTTTCATATGTTACACATGGGGCGTCACCACTCAAAGGTTGAAAACCACTGCATGCAATAAACAGTTGTTTGGTGATGGGACTGTACACTGGATCATAATTGCTCCTGCACAAACACATGACTGTACCATACCATACCAGGAGGAGGGTAGCACTGCAGCAGGCGCAGCAATTTGACCGACAACCATGGTGCAGCAACAAAGTAGTATGTGTAGTCCTGTAGGTCGATGGACGCGGAAGTCACGATCTGGACAAGCAAGAACAAGATTAACACATCAATAGATGTTGAAATCAGAGTTTATCTTTGACCTCAGTGGGATGAAGATATCATGTGAAGTTGCAGAATGACACACACCCTACTGAGCCGGGCCACAGCCAGTGAGATGGATGTTTTGAAGTCATCCGGACTCTTCTGGGCCAGAGTGGTAATAAGGCTGGCGGCTGCTGTTACCACTCCCTAAAAATGGACATACACACCTTAATACAAAAAATACAGACCAGCTGACACAATATTTCAACATCCTGGGCCTGTTTCATTAAACAAAAAAAAAGAAACATCAAAATGTTTTTCCTAACATTTATTTTGTTTTTTTGGAGCTGTTTCACCACCACCCACAATGGATTTGATTTTTTTTTTTAGCTGTGAGCATTTCCTACATGCATTGCACAACAGCACCTCTACAATCAACCCTATTAAGCCTGCATACTACTGCTCGGCTTTGAGTATAGTGTATTGTGTCACTTTTCAACAAACTACATATTCAATACCTGCTTAGAACCATAATATACTATGGAACTGGGACTCACTAGGTGCTGGTCATTAAGCAGATGGACCACTCGTGCTGTCCATTCACCCATGGGCACCAGGTCAGCAGACGTCCTGTTGAGTCGCAGCAGACACAGTGCTGCACTCTGCTTCACGCTGTCCATGGTGTCCCTGATAGGGGCAAGTACAATACAGCTTCATACCCAGCTCTGACACAGCAATCAGAGAGCCATCAGTAAACAGAGAGGCATGTTGAAATACATGCATGGATTGTTTCCTGTAAATCCCTTGTGCATGTGAAGGCAATTTGAATGCCGCCCAGCAATGGCAGACTGCAGTGAAAACTCTACAAGAGGCAATTACAAAATGTAAATGCAGCAAACAGCTATTGCAGAAGAAATGGAAACATAAATTGGGTCTGAAATAATGAAAATTTTAAGGATCATAACTTTTAGTCAAGAGGTGATCTGAATGTCACCGTGTGTAATTGCTTTTGCTTCAAAAAATGAGAAGTCATACAGGCAATTTTCTTATTTTTTTTTAGATGCTTGTCAAATGTAACCAAGAGAGACTAGTGTAGTGTAGTAACATCTTAGCCATTTGTTTGACACTTAGAGCCAGTTCAAACCTGTGCTTTAAGGTTTATGTACAAACCCTGCCACCAAGATGCTGGGGATATCAGAAGCAAAAGCCTCAGCCATTTCTCTGCTGCCCACGTTAGCAATGCAGTGCAGGGCCAGGTTCATGAAGGTCGGGTTGCGGCTGGCCAGGTCATTCTTAATGCCGTTGTTGATTAGACGGATCAAGTCGCTGTTTGAGTTCACCAGCACCGAGATGAACAGGTAACCCTGAAATAGGAGAAGTGTCTTTAGTGCAATTCCTGCATATAAAAGGAGAAACATTATATGTGTCATGTTACTTGTACATGCCCTAGTCCCCACCCCTTCAAACAAATATATTTGCTTGATAAATGATCAACAAGCTCTCAACTTTAGACAGTGGATGAACATGAGGACAAACTTACAATTTGTTTCTCTGTGTACTTGTTGGAGCTGAGGAGGTTGACGGCCTCCATGTGTCCAAAGTCGATATCATGGCCCAGAAGGAAGATAAAGAGCAGCTTGCAGACATACTTTTTTTTACTGTAGCCATCTAGAGCTTTGTCTCCTAGCCACGCACGCACAAAGACACACACACATCCGCACCCACACACACAAAGATGGATTTGAATGTCTACATGAAGTTACAAAAACGCAACCCTATGAGTATGGTAGGGGTTAAAGAATGCATTCAGTCATTTTATACCAAACTGGTGAGTAATGGAGGAAAAGGCAGGGTGGAATGAAGTATTGATTAGGATATTCGGAGTTGACTCAGAGTTGGCACTTCAGAACAATGTCAGTATTTTATTTTCTCATGTGCTCATCCGTAGCATTATTACTTATGTTTTCTTTCTTCAATCACACAGGATGGCAGTAGATGAGGTTGTACCATTGTCTGTTTCTAAACAAGTGACGCCACCCATTGGTTTGTGCACTACCATTTGTGTGTTCTGGTAGCGACTTGTAAATCACAAGGTAGCCCCGCCCTAAAGCATACCCTGCTGTATGGTCTATTTTACTCTAAATGGGACCATCATTTACTAAATGAACATCATGCTGCATGGAAGAAGACTGAAACTAGAGACTGAGACCCTAAACTCATTAGGAAACTGTTTACTGAGCTCATAAATCAAGTCAGAAGTCAGACTTCTTTTTGTAGCCAGTAGAACCGCCCCCTGCTGCCCATTAGGAAGAATGCAGAGCACTTCAGCGGTGGCTTCACTTTTCTGACCCAGAAGCTTCGTCCACTATTTATTAAACATAGTTTATGTTGCTCTGTGTACAATGACGCAGCAAAAAAGTGCAGTGCAGACCAATAATCAGAATATGTTAGTTCCACAGAGAGTATACTACTCTGTCTGTAGCTGTTAGCTTAAGTAGTTAGCTAGCCAGGAAGTTGAGCATGCTTGTTTTCTTTGCCTTAAATTGAGTCTGTAAAGTTACTTAAGTGCTTTTAACTTATTGGAAATGTACATTTTATAACTTTAAAGAGTAACTTGCAATGGTTAGGTTAAGGTGACACACAACCTAACTGCAGGCAAAGAAGACAAGTTGTGAGGAAACAGTCCAACAACACTGTTGTAACTACAGTGGGAAGTTGTTCCCACTGTAGTTACAGGGATGTTTTTTGACATTGCAGTGATGATCCTAGTTGTCAATTATGTCCAGGACATGCATGTCATCAGAGACTACAGTAGCCGTAGAGACTGTTTCTCTATATATAATGACATCAGACCCAGTACCACACTATGCTGTTGAAGGTTAGATGCATAACAGAAGCTCCACTCAACAGAAGCAGTGGGGGGCATACTTTTCCAGCATTGGATTTGGTGTGCCTCGGGCTGAAAACATTCAGAACTTACAGGAAAAGGACAAAGAAATAAGTAAACAATCACCACCAAACAAACAGGTCAATCCTTGGCCTAATGCAGGGACAGGAGAGCACATAGGGAATATGCTACAATGAACATAGGCCAGTATTCTGGGCACTATGGGTACAGGAGGCTGCTTCATTCTGGAGCAAACTAATAATAGGCAGCGGGGGAACAGGTGGCAGGAGAAGCAACACCACCAGGACAGACACACTCACAGTGAGACGTGTGAACGTTTAACAGTGCAAACACAGCAACAGCCATTGAAAAACTGCAAAGACACTGAAAAGGAGGCAAAGTCATGAGATGAGTTAGCAAATAGGATTAACAACAACAAGAAACGTTGCCCTCCATGCCATATGCTTCCCTATCCCTGATGTTTGTCCTGGTTCGTCAGAGTTGTTCACCTACCTTTAAATTTGGAACGGATATTGGCCAGTTCTTTGTTTATCCTCTTAATTTCTGCCTCTTTACTTTTACCTGCAAATACATCAAGATAAGTTGCATGTTATGTAGTGCTGTGATCACGCTTAATGTTGAATAAACCATCCCTCTTCCGTGTTTACACTGCTTTGTTCCTATTTGATAAGCTGAGAGGAATAAACTGTGAAACACTGTCAATCAATGCAACAGAAGGAAGACAGTGAAGCTCTATGATACAGAGACATGCAGTACTAGCTACACTCAGTTGCCACTTTATTGGATACACCTTTCTAGTACTGGGTAGGACCCCCCTTTTTCCCCTGAACTGTCCATGGCACAGATGCAACAGGGGGCTGGAGAAACTCCCCATACATCATACATTCGTTACACATCTAATCTAAAACCATCACTGGATAATGTTATTATGTTATAATAATGCAGTTGAATGATGTCTCTTCTAACATGCTGTACCTCACTCTCTTAAATAACAGCCACGTTCTGAAATCATAAACATACAGCATAAACCAATATATTTTTCTATTTCATTAATTCATAAAAGTTCCATCTAAAACATGTGACTGGCTAAGATAACCATGTATATTAGATTGTAACATCCATGGAATAATGGAAATATGCATGACTTTTCTTTGTTTTGATAATGGAATTATATATCAGCCATCAGCTGCCCTGCTCTCTAAATATCAGCATCTGCCACGGTATCCCATAAGGTTCCCTTATGTATGCTGAGAAAATACACCAAACACTATTACACCACCAGCAGCCTGAATTGCTGACATGAGGCAGAAAGGATCCATGAATTTGTCTTGCTTGGATTTTTGGGGGTTTTTCACACCCTTCTCGGTAAACTTTAGAAACCATTGTGTGTGAAAATCCCACAAGATCAGTAGTTTCTGAGATACTCAAATCACCCTATCTGGCACAATCCACAGTCACACAGATCTACCTTCTCGCCCATTCTGATGTTTGGTCTGCACAACAACTGAAGCTCTTGACCATGTCTTGACATGTTTGCATTAATAAGCAGGTGTACTGTACCTAATAAACTGCTCACAACTGTAAAATGACCGAAAAGAGCTGGGACTGGTGGACTGACAACACAACAAGCTGATCTGTGTGAGCTTTGTGCGGTTGTGACTGGACATTCCCAACAAATTACAATGCTTGAGCAATGTTGACATACACATGCCATTCACATTAGTCAGTGACATCAATATCTTCTGAAATCTCAAACCAAGGAAGGAATAGTCCATGAGCCATTTCTATCGTCCTTTTTACTCAAGTCTATTTACTCTTCACATCATCCTTGAATCCTTTTTTACAGTTATCAGGTAAAGATGTCATTATAACAACATGTTAGTTCTTTTCTCAAAATTGTGACATAAAGACTGTATAATCACACGATCTATGGACAATGACTATGATAATGTTTTGTCCTAATTATATTATAAGTCATAAGTATGGGATGTGAAAATCAACACACAATATTTATATTAATTCAATTTTTACATATACACACTATAATGGGACAGAAAGGACTGTGTGTGGTCACAATGGAAACTATAACTCAGCATACAGTGGGTACGGAAAGTATTCAGACCCCTTTAAATTTTTCACTCTTTGTTTCATTGCAGCCATTTGCTAAAATCAAAAAAGTTCATTTTATTTCTCATTGATGTACACTCAGCACCCCATCTTGACAGAAAAAAACAGAAATGTAGAAATTTTTGCAAATTTATTAAAAAAGAAAAACTGAAATATCACATGGTCATAAGTATTCAGACCCTTTGCTCAGTATTGAGTAGAAGCACCCTTTTGAGCTACTACAGCCATGAGTCTTCTTGGGAATGATGCAACAAGTTTTTCACACCTGGATTTGGGGATCCTCTGCCATTCTTCCTTGCAGATCCTCTCCAGTTCTTTCAGGTTGGATGGTGAACGTTGGTGGACAGCCATTTTCAGATCTCTCCAGAGATGCTTAATTGGGTTTAGGTCAGGGCTCTGGCTGGGCCAGTCAAGAATGGTCACAGAGTTGTTCCGAAGCCACTCCTTTGTTATTTTAGCTGTGTGCTTAGGGTTATTGTCTTGTTGGAAGGTGAACCTTCGGCCCCATCTGAGGTCCTGAGCACTCTGGAAGAGGTTTTCTTCCAGGATATCTCTGTACTTGGCCGCATTCATCTTTTCTTCAATTGCAACCAGTCGTCCTGTCCCTGCAGCTGAAAAACATCCCCATAGCCTGATGCTGCCACCACCATGTTTCACTGTTGGGATTGTATTGGGCAGGTGATGAGCAGTGCCTGGTTTTCTCCACACATACTGCTTAGAATTAACGCCAAAAAGTTCAATCTTGGTCTCATCAGACCAGAGAATCTTATTTCTCAGTCTGGGAGTCCTTCATGTGTTTTTTGGCAAACTCTATGCGGGCTTTCATATGTCTCACACTGAGGAGAGGCTTCCATCGGGCCACTCTGCCATAAAGCCCCGACTGGTGGAGGGCTGCAGTGATAGTTGACTTTGTGGAACTTTCTCCCATCTCCCTACTGTATCTCTGGAGCTCAGCCACAGTGATCTTTGGGTTCTTCTTTACCTCTCTCACCAAGGCTCTTCTCCCACGATTGCTCAGTTTGGCTGGACGGCCAGGTCTAGGAAGAGTTCTGTTCGTCCCAAACTTCTTCCTTTTAAGGATTATGGAGGCCACTGTGCTCTTAGGAACCTTTAGTGCTGCAGAAATTCTTTTTGTAACCTTGGCCAGATCTGTGCCTTGCCACAATTCTGTCTCTGAGCTCCTTGGGCAGTTCCTTCAACCTCATGATTCTCATTTGCTCTGACATGCACTGTGAGCTGTAAGGTCTTATATAGACAGGTGTGTGCCTTTCCTAATCAAGTCCAATCAGTTTAATTAAACACAGCTAGACTCCAATGAAGGAGCAGGACCATCTCAAGGAGGATCAGAAGAAATGGACAGCATGTGAGTTAAATATGAGTGTCACAGCAAAGGGTCTGAATACTTATGACCATGTGATATTTCAGTTTTTCTTTTTTAATAAATTTGCAAAGATTTCTACATTTCTGTTTTTTTCTGTCAAGATGGGGTGCTGAGTGTACATTAATGAGAAATAAAATGAACTTTTTTGATTTTAGCAAATGGCTGCAATGAAACAAAGAGTGAAAATTTTAAAGGGGTCTGAATACTTTCCGTACCCACTGTAATAGAACTGTTTCACGTCAGCCATTTTGCCATTAAATAATCATCATTATCAGTGTTACCAGTGATACTACTTAAAGCTGCAGTAGATGACTTTTTTAAAAATAACTTTTTCTCATATTTGCTTAAACTTTCACTATATCCTGACATGAGACAGACAATCTGTGAAACAATCAGGTTTCTCTGGCTCCTCCTAGTGCTCCTAATGGCATTTGCAAGAATCCGCCGGTGAACGAAAACAACCAATCAGAGCCAAGAAAGATAGTTGATAGCTGAGTCTCACTGCCAGGTCTTCAAAACAACCCAAGCATTTGCATTTGAAGACCTGGGATGAGACGCAAAAATCAACTATCTTTCTTGGCTCTGATTGGTTGTTTCTGTACAGGCAGGATTTCTACAAACAGCATTAGGAGCACTAGGAGGAGCCAGAGAAACCTGATTTTCACAGGTCATCTGTCTCGTGTACTACTGACAGGATATAGTGAAAGTTTTAGCAAATATGACAAAAAAATATTTTCATGAAAGTTACCCACTGCAGCTTTAAGTTTCTGTTCCATTTAGTGTAGCAGAGCCTTTCCAGTGAGCCAACATGCACAATAGCAGCACCCTGATTGTTTGACCTGAATGGACTGGAACCTTAATCAGTATCACTGGTAACACCTGTGTTTAATCTACTATTTCATGTCAAAATGGCTGCTGTGAAGAAGGTCTATTAGATCTTATTAGCTGGCCAGTTCCTCTTCAAAGGTTTTCAGCTGAACGCTTGGGAACGTTTGAGCTCTAGTCGGGCGGTTTTTAACCCGCTTTATCCGAACTGACTGAGGGTAAAATACACCAGCGCTGTTCAGTTGGAGCTGTAACGTTAAGTTACACGTCCTAATGTCGTTACCTGAAATATTCCTCACAAACACTGGTGAAACGGTCAGTCGTAACGTTTTGCAAAACACTAATAAGTGGTGTCTATTTCTGGCAGGGACGTTTAACTATATGAAAACTAACGTTACAAACGACACACAGTTGACCCGCGACAGAGCTGACAGTTAACGCCAGTTAGACATTAACCCTGAGCGGAGCGGTCCACGCCCTTCGACATGACGTTAGCAACGGGAAGCTAGCGGCTAATTAGCTACAGTAGGCTAGCCAGCTGAGCGGTTGTCTAAACACACTTTAATATGTTAAAGTTACTTAAATTGTGTCCGAAAAGGGCAAAGGGAGAACATGACATATTCTGACCTGTCAGGTTGCTAATGCAGATCAACGTTACACCAGCGAACTAGCCTGTTAGTAGCCTGACTAACAGTTGTCTATGAATGTGATAAACAAACTTACAGTTCCTGATGTCAGAGATGAACACGGCCAGGCCACGCATCCCATCCCCTTTAGAGACGGCAGGCATTTTAGTACACCCCCTGTTAATGTAACGTTTTCTCTCCTGTATCTAAAATAGCCCAACTATATGGGGCAACTTTGTTTCAAAGTTTGTGAACCAGCTAGCAACCGCTGTACAGTACAGGGAGCCCCGATATATGACGGAGACGGGAACCAGACAAGCTGCGGCTGCGTCCCATACATCTGGAGCTACACCTAAAAGCAGGGCTGCGTCCCATACATGTGCAGTTTCACGACAACAAAAACAACCAGCGTTCCCTCACGTGGATCAACCTAATAAACTAAGGGGTTGTGTTGCAAACATAACATTAACTCTAAAGCTGAAATTAATGTTTTATTTTTTTTTCTTCTTTTACATTTTATGTTTATTTATTATATGTATGTGTATTAACTTGCTTTCTTTGTTTTTAATGGTTCCATTGAAATACAGTATTATTAATTATTATTATTATTGTTATTATCATTATTATTAAATTCTCAGCACGTACAACATTTGCACTGCCAAATCCTATTCCTAGGATTACCAACCAATGAAATGGAGAAACCAAACCAACCCACATTTTGGGATTTTTGGGAATATTGGGCTTTAAATTTCATTCACCATGGCTAAAATAATACAGGATCCATTTCTTAGCAGTTGCCAAATATTTGAAAAAAACTGAATTGAATTACGGTTCCTCAACTGTGATTTTCACTTCTCTCTCTCCACTCTGCCGAGCAGGTCTATGTGGTTGTGTAGCTCGTGTTTTGTAACAGCCCTGACCTTTGAATACTCACCTCTGTGTATGCTTCTATTTATATATTTATACTTAAAGATGTCAGTTTCGGAACAAATTGTTTCTTTTGTTCACATTTAATAACACAAGATATATCAATGGTGCAAAACCTAAATAAAAATTAGTACAAAGTATGAAAAAACTAATCAACAAAGCTATAAATAGTATACGTTCTTGTGTATAATATTAACTTCATATTTCTCTTAAGAACTGCAATCTGGTACTTTTTTGTAAACGTGTAACATAGTAATGTTATTCACACTGAACATTCTGCAGTACTTTCAAAATTTCAAAACATGGGCAACATCATATTTGTCCCCTTTGTCATTTTGGTGTACCCGGTGTAAATCCATGGATCAAGGATCGAGTAGTTGCCCCCTGTCCTCCTCATACAGCAGCTTGGGATGACCACTCTATTTCCCTCTCCCAACTGACCAGGGCATTGACACCTCCCTCTGCAACTGGATACTGGACTCCCTAACCAACAGATCCCAGTTTGTTAGGTTAGACAACCTCACCTCCTCAACCCTCACCCTGAACACCGGTGCACCACAGGGCTCTGTGCTGAGTCCGCTCCACTACTGCATGCCAGTACTATGGTTCTAACACCATTATCAAGTTTGCAGACCAGAACAACGAGTCAGGCTTCAGAGGAGACGCGGTGTGGTGCGCTGACAACAACCAGACCCCCACCACCATAAGACCAAAGAGTTCATTGTGGACCTCAGGAAGACCAAAGACAGCACACACAACCCCATCCGTATCAATGGGACAGAGGTTGAATGTGACATCAGCTTTGAGTTTGGGGTTCACATCTCTGAGGACCTTTGTTACTTGTCTCGGGCTGGAAAGAACTGCAGAGGGTGGTGAACACTGCCCAGAGAATCACCGGTACTCCAGTATACACCACTAAGGCAGTAAAACCACAGCTCATGTACTTTACCGTTGACACACATGATTCATTTTTACTGGTCTAGCACAAGCTGTGTCTGCGGAGGGCGCCCAGCATCATCAGAGACAACTCTCACCCCTGGCCACAGATTGTTGGCCTCCTCCCCTCTGGGAGACGCAATAGGATTCTTTGTTGCTGATCTCTGCACCACACTGATACTATATATTCCCTACTGCAACTTCTGCACATACTCTGTATATACTGTACTGTAAAAACTGTATATATCTAGTGTACTCATATAACTGTTCATACTTTATATATCATCTACCCCTTACTGTTATCCTATATATTACCTCCTTTACACATGTACATTACTCTGCACTTTACTGCTTTTACACTGCTGGTTAGATGCTACACTGCACGTAATTTTCTCAGTACTCAGTGCAATGACAAATTTAATCTAATCTAATCTAATGTTGCTACAACAGAAGCTGCCAGTAAGCAGCATACCTGAACTCCCTCAAATCAACACCAGGTTAACGACTGTTTTTGGATTCAACATCTGAAACATAAGTTAGAGAGGGAGTAATGTGATGAGCCTGTTGCTTTCTTTTAGCATAGCTTTTGCAATTCTCTGTCTGTATTGTGTATTTTTAAAATATTTTTTTAACAACGATACAAGCTAGGCTTCTTTTTTGGCAAATTGTGTATTCTTCTTCCTGACACTTGACCATTGTTCTGTTGGACAATTTACTTTTCTTCACAGAAGAGAACCAAATGCTGAGATATAGGCCTACTGTGTATAATGTTTGAATATTTGTTTACTCCTTAATATCAAGAAGGCCTTGCAACCCCCTATGAGGCTTTGGCAACCCCTTGTGGAATTTTAACTGATCTTCATTGAACCATATTTAAATACTTTCAATGTCTATGACTTTTCCAAAAACTTTTTTGGTTTCACAGATTTTTCCAAAACTTTCTCAAGCCTGGAAATAGCAGTTTACAAATTCCATGACTTCTGCAGATTTGTTTTTTGTTTTTTAAATACTTTTTAAATACTGTACAAACCCTGGACTAGTAAACAGAAGATCAATCACAAACCTGTACATGAGCTGCCTGCAGGGTTTGATATACAGGCGAGGTCTAAAATATCCTAATTTCATTTTTTTTCTATACGTTTATATTTTCCTGCATGTTTAGGCTCCTGAAATAGATAATAGGTTAATATAAAGCACTTGTTAACATGTGCGTTTATTGACACATAACAATAATTTGTGTCTAATAAACATAATGTTGTCTATTCCTGCTGTGGCAATCAGTTTGGGGTGAATATGGTAATGTTTCTTTGTTGACCCGGGCTAAATATTCCCTGTATGAATTAAAATGTATAGATTTTTGCAGATAGGCGGGTGCATTAATGTATGCACCTATGTGTAAAGGCCCATCCCAACCCTGAAAAATATGGCTCCCCTGGTGTAATTCGAACACTGGTTTGTAGTGAAATTAGATATTCTTCACTCTCAGGCGTTCTCTCAACCAGTGAAACCACAGCTTATGTACTTTACCGTTGAAACCACAAATCATTTTTATTGGGAGCAAAGAATATTATTGTATTTATTATTTCATTCTTCACAGCATTCTCTTGAGAAGTGATTCAGTGCTGCATCAATCATCCATGTGAATTATCAAACTGTTTCAGTGCTGAAAGGGTTGTAGCATAATAAAATAAAGCCACAAAAATACATGTGTGGTTGCAGAATGACCCCGCAGAGACCATACAGCAGTAGAGCCCATTGGACCTCTAAATGCTACACAAAGGCCTGGGCTCTCTAATGTTATTAAGACAGAGCAGATGGATAACACTCTAAAATTGGTTTTCATTAAGCTCATCAAAAGAGCAGACCTGCATCAAGGTCAGATTTACCTCTCAGAAAATCATGACTGTAGATTACTTGTTACTGGTGAACCTGCATTCTCAGGGGGTTGTTGAAGGTCAGATCCGGCTGGAAATGTGTTTAAATATACCAGGTCTCTTATGGGGCCTCTTTAAACAGGCTACTGTTTCAGACAAAATTAAAGAACCATAGAGACTTCCTGGCTCTTGCTGTAATTACAGTTACTCATCATGGATAGATTACTGCAAAGTAGGCACGTGCCCAGGGCCCTGGACCTTTTAGGTAGAGAGAAATATGTGTGTAAGGAGGAATTAAAGGTCCAGTGTGTAACATTTAGGAGGAGGATCTATTGGCAAAAATAGAATATTATATTGATAGGTATGTTTTCATTAGTGTATAATCACCGAAAATAAGAATTGTTGTATTTTTGTTACCTTAGAATGAGCTGTTTCTGTCTACAGAGGGAGCGGGTCCTCTTCTATAAAGTCTGCCATGTTGAACCGCCATCTTTCTACAGTACAGAAGGCCCTTCACACTTCAAGTTTCACAGCCACCATAGTTTCTCCTACTTGCTTGGAAGCTAGCTGCAATCTGCAGCTTCACCATGACATGCCACTAAATACACACTGGTAATTTAAATTCCACATGAAACATAAATCAGAGAGTTATTTGCTTCTGCATATTTACATATTTCCATTAAAAACAGACAGCTGGAGAGGGATTTGTTGCAGTAGTTTAATAATGTGATTATGAAATAATATGACCAGGACTTATTATTAATAGTCATGGGTGTAGTGCTTTCAATAAAATGAAAGAAATGTATTGAGACTGAATGGAATGAATACTAATTTCTGAATGACTGATGCAGAATAAGAGTGACAGCAGCAGCAGATGATTTAAGGGTACTCTGTGGAGTGTTCAGGTTTGCAAATGTTTTATGAGGAAGGAAATGCATGCAATGCAACAAGTTTGTTCGACCTCAACTTAATTGAAACCAGCCCAGATAAAGAAAAGTCAGCAGTATCCCTGTGTTTGCAACATGTTGTAAATTTCACTTGGTGGGGTTGTATATTTAAGGTTTATTTTCCACTAAATCCCTGCACCACACCCAACTACAATACAGTGCCATTACTGCAGGTATCAACCGAGGCAGAATATTTAGCATGCAGTCATCTGAAAATTGAACTGAATTGGAAATGTTCCTCACTTTTTTTTATAGAAAGAGATTTTGGACATATTTGTAGAAACAGCATCTAATATTCAAGCCTCTGGGTGGGCGCCAACAACAGCTGTTAACTAACATTAGGGGGACTAGAATTGATAATGCCAGAACTACCAAAAACTCTCCCTGGATAATACCAACTTTAGGTGTGTCGTGACTGCAGGATAATGAAGAAAACTTTTATTTATTCTTTTTGGTGATTACAATTTTAATTAGATAAGTTTAAAAAAAATCAAGGATACATTTATCCTGACTTCTCGGACAAAATTGAATTTTAATTTCAGTTTGACTTTGAACACTCGTGTCTAAAAAATAAGAGCATCTGTGAAGCACACTGTGACTATTAAAGTAGTAGAATTTGTGTGGCCTACCCCTCTGCCAGTGATACTAAACATACGTCAGTCCTGTGCTTCAAGCAGCGTCAGAAAGCCACATTCATCGTGTGGGAGCAAATCTCTGAGCCATATCCTCTAAGTCATGTGAACAAGTGGAGTCCTGATTCTGCTCGGAATATCTTTAAAGGAGAATCAGTTGAATTGAATTAGTAATATAAACCAAGAGTTACAAGCCTAAAACAATGATGTGCATCTCTGACATATGAAGACAGTGGATGAAAGCAGCCACAAACTCTAAGCTGTTCCTTGAGAATGTCTGATTCACTCATTAGTCTGTTTTTACAGTAGGGGAAACCTCATTATTTTCACCTCTAATGTTGCTACTGATGGTAAGAACTCGTAAACATGTTGGTTGCTCATAACAGCAACATCATTAACGCACCATGCAGTCTTTAGTACTTTAATGAGTCAGCTGTATCTGTATATGGAATTAACCAGCATTACCAATGCAACACAATATCCAATTACACTGTACAACAGTGATCGATGTTGCCTGCAATTTGACAAAATTCTACCTATGTGATGGCAAAAATTTTAATTGAAAGTGTGATCTGTTTAAAGGTTAAAAAAAGGTATTGTATCATTTTTTACAGGACAGTTAATTGCATCTATGTATTTTTTGGAAACTGTAAATTGAATATACAGTAGTTCACCGACTAGCCCTACAGCCACATTGCACAGATGGATTTCACTGTGTCACTTCTACATTCCTCCTTCAATAGTTATTTTTAGGTGTTTATGGTATTGTTGTTGCTGTAATGTTTTTCTAGCATATTTGTATCAACTTTCTATCCTCTGAAGCTCATTGTAACTTCTGAAATAGTTGTTTAAATTGTTTACATACAGCCTTTATTCTTATTATACTGTTCAATATCTGAATAATTACTTCATGGCTACGTGAATCAGTTATTGGACCTTTTGTCAGGCAATTATGTCAGTTGTGACTAGGGTTGCAAATATATAATACTCAAGATGGAAACTTTTCATTGAAATGAATGGGATATTATTGGAGTTAACAGAAAATAACAGGAATACAATGGAAATATAGGAGTTATTTATCATTATATTATTATTACAAATAGATAGCAAAATTAGCAGAAGGTGTAAGTACCTGTGTAGCCAACTTTGCTTTAGGCTATTATCTGCTGCCGCTAACTAAACTGTAAAATATAAAATATGTTCAGTCCAGTGATCATAATCCAAACCTACCTGAAAGCATGCAGTCCTTTGGCTCAGATAGCGCAGCAGTGTTGGCAGAAGTGTGGGCTAAACATGTAATGGGACAATGCACACTGCATTCGGAGGGTTTTAATTTTACTGAATTTTAATTGGAGTCTGGCAAATTATCTGTACATTTGATGGAAGAGTGCGCTGCTGCGTGCAGTTCAGGGTTACATTTCAATTAAATGGACATACTTTCAACCAAAACATGCCATAGTATTACATTTTTATGAGCATTTTCACTATTCACCATTCAAATGTATGATTTTTTATTGAAATTGTACCAAAATATTCCAAAATAACTTCCCTTTGGAACATTTCCAGAAACTTATCAACCCTTGGCCCTCCCTCCTGCTGGGAGAAGTGGCTGCTCTCTGTCTCCACGCACCCTCCCCTCCACTACAGCTTCATAAATACCACAGCATTTTGCTCGGTGTGACAGTACATATGGCAATTCGTACTATAGCTACTACAGTAGTCTTCTACTGCTGACACAGGCTTCCTTTTGGAGAACTTGCTGTCATCTAGTTTCAAGCTCAGCAGTAGCAAGTGGAGAACAACTTTATTGAGTCCATTTTGATCCAGAGACAGACATGTACGCCAAGAAATCCGAACAGGAGTCGCACAGAGGAAGGTCTTTTGACTCTGTAAACTCTGCTCATGAGGAGAAGCAGCTCAATAATGAAGTAAGTAGAAATAATGATGCTTGTGTTCTGTGTGTCTTTGAAAGGCTCCTCACATAAGAGAAGATTGGACTTGTTTAGTTGCAGTTTTAAGTTGTTTGACCACAACTGATGACTCTGTGCAACTGTCAAGTTGTTTCTATTATATATATACATATATATACAGTATATGGATGACATTCTATATTCTACAGCTCAATCATGACCGAACTGAAGTCTTGGTCATCAGTACTGAAGCTCAGAGAATATTACTCAGTTACAATTACTTCAAAACTCAGCAGCATTGCGATGAGGACCAGAACGAGAGCGCACATTAGACCAATTTTAGGTTTTATTGTGTGAAGCACTTTGTGTTACATTTCGCTTGTGTTAAAAGTGCTATACAAATAAAGTCGGATTGATTGATTGATTGATTGATTGATTGATTGATATTGATTGACTGATTGATAAAATTGCACATTATTTAAAGTCCGGGTAAAAAATAAGGTCAACTTTTGTTTTATTAAAAGAACAAGATTAGCTATTCAACCTGCAAACTGATGTTAGCAGTGCCGTTCCAGCCTGCTAAATTGTATCAGAACCAGTTTGTTTATGGTTGTAAGTTAAAGTTAAGAGCTAATGTGAGTTGCCTGTGGCTCTTATGTTGTATAGTGGGCTGTTCTCTGGCTCAGTGTGACAGTCTGCTTTGCCTGTGATAGAACACTGACATAACTTCTTTATGCAAGATTAGATGTAATGGTATTCCATCAAATTGATGCAAAATCATGAAACCACAAAATATGATTTATTTCTTTGTTTTGGTTTCAGACTTTTTTTTCTCAAAGGAGAACACAGAACATGGGATTCATAGAGCAGATATGTTGCAGACAACAAAAAAAAAAACATTTAATTTCAGTGGGACTTATTCTGGGTTGATAAATTTGACTGCAACATCATGCAAAACAGTCAAAATGTAACCCGCTCTAATGTGGACTAAAATGAGATGGTGTTAGCAGATTTATTATAACAAGTGTTAAATCAAAGCCAGGAGCCCCTCGGGCAGCAGGTTTGTTTAAAATCACACAGCGTAGAACCAACAGAAAATGTTCTCATGCACTGTTCTCTGCAATTACATCAAGTGTTTCTTGAATATTAAACATTAAATTTCGATCCTGTCCATCTACTACAGAGATCAGTTACACACTGTAATATGCATATAGACAAAAGACAAGCAAATTATAATATGTAAATATATATATTTCTTAAATCTTCACTACAGTACCTTTATCTTGCTGCTTAGTGGGTCTGTTGACCAATGAGCACTGAACACATGTTTTTTATTATTTATTTTAGGCCGCAGGGGAATCTCTGATGCATACAATACATATAAATGTTTTGTTTTTGTTTTTTTTTACATATGATTAAGGTTACCTTTAGTAAAATTGATGAGAACCAGGACAATAGGAGCATCTCCACTGGAAGGCCCACCAGCTCTGAGAAAAGCAGTGCAACTATCATATTCTCCCTGAAAAATGAAGTCGGTGGTCTTGTCAAGGCACTAAAGCTTTTCCAGGTGGGTGTTTGATTTAAAGTTTTTAAATTATGCCATAGCATGCTTTGTCATCTTTAAAAAATGTGTTTAGATGCTTTTCAATCTCGTATGTTATATGTGCAGGAAAAACACGTCAACCTCGTTCATATCGAGTCTCGCAAGTCCAAACGAAGGAATTCAGACTTTGAGATTTTTGTGGAGTGTGACACCGAGCACGAGCAGTTCAAGGATCTGACTCAGCTGCTGAAGAAGCACACTGATGTTGTTGAGATTACTACATTTGACAACTCCACTGTACCTGATGAAGGTAGGCCATACCTTACTGTTGACTGAACTCATATGCAATGTTATTTTAACTCAGAACAAAAATTTTAAGTAACAAACTCAATTTAAAGTTAAAAAACATTATGTTTTCTTATTCTATTTTGTTTTCACAGTACAAATAAAAATTCCAAAATTAAGTCAGTGTCACTTAAAGCTACTTGATCAAGAATGTTTTTTGACTTAAACTGTCAGTTTTACTTAAAATTTTGTTTCAACATTCCTTTTTATTTAAATTAACTTATCTGGCTTTACAGCCATATATATATATATATACATGCTTAAAAATACTACAATCTAGGCCTTTCACCAAGTAACATTAATAGCGTATGTGGTTCAAATCTAATTCCAGAGGTTTTGTATTAAATTATGATTACATGAGAACGCTGAAATTCATCTGAAACCTGCCCTGTCTTTCAGATATGGCTGGTGTGCCCTGGTTCCCTAAAAAGATCTCTGATCTGGATCTGTGTGCAGACAGGGTTTTGATGTACGGCTCTGAATTAGATGCAGATCATCCGGTATGTGGGACAGACGCTGTTGTTACAGCTCACATATATTTCTGCTTCTTGTCTAAAATGCCAGACAGACAGCTTCAGTGTCTTTACTTTTATAATGAGGAAACAGTGAAAATATGGACTGAGACTGTGCTGTTTTTGCAGGGATTTAAAGACAACGTATACCGCAAGAGAAGGAAATATTTTGCTGATTTGGCCATGAGCTACAAACAGTAAGTTCCATTGTTTCTTTGACTGTGATGCATTTGAAACTGTTTAAGTTTTGCTTTGATGTATCAAACTGATTTAGGTGACATATTTCAATAACAAAATAAACTGTATAAATAGGCACACGTGAATGTGTAAGCAGTAAATGTGAGCAAAATGATATGTGACAAAGTTTATTAATTGTTTGTCCTCAGAATTTTCCATTGAAAATATTCCCAAAAATCAGACCTCTAACTGAAGAAACTTTTCCTAAATATACATAGTTTGTCTCAGAAAGTGAGAGCACACTCCTTTTGTTTTACAAAGAGAAAAAACCTCAATGCCTTTATTTATATATATAAGTATTTAAAATGTGCATTGCTTCACTGATGATGAACGTATATCTCTTCAAAATGGCTGCTTTAATATGAAGTGATGCAGAAATAGCAGTAAAAATGGAACGTTCATTTACGCACAAATTGGCTCTTCTCACTGTGTACTAGGTTGCCATGGTTTGTCATTTCTAAAAAGTGAGTTTTATATTAATTTTATTGAAGTCAACACGTTAACTAACTCTTCCTGTCTGTCAGCGGCGATCCCATCCCTCGCATAGACTTCACAACAGAGGAGGTGCGAACCTGGGGCGAGGTGTTCAGGGAGCTCAACAAGCTGTACCCCAGCCATGCCTGCAAGGAGTATCTGAAGAACCTCCCTCTGCTGAGCAAATACTGCAGCTACAGCGAAGACAACATCCCCCAGCTGGAGGACGTCTCGCACTTCCTCAGAGGTAACTGTTTGAACCTCAGCCATGGCAATTCAGCCAAATACTGACATATAGTGTATACTATGTATACTGTGTATATTTTTTAAGTTTTCTAGCACTGATTAAAGTCAAGAAGGCCTCGTTGGCCCCCCATGAAGCTTTGGTGACCCCTAGTGGTGTTCCGGAAGGTTCATTCTTAATCAATCCAAATCCACAGTTTAGGTCAGTGGTTCCCAACCTGGCAGTGTCAATGGCGAGAAAAATAGCTGGCAAACCCCAAAACCCCAAGAAGGGTCCAACTGTCATCCTCCCTCCTGAAGCCCCTAGCTCTGTGGGCCAATGGGGTTTGAGCATGAGTAGTAGAGTTCCATATGGAGAAAGATCAGTGAACTTTAACTTATTTCACCTTAGCCATCCACCAAAATTTGTTTCTGATCAAATTTTAGAAATAAGCTGTCCAATTGCTGAAGCTTCACTCATATTAGATCTACAAGGCCTAATTTCAACATTTGCTCTGACTTTCATGAGGAAAGAGCACAATGAGAGACCGTGTTAACCGGTGACTTTCAGCCGAATGTGTCTCTGGTTACTCACAGTGCAGAGCTGCCAACTCTCACGCTTTCGCCGTGTGACACACGGTCTTGCCTGTTTTCACATGCACTCACGCCACACATCCAATTTCTCATGCAAAAAAAATCCGATCTTGGGCCTAGACTCGTTCGTTCCTTTTTAAACTCCCCAACGGTAGATGGCACTGAACCCTATGCACTGCACCCATATATGCTGCACCCCGTTCTATATATACAGTCTATGGCATAGATATACATAATAAAGGCTAGATGTCTTACGGCGGAGTTTCTAACGTCATCGCCGGCGGCCATCTTGTCACAGGCAAGCTTTCTGGCGGGCTATGTGGTACCTGATGTGAGGTGAGTGATCTGCACAAACACAAATACTCTTATCTCACTGAAATATGGCTAGAAATATGGAAATGTGGCTATAAATCTGGATGCTTGAACATGTTGAATTTTTATTTTATTTTATTCATAAGTATGCAGTGTCATAACTACATCTCTGACATTTATAACAAACCAAACCGTTTGAAAATCGGTATAAAATTGAGCAAGTTATGGTTATTTAAAAAGTACATGCACCATTAAAACAATATTATGAGTGAGCGAGCTGACTGTGGCAAGATGGCCGCCAAGTGCGGACGTCGACCTCCATTGGCCAGCAGCGCGGACGAGACATCTAGCCTTTATTATGTATATCTATGGTCTATGGCACCCCAAAGTTAGGGACAGAAGAAGAGATACCGAGAAAGACAGCGGGAGAAACTACCTCGAGAAGTCTGATGAGAATCTGAGCTGAGACTAGGTATGTAACAATGAAATGTCGTCCAATTGAGTACTCACTCTCTTAAACTTTAAATCTTGAAATAAATTATTTGTTTGTGTTTGTGCGTGTGAACATGATTTAGTGTGGTGAAAGCTGTCATAGCAAGCAGCAGGAGACCCGTTTTTGGCTGAATATAAATCATGAAGTGCTCTTAAGAATACAATTATTCACAGCATAGGTTAGGTTTCAGTTAAGAATTAGTTTAATACCATTCTAATCAAAATATCAATCAACCTACAGGTACCTAGGTCAAATCTTAAACACTGGTCTATAAGGCTTTATTGGGATACAGGCAGTCATTTAGGCACAACAATAGTTTTCTGGTTGAATGTTCAGCTCAAGTCTAGAAGGCCCTACAAGTCATGATGCCGAACATGAATCAGAATAAGTTCAGGTATTGCACATCTTTAGCAGACCACCCAAAAATCCACTAGAATGCAGGAAATCACATCTACCCAAAATTTCCCTGGGGGTGGACCTTCAGCTATGTCTGCTTCTCAGAATGTAACCAATATTGTCCATCTCCAGTAGGCTGCCCCTATCAGCGGCTTTGGGCCTCCCCACAAACCACCAGAATGCAGGGTACAACATGGGTAAAACATCAAATGAATTCCAATTCTCTGATATCTGAACCTCCAACTTGTGTGGCTGCGTGCGCGGTATAATCTGGTCACCCCCGACAAAATCTCACTCCAAGGTTTTTTGAAAAGTTGGCAGGTATGCTCACAGTGACGGTAGCTACTGAAAACATGAATAGAGCTTTTGAAATAAATGTTTTTTTGTTGTCTGGAGGAATTTGACACTATTATACAGGGGAATTCACCTTGTTTCCCACATTATTAGAACGTTATGAGAGGTGAATGAGTCTTGCTGAGTACAACTTAACCTACATAAATGTTTAGTGTAGATATTAAACATAGATGAGCGTGTATTTTAAATTGATTAAAGTAAAATGAAGGCTTTGAGGAGGACAGATAGATGTTTTGTTAGTGTTTTCAACAGCTGGCGTCACTATGAGCAACCATTCTGTCAAAAGTCACCAGTCATATACCATATTAACATATTTCATATAATAATACTTTGTGAACCATAAGACCTGGAAATTGATTGATTCCTCTGACCAGCAGGTAGCAACTTTCAGGAAAGCAACAATAGCCTACCTGTATGAGGAGAGAGATCTGAAAATCCCTTGACTCAACTTTCTACTGAAAGGAGCATCCAGCCAGTTTGAGCCTTCAAGCTCTGGGAGGCGCTATAGCAACTAAAAATGTATTTAAAAAGTCCTTCATCCCAAGTGCCGTTCATATTCTTAACTCTACAATGGGACTGATGAGACTGAAGCCACAGACACTGGCATGAACTGTTTCTAAATGTGTAATCTGACCATGTCTACACTGCAAACACAGACCATCTAGAAACAAGCCAAATATTCCTAAATATAATCACATTTTCTTGTATTAAGCAAAAAAATCAAAAATCAAACAAAATTCTTAAAACTAGCATAAAATCGAGCCACTGAAAGACTATAATAGGCCTTCAAACTAAAAATGCTAAATAGCTGCAATGTAAACTCAGTTATGTAAGACAGACTTTCTTAAGGAAGTATTTTGGTCACTTTATTGAGCTGAATTTAAGAATTAGTACCTTTAATCTAAGATTAATAATCGGCAAAAAGACACAATGTCTTCAAACAGCATAATGAAAATAGGTGACTTGGTCTTAAATGAAGGCACCAGAAGCATTCTTATTTTTAACATTTTTTTATTAAAACAATGAAAAACTGAACAGCTGCTTCATTTCCAACACTGGGACAAGACTTGTTACTGGTTGTTACTGGTTGTTACTGGTTAAATGGAGCTCAATATTAGCTGTAACATCTTATTGAGACAGAGTGAGATAGATTCTATTAAAACCAGATCACTTTTGTAATGTAAAACATGCTTGTCAAGATTATTATTTTTTCAAAAATAAGACTCATTTACCAGAAACAGCATTTTTAACCTTCTTGAGATTCTTTTTTTGGAGTGTAAGTGCTGGTTTCATTAACTGCTTGTCTGTTTTTATGATGTTTTGGTGAGCTGAAGACAAATTTCCCCGTTGATGGACAATAAAAATAAACTCTATTTTACCTGAAGTGATTCATGTAAATTGTGTGTAAGACATAACATTGTGGGGTGTTTTTCTACAGAGCTCATATTAGATAAAATTTATTATAAAAATGAGTGGCGGTGACTCATCTCAGTGGTAGTTCACGTGGTAAAGAGGCGGGGAGTTCACTTATAGTTAGTAAGTCATTTCTGTAGTGCTGCTGTAGCTGTGTGTGTGTGTGTGTGTGTGTGTGTGTGTGTGTGTGTGTGTGTGTGTGTGTGTGTGTGTGTGTGTGTGTGTGTGAGCAGAGCACTCAGGCTTCACCATCCGGCCGGTGGCAGGGTACCTCTCCCCCAGAGACTTTCTAGCAGGCCTGGCCTTCAGAGTATTCCACTGCACTCAGTACGTCCGCCACAGCTCCGACCCTCTGTATACACCCGAACCGTGAGTACACACACTTTCACTTTTTGATTATGAATTCTTGAGTGAAGCAATACCTGTGTTTACTTTTTAAAACTTGTGAGTGTGTTTGATGCAGAGACACATGCCATGAGCTGCTGGGCCATGTTCCTCTGCTTGCTGAGCCCAGCTTTGCCCAGTTCTCCCAAGAGATTGGTTTAGCGTCGCTGGGAGCTTCAGATGATGCCATACAGAAACTGGCCACAGTGAGAAAACACACACACACACACACACACACACACACACACACACACACACACACAGACTAGGGATGCTCACAGTCTATAATCTCTATCTTTGTTGAAACCACAGAAATGTTTGTATTTGGCCCAAACCAAAGAGGATACTACAACTAAAGAGCTTGAAATCCTTCTTCAAGGATCAGTTGCTTTAATTATGTACTACAGTGTAACACTGAAAACAACATAACATGGTTTGGCTGCTAAACAGCGCACATTTTATTGAAACTGGCTGTCGTGTTGACATTTTGACAGCTTGTGAGTCACCTAGGTTTCATTTTGGCAGTGCAAATTGTCAGGCAGCTGACTCACATATATAGACAGTTTGCTATGGGTCAAGTTCACCAAAGTTGAACTATGTAAACTTTGTGTGGATTTACTATATTTACTACCACATCTAAATCTATTGATTTGCCACAAAATGTTGCCATTTTAAATGTTGATGAGTCCAGGCCTTAAGGTTTAGAGTGTGTATTGTCAGCATTGTGGTGGAAAGAGATGTGATTTAAGCAGCTTAGTAGCTCATGCTGTGTATGAATGAGTGATTTCAAAGTTCCAATCTGTTTGGTTCCAGTGTTATTTCTTCACAGTGGAGTTTGGTCTGTGTAAGCAGGATGGCAGGTTAAGGGCCTATGGAGCTGGACTGCTCTCCTCCATCAGTGAACTCAAGGTGACATGTGACCTTTGTACACTACAAGTTTATCTGTTTAACTTACTGCTTGTATTGTGTATTGCATTCACTTGAAAATTTATTTTTTGGTTTGTTTTTCAGAGTAATTATTTCTGTTTTTCTGAGTAGTTTATTTTTTGGTTTGTTTTTTCGGAGTAATTTTTTTTAATGTTTTCTTTTTCAAGTAAATGCAATATGCTTCCGTATGAAACAATCTCTTTTTAAACATTAAATCTCTGGATGCACTGTTTTAGACATAGAGATAAGACAATAAGTAATTTGATATAATAATGATTAAATGAAATTGAAGGTGGATAATTGTGTCCCTCATAACATCTAGAATTGAAAATATATATTTTTTTAAACCTAAAAGCAGTTACAATTGCTGGATTTGTCCCATGTCTCAAGAATCAGTGAACTCACTTGTAGTCATCCAAAACCAAGTTACTTGACCAGCCAGATTGAGAAGGGCATTCTCTCAATATGTAAATTGTCTAGTGACTAAAATGTAAATCTGACCACAAAATGTCTCTTTCTTCTGTCAGCATGCCATGTCTGGTAAGGCTCGTATCCTTTCATTTGACCCCATGGTGACCTGTAACCAGGAGTGCTTGATAACTACGTTCCAAGAAGTTTACTTTGTTTCCGACAGTTTTGAGGAAGCCAAGAACAAAATGAGGTCAGTCGAGTTCTGTCTGCTAAATGAAGTCCTTCCTTAATTATTTTAATGTAGCTATAATCCATTCTCTAAGTTTGCGTCTTTGTTGCAGTGAGCAAACAGGTGTCTTGACCCAGCACTGCAGTAACATTATCAGATGACTTTTTCAACATGGCAACCTAGAACAACCATTCAGCATTTTGGGAAATTGTATTCACTTCCTTTTAATACCAATCTCATGTGCGTGCATTAGGTATAGAGCTATAAGAAGGGGGTGCTTAGCTTATCTTAGCATAACAGCTCAACTGGCTTTTTACTATTTGTGTACAGATTCAAATGTGAGCTTTGGAAGTGTTTATATTAGAATCAGAAATACTTTATTAACTAATTAAGGGGGAAATTACTTTCGTTACATATACTACAGATGTAATAGACATACAATATATTAAGAATATAAAAATGTACAGTTTAAAGTCACACTTTCAAATGATTATTTAAAACATTTATTAAAAGCATTTTTGAGCTTCAGACAGAACCAGGCTTACTATTTCCCCCTGGTTTCAGTCTTTGTGCTAAGTCTCTAGCTTTGTATTTAGTGTAGTCATAAGAGTGTTATCAATCTTCTCATCTCACTCATCTGGAAACAACATGAGTCATTTCCCAGTCAAACTTTCTTCTTACCAACGGCAGATACTGTACACAGCAAAAGTCTCCATGTTATGACGGTTAGCATTCCCAAGCATCTGGACCTTAGCTTAGCTGTAATAATGTAACTCAAAGTGTTGTTGTTTATGTTGATATATTCCAGTAAAATTCTGAATATTTAAAAGTCCTCCCTGGAATTTCATTTTTGAGATGATGTTTTTAAATTGTTTTATACACACACAACTTTGGTTGAATGATTTTGTGATGTAAAAAGTTGAACTGGGCGATTCATAAATGACTTTGCTGTGTCTGCAGGGAGTTTGCCAAGACTATTCGGCGTCCATTCACAGTACACTACAATCCCTACACCCAGAGTGTGGATGTCCTGAAGGACACCAACAGCATCAATAGCATGGTGAAGGACATCCGGCATGAGCTGGACATTGTGGAAGACGCTCTGAACCGACTCAGAACCTGAGAGTCTGGGGGGAGGCGGGGGTTGTTACCTGGGTCAGAAGAGGCTAGTTTGAGTTGGAATGGTTTGTTTGGGGATCAGTAAGTTGGATGGGGTGGATGAGAATGGATTTCATTCATCAGACAAAATCTGGCATTCAATGTAATTAAACCCAATGGGTTTAATGGATAAAGGCCATGTCAAATGTCAATGTAAATAACAGTATTAACCCACACAAGACCAACAGTCTTGAGTTATCCGATGACGTGAATGCTCGCAAGTCATAAACATGGGAATCTTTAACAGCTCTACCACCCACATGACATGAATGCGACACAAGTACCCAGTCACACCAGAAAGTGACAAAGTAAAATTCATTAGCAAGTCCTTGCAAAACTTGATAAAGAAGGGGCTACTTGCAGGTCATGCAGTGGCTTCCTTTGGTTGTGGCTGGTTCCATATGCAGCATAATTAACATAAAAAAGACAGCTCTGGTGGTGTTGCCTCTGAGAGGAGGGTGATGTAACAATTACAAAATGGGACACAGCTGATATGATTGCGAAGACTCGAGTCTCAGATTCTCTCTGTTCCCTCAAAGGTCAGTTTTGAATTGATCCATGGCACAGGTGATAGGCTTAAGTTCAATGAAAAAAGACATTTGGAAAAATAAAACAATTTATTGATTTCTAATGCCACCTTTAGATAATTCTATTCAATGCTTTACTAATGTGCCACAATAATGTGTGTTTTTAAGTTCATTTGTGGGCTTTTCCAAGCAAATATTGATATATGTGAGTGTTTGTGATTAAACTAGCTTATATTTCTTCCACCTCTTAAAATCTCCATGCCTCCAATTTGGACACACCATGAATATTTCTCTAGATCTGCCCCTGGAAACTTCACAAAGGTGTTCATCACAACAATATAAATCTGGCAACATTAGTGTAGTCTATATGCAGTGATCATCATTCCTGTGTCACCCATTAGGATATTCATGACTTTTTCTTTTGACACGTGGCCTGAGATACCACCAGTACCAAAAAAAGGTCAGAGCTTGGCTGTATACTTGGAGGCTGTTATATGAGGGTGCATAATTCTGTGATTGACACCCCCTGTTATATAGCAATCAAGGAAACTGACTTATGTTATACAACACGAGGTGGTTTAACGAAATGAAAGTTCCATCATGCTACACACATAGAAAAAGATAATTAAATTCATAGCATATCAAGAAAATTGATCAAATAAACCAATATATACAGTTATTTAAAAACATATATACATACATGTGTACACCCAAAAAATAACTCTGCAGTGCATTTTTTGGACCATAAAATATATAAAAAAAAGTGGAGTGATAATGTCTTGCCTAAATAGGTAACACCCTATAATTTATGTTTATTTTTATAATATAATTTTAACTGTATAATAAAGTTCTAACTTTGTTGCCACCATGTGAAGGTTAATGTGCTACCAGTTCACACTGTGATGATGGAGCTTGGTATTTAATGTTTCTGGTGACTGCTTTCTATTTGTTTGTGCCTTTCCTCTGTTAATGGAGCACTACTGTATGCAGTGCTGTTGACAGCTGGCATACCCAGACAGCAATGGATTACAATACCTTTGTTAACTAGATAAGGAAATGGTCTCCAAGCACCTTGTTTTGACATATATGCAATAAACAACTTTTAAATCACAAATGTCACCACTGTGTGTGTGAGTTCACAACAGACAGTAGGATGCACACAATAAGGTTCAAAAACTGCATTGAACTGGTGACCTCTGTTTTTTTTCCCGTTCAGGTCCGGTAGATTCTTACAAATCCCATTAGGAGCACTAGGAGGAGCCAGATGAACCTGATTTTTTCACAGATTATCTGTCTCATGTACTACTGTCAGGATATAGTTTAAGTTTCAGCAAATATGACAAAAAAATATTTGACCTATGACAGCTTTAACAGATGTGACTTATATGTACCTGGGTTGCCCCTTTAGCAGTTCATAGTTTTAATGTCTTTATTGCAGGCAAATCACCATATCCATATCCATTTTGTCAGTAAGGTTTAACTTTATTTAATAACTCAATTGTTGATGTAGAATAATGAATAATATGATTTTCTTCTTAGTAATTGTTGAATATATAACATTGTCTCTTGCAGTCTACAGGGCCAATTCAAAGCCATTCATTTTAAATGAATTAAAATGAAAAGTACCAAAAGTGTTTCATGATTTTTATCTCTAGGCAGAGGAGGGAAATGTGGGGAAACCCACATTGTCGAAAACTAAACTGAAAATAGAATAAAATCAGTCATCAGCAGTCATACAGAAAGTAAAACAAAAGGAAACTGAAATATCCTTGAGAGTTGGCATGGCGTTGTTCCAAGCCAGTGCATGCATGCAGGTCTAGATATCTGATGTCTCCTCTCTGGACCATTGAGTCTCTTTCTGTGTGTTCCAAGTTGTCCACTGTTGTCAACTTGTGGAAATCAGAGAGTTCTGGACTGATTCTTGAGTTTTTGTTTAATGTTTTTTTAATCCATAAATCCTAAAATAATCATATAAGGGAGACAATCTTCAGGGGGGAAAAATGGAGGTTGCAATGTGCCATGCCAAGGTGACTTCAATACCTGAACACTCTACTGGGTCTTCATTAGGTTTAGTGTAATCAGAGCAGTGTCATGATGGCATATTGAGATCATGTTGAGAACATTTCTTGCTGAATGAATGTTTGAATGTAAAAGATAGAAGAGGCCATAACTGCTTGTATATATAATACTATGAATCAATTTGGTTTGTTTTGCATAAGAAGTGGTGCTTTTGGTAATTCTTTCATTCATTTTTTTCAGTAATGATTTTTTAACATTTTTGTGAGGTTCATAAAATAATAAACAGATTCATATTAAAGTCCAGTGTGTAAGATTTAGGAGAAATTATATATGATATTCATAGGTATGTGTTCATAATACCTTAAAGTAAGAATTGTTATGTTTTTGTAACCTTAAAACGAGTTGTTTTATCTACAGACTTCCATAGAGTCTGCCATGTTTCTCCAGTAGCCCAGAAGGGACAAAACAAACACTAGGTCTAGATGGTGCTGATCATGTTCTTTTTCGCAACCACCGTAGTTTCTCCTTGATGTTTTAAAGAGGAGGGTGAAGCGAGGGAGTTGCAATCTGTCACTACAGCACTAGATGCTATTAAATCCTACACACTGGGAAATATTGAGACAAAATAAAAAATACAAAAGATGAAGAAAATAAATTAATCATACACAATCACTGTTCACACACTGCTGTTACATATAAATCATTCACAGAGTGAAGTGTAGAAGAGCCTCTGGAGCTCTCCAGTCCATTATACCACTTCCTAAGATCACAGGCATATGAGTTATCAGTGGCATGAAGCTGCTCTCATTTCCTTTTATATTGGCACCAAGTGTTTCCATGGGAAGTACTCCGAATATTTCTCTGTAATACAGATTGGATCCAGTCATAGCATGCATTTTTTCCCAAGAAAAGTCTAGCTTTTAATTCTTAATCTTCAGTGGTCTGGTCTAACGTATTGTTGACATCAATAGTAAGTTTTAGAAGCAACATGTGTTGCAGAAGAATTCCGTCTACTTTTGGTTCTTTAATAAAAGAATGAATCAACACATCTGTGAGTATAAGTTTCTTTTATTTGTGTACGAGAGAGAGAGGACTTCAGTTATAGAGTTGTCTCTGTCTGACACAGGAATTCCACCCGTCTTTTATAATGAGACAAACAAAACTTACGTAACACATGGGCACAGCTTGGCTTTCACATCATTCTAAAACAAAGTCTCCCAAAGTTCTAGTTGGCACAACATACACGCATAGGTCGTTCTATCTATCTAGCTCAAGGTTGGAGATAACAAGCGTTCATATCTGTTCCCCTTTCTCTCACATCAAAGCACACACATTCTTTTTAGCACTCCAATGTCCTACAAAGTGTTTTTATCTCTACTGCATCAAGTGTAATGTTCCTGACTATATATGTTATTAACTATTCCTCTCTATATTTGTTCATAATGTTGATGGCATTTGTGTTTTCCTGTTTAAAGAGGCTAATCCCTTAACCTCCTTTTCAAGTGTCTCTTATTCTTGTAGCTTTTGTTTCCTTTTGTAATATGAGTATGAGATTATCTTTCCTCTCACAACAGCTTTACACCTACATCATTTAGTCCATATGTATGATATGTAGCACTTTAAGGTAGAACATATACAGTAGGGGTGTAGCACACGATTCTAGACCCTGTACATTCTCTAATGCAGTGGTTCCCAACCTTTTTCCTTAAGGGACCCCTTTTTTATTATTGACTAAACTGAATTAATTGAATTAAGGAACATCTGTTATTGATTTATTAATATATACAAAAAAAGTCATGTCATTATAATGAGAAATGTTCTCAAAATATTTACATAGCATCTCAAAATTTTGACTTAGCATTTTAAGATAATAACGTACTATGTCAAAATAATGAGGACGTTTTTCAATATTGTGACTCTCAAAATAAGTAGTATAGTATCAAAAAGTCACTATTTTGAGATACTAAGTCAAAATATTGAAAAAGTCCCTTATTATTTTTGAGATACTAAGTAAAATATTTTGATAAAGTTTCTTATTATAATGACATTACAGAATCTTTTTTCCGCCACATTGGCGGAAATGGGTTTCCATAGCAGCTAAAATGTTGTGAGAAGTAACTGTTAAAACAACTTCCAGAAGCGAAGCAGCGACTGTGCTGCTGCACGACTTCCACAAACTGTGTGGAAAAACCCGACATTTTATTTTGGAGTCGGGACAGGAAGTCCGTTGACGCAAGGGAGGGAGGGGGGAGGAGTTGGGTGTTGCCTCAGTCCTGAAGCTTGAGTCAGGATTCCCAGTCGAGATTCAGTCCCGTTACTCGCTGTTATTCCTGGCCCTGCTGCTGCCGCCGCCGCCGTCCTGTGAACTCTGCACTCGATATTTGTGTCTAACGGACCACCATGGGAGTCGAAGGCTGCACAAAATGCATCAAGTATATGCTCTTCTTCTTCAACTTCATCTTCTGGGTAAGCAGCCGTGTGTTTGTTTTCCACATTGTGTGTTTGCTCCCTGTCGGCTGCGGTGTTGGTTTGTTTAGACTGCCAGTCCGTCATGAATGAACGATGCTGGATAAAGCAACGACGTTACATCTCTCACATTCACTGCTTCCACCGCCTTCATAACAACGGCGCCACAGCTTTCCCGCCGCTAGGGGTGATTATGGCCAAACTGGGGTGACCACATGAATTGATAGAAAATGCACGTGCGGTTAATTAACGTTACTACAATGGGCGTTCACGAGGTGGTGAATATTTCCCGTTTATGTACAGCGAAACAATATGTCTGAGTGTAGTCCCCTCCTGTGTAAGTCAGTATAAGTGACACTGGGGGAAATTGCGTCTTTAGCCCCTGAATGGTAGTTTGAATTTGTCGCGAGATAAAACATCCAACAGTTTTGTGTCAAGTTTTATCTCACTGAAAGAAACTAAAAACCCAAGTGGGCTAATGATAAAGTGGCAAAATGTGCAGTCTGTAGGTCGCCGTGGAGCCCTTGCGGAACATTGGGCGGCAGTGGAGGCTGACTTGCTTGGGCTTGGATGATGGCTTTGTTTGGATTACATCCTCCACCCAGCTTGTGTGTGTGTGTGTGTGAGAGAGAGAGAGAGAGAGAGAGAGAGAGGTGGAGGGGGACCCATGGTGGTTTCCATTTGGTGAGTCAAGGCCCCGTGTTGTGTGATGGATCATGGAAACATTTGTGGGTGTTTAGATTTTACTCTCTCTACTCTCTAATAGCTGCTGCATAGTTTGTTCTCCTTTGAGTAGAGCGACTTTCCTTCTCGTTCTTTGGGTCTTAAAATTTAGCAGTAATGGCCTAAACCAAAATAGAAGGACTCTATCATATCTTTTCTTCCATTTTGTGAAGGAAAATATGAACAGTACGTTGTTTGGAGCTGATTGGTTGATCAAAGTCCCGTCAGGAGACTGGTTTTGAAAACTTAAGCATTGATTCTGACCAAATCGAATCAGCACAGGGGGTCGGGGGTGGGGGCTGCTCTGGTTGGGCCGTGTTGTTGAGGGAATGAAATATGATTAAAGAAGTCCTATTGTATTAACAGATTAGGCTTTAAAGACTTACAGACGCCATAACGCTCCACAGTGGTTTCTGATGGTTTTACAGCCCTAGAAATCACTGTTGGTCTTTGATTGTAATGTGTGCAATAGAACAGGTCACACTACAAAGTCATCTACCAGTTATGTGATTATTCTATTGGCCAGTGCAGTGCAGTGCAGTGCTGAATGACGTCGCACTGCGTTGCAACCAAGTGTGAAGTTCCCATTGGTTTGTGGATAAACGTTTTGAAGCCTCGAGTTTGGCACTATGGTTGTCGCCATGATGTATTGTCGGAGCCAGCGGAGATGATGTACTGTGAGTTGAGCTTGTCTCATTGGTGACGCAGTTTCGACAGTTTCTGTAGCAGGAAACAATGGCAGTTTCTCATATTATAGCTAAACAGTGAACTTGCATATAATTCCTAAACAATTTTAACTGAGAAAAATAATCAGTAACAGAATCTGGATTCATATCTGATCAGCACTGCCTAGCTTCACAGTTTGATCTGAGAATAACCTGTCAATCACAAGATAGCCACGCCCTAAAGCATTCCCTACTTTATGGTCTATTTTACTCTAAATGGGACCATCATTTACTAAATGAACATCATGCTGTATGGAAGAAGACTGAAACTAGAGCCTGAGACCATAAACTCATCAGGAAACTGTTTACTGAGCTCATACATCAAGTGAGAAGTCGGTTCATTTCTACACTAGACTCTAGATTTCACTTCAAGACTTTATTGCAGCCAATGGAGCTCCCCCTGCTGGCCCTTACATAGAATACAGGTTTAAGACACTAACACGTTGTCTTCACTTCAGACCCAGAAGATCTGTCCATTTCTTATACTGCCAGCAGTCATGTCAGCATCAGACAGCCGGCCCAAAACCGCTGCTTAATTCTTCTCAGCTTTCAGTTTATACAGAACTATCCAAACTGACCTAGACACAAATTTCTAAACCTCATCCGTTTCCGCTCCCTGCTGCATAGAGAGTATAGAGTGGGCTTCGCCAGATTTGTTTCACAAACTAGCACTTGAGTACTGGGAATTACCCTTGACAGCATCAGATATATGCCATTTCCTCCATTACACCATTATGCAGGTAGGGAAGCGCAACACCCCAACACATTCAAGCAGCCGATCAAAAACGTGTTAGTTGGAGTAAGAAATTGCAACACAACTAGATTATGTCTACAAGGTTCAACCAGTTTCAAACACTGTCCCTTATTTTCAGCTGGAAAATGAGTGTGTGTGAAGGAAAAAAATAGCTGATTGCGTCTCCTTAATTTAAGGAGTGGCATTATCCATTTAACTTTATTTAAAATTTATAATATCAATCAATCAATAATATGTCTTTCTGAACACAACCTTCTGTATTTGGATCAAGTAGCTTGTGAAAAATAAGGTGTGTCAGATTAAGTAGGCCACAGTTGTTTGTTCAATATGCCAGATACATATTTAATCAGCTTTTAGGTTAGTATCACATTGAACTCTGTATCAATATTGGTATCAGGGCCATAAAACTTACCGCACTGTGTTTAAGAGACACTATTATATCGCCTTCCGGCTTCTTTTTACATGTGCACATGTATTTTGGAGGTGTTGCGATTAGTGAAACATGACTTTAATGTGATTGTTAGTGCATTACAGCATCCCCCCGTCCCCTCCTTTCGTTTTAACACGTATTCCACTTTAGTCCTTTCAGTTTAATTGGCTGCTCTAAAGAGCTCTGTGAAAGGATCCACCAAAGCAGACAAGTTCAGTCCACCTAAAGAGACTCTTTGACTGCAATGTGCGGTCGCAGAGCAGCCGGCTGAGGAGGCTGGCTCTTTAAAAAGGAGCCCTCCTGTTTCCATAAATCATGCTGGACATTGAGAGGGTTAAGAGGCTACAGGGTTGGGGGGGAGGGAAGCAGCCTCTGTGTGGTGGTATGGGAGTCTTATGGGAACTGCAGACAACACCCCAACCCCCCAGTCCCCCTCCTCCAGCATGCCCAGCATTCTACAACCCCCTGTACTCTGGGCAACAGGCAGAAATAGACACCAGAGGGAGAGCTGACAGGGAAACTGTGCTGTGCCGATCTCACACACTAGATGATATTTGTAGCAGTTTCAGAGTTTCACCCTCATTTCTACATTGGACTTATGTGTTTAAGTGTGAGTTCTGTGTCTTATAACACAATTAAACTGGCTTATTATGGTCATAAGTGTTGTGGGCCAGAAGGTACGCTCTCTTTGGTGACAGCAGGCCGGAGTAAGCGTGATGATTCTGGCCTATGTTTTTAGACAGTTATCTTGGGGTGGAATGTGTGACCACAAATGAAGCGGCCGAATGAGCAACAGATGGTTAGACAGCGTCTTTGGCATCCAAGCCCAAAGATAAGACGTTGGAGTGTTTTTGTAATTGTAGCATGTTGTCTTGCCTCGGTTTTGATGGTGTGATTATATTCAGTCCTTTTGTGGCTTTGTTATGAACAGGTCACACTTTGGTCTGTTGAATGGGTCCCTTTAGTGTCATCCACCTCTGATGTCTGAATTCGGTGAAACCTTGTGTCGAATAGAATCTGTCCCAAGGACAATGCAGTTTTGTGTTCATTTTCACACCCAAGTGTCCTGGTGCATCATCGTATTGAGCTCATTTACTGCTTTAGTTCTAAATGGTCCCCTGCAAAAACTATTTCCGTCATGATAAATGCGGCTAAGCCAAACCTAGTTGAATTATTCGATGGAAATGAAATCATAAATTGTCAAAGGGCAAGGTTGGCAACTAATATATCATAAACAGTGGTCAGTATTTTCCTAAAACAGCAGGGAACTGTAAGTGCATTTGTTGGTGACTATTTTCAGCTGTCGATTCTAGTGACATTTAATGGCAGCAGGATGGTGAATGTTGGATTGAGTCAAAATAAACAACTGTGTACATTTTGGAACAGTGCAGCGGTGTGGCTCATGTATTGGTGTTTTCAGTCTTTTTTATTTTTTTGGACAATAAATTAGCTATATTAGGGTCCACACACAATATTTGCTCATTGTTGGTTTTGGTCTTTTTGTGGGATTTGTTGACAATAACAGAACTATCCTGCATTAGGGTGACCCCCAAGATTTCAAGGAACCCCAAAATGAATGCATATTAGACAAGGTGAAAGGCTTTTGTCTTTTGTCAGTGGTTCCTGGGTCGGCACCCCAACAAAGCTTCACACGGGGTCGCGAGGCCTCCTTGATTTAAAAAAAAAAAAAGCTTATTAAGTTTGTATGATTGTTAAAAATTATTAATATGCTCAGAATTCATCCAAATCACTTAGTTTACACAAACTTCCTGCAGTTACTGAGTTCACTGTTTGGGTTCATTGTACACCTTTTAAATACAGTATAAAATATGGATGAAATGTGTAACTTAAGCAGTAGACTTCAGTTTATTAAATGATAGAAGATTGGTCCCTTAAGTATAAAGGTTGGGAACCACTCTCTTGAGGAATCCCATCTGAGGCTTGTTTTATTTTTAGATTTGAAGATGAAGTCTTCCTGGTCAGTTAGTGATCAAACTGGGATCCCTATAAATTACAGTCATTCAGGCCTGTTGCTGCATGTGACACCACCCCCTCCCCCCTTTCCTGTCACTCTTCAGCTGTTCCTATCCATTAAAGCCAATAAAATATATAAATTACAATAGTGTATGGAAATTCTAATTCATTTTGCTGGGGGGCCCTACAACACACCCAAGGACACTGGTATCAACACATAGTTAAGTTAAGTAACATTTCACATATCTTGTGAAAGAGAAACATCATAACCCACGCTCTGGGTGGTGGAGATTCCTGTAACAATTGCCATAACGAGTACAAACATTAATAATCAACGTTGTCTCCCAGCTTGTTAGTACATGTTAAATCCTCCTGCACAAGCGTTTTCAGTAGGCTGATGTTGGGCGGAGTGCTGTTGGAAGTTTGCCGAGGCTACCAAACTTTATCCTTTCCAAAGAATCAGAAAGGTGTACATTGTCCCGGCCTCATGGGTGCAACAGAAAGGTAGAGGAGATATCAATCAAGCATAGACTTGTACACACTTAGAAGATGTTTGTTTAGGCAAAATAAATGAAAACATGTGGTGGGACCATGGCTGTATAAGTTATTTTAAATCAGGCAAATGTATTTATGATGCGGTGTGATGTCTGACAGTTTGCTCCTTTTTAGGGCTAATGTTTACTTAAAAAAAGCTTATTAACAACATTAATGATAGGTCTATTGCTTTCAGTAATAATAAAACTAGATAGATAAAAGATATAGTGCTGCTACTAATAATTATCTACATTATTGAATCAAAAGATTTTCTTGATCAATCGATGAACTTTTGTGTTCTATAATGAAATAATAATAATATAGAAAATATAGAAAATGCCTATAAAATGTCACAATTCCTCGGGCCCATTGACATGTTTGAATTGCTTTTATCTGACCAAGACTGAATGCAATTCAGTTTATTAAAAAAACACAAATATTCACATTTGAGAAGTTGTAACCAGTGTGAAATGACGTAAATGAAGAAATCTATTATCATTGTTACTTGGAAGCTGTGTGTTGCTGAGATGTTGTTTGGTTTTGTTTTTTATTGTTTTTTTGTGTTTGTGGTGTTGCAGAAGGAGACCAAAACAATTTTTCCTACGGGAAGTCTTGGGTCTTCTAACTACTCCCACCGAGTATTAACGCAGTTTGAGCCATTCTTTCAGTCCCTGTGACTCACACATCGCAGATAGTATTAATTATGGCTCAAAGGCCGTCTTATGGATTTGTGATTAACAACTTTTATTACTTTGTCATGGAAACCACTGTTTGGTGGATGTGTTTGTGAGTCAACCCCTTTTTGTGTCTTCAAGCTGTAGCTAACCAGGGACCAGGACCGTTCCTCAGCTCAGGTACCGGTAGCTATAGCTGCGGCTCAAGCCTCAGTCACATCTCAGACACAGTATAAAAATCACAGGGTTTCAATGCTCAGTCTGGGTTCTCCCTCTACTCATCATTTAAACAAATGCTGTAAATGAAAGCTTCTCAGAAATCTGTGCTGGTGACTCATCTCAGTGGTAATTCACGTGGTAAAGAGGCAGGGAGTTCACTTATAGTTAGTAAGTCATTCTGTGGTGCTGCTGTAGAGGTGTGTGTGTGTGTGTGTGTGTGTGTGTGTGTGTGTGTGTGTGTGTGTGTGTGTGTGTGTGTGTGTGTGTGTGTGTTAAATTTCGGCACTCTTGCCAGTTATGGTGTTGATCTGGTTGCTAGGCAGCAGCTGGCCTCAGCTCTGGAATGGAGGAGAAGGAGGAGGATAAGGAGGGAGCGAGGGGTGGCTGAGCCTGTTGGTTAAAATCTATTACCATAAACTAACGTGAGCTAGTTTAACTCAGATGTTGTCTTTGGCCACATTCTCTATTTTGAATATTTTCAAGTATGAGATTTCTAAAATATCCAGTCCCATGTGGAGCAGAAAGGTGTCTGTTTGGTCCACCAGTGTGGTTTATTTTTCTGCTGCCATATGTGGTGATTCTAGTTCCTGTGTGCCTGCTGAAGTATATGCTAACTCTAGTTATATTTAGGATTTCTTTGTCCTGGGCCCAAACAAAAGGGCTCAGGAAGGCTTAAGCCAATGTAAACCACCCTTAAAAACAATACATTCCTGTAACAAAGTTACTCATTACAGTATGTGCAGGGCTTCCCCTAGGAAATTAGTAAGCAAAGGAAGTGAGTAAAAAAAACTGATTCTTTGCTCTAGATATATGCTAAAAGTAGCCCTAACGCTTCAATACCTTAAAATAACTTTGTTCATATTTGCTTTCAGTATATCCTGACAGTAGAACATGAGACATGAAACATGAAATCAGGTTCCTCTGCCTCCTCCTAGTGCTCCTAATGCTATTTGCAAGAATCCACCAGGCCTGAACGAAAACAACCAATCAGAGCAGAGAATGATAGATTGTTGAGTCTCATTACCAGGGTCCCAAAGGGTATGTATTTGATACCTTTCTCACCTCTGATTGGTTGTTTTTCTTTTTCACAGATAATCTGTCTCATACACTACTGTAAGGATACAGTAAAAGTTTCAGCAAATATGTCAGAAAGGTATTTTTATAAAAAATGACCCTAATGACCTACTGCCGCTTTTAATTGGGAAATACCATAAGTTGCATTCTTGCAGAGTTACATGAGAAAAATGTTACCTCTCTCATGTCTGTGTGCTAAATATAAAGCCACCAGCTGCAGCCTGACTGGCTCAATCCAAAGGCAGCAAAATGTGTCTACTTGCATATAAAGCTTACTTTTTAACATGTGCTGTTTTATGCAGAGAGCCAGGCTAGCTGTTTACCAAACTATTCTTTTAAATAATTGGGCTTGAAATAATAGTTTGAAGGGTTCAAGGACCAGATCAATACCACATAACTGTTTAGTGCGTGACGTATGGAGCTAAAGCTGGGAGCCAGTTAGCTCAGAAAATAAGCGTAAAAATAAGCTAACTGTTTAACACAGCCTACGTAGTTTAATTTATACACAAACAAAAATGGAAAAAAGTGTATTCATCCGTCTGCTGTTCGCAAAGAAACAGTTAAAGCACTTAACTCTCCCTAAAAGTTGTTGTTTTTACATTACTGTTTGTGTATCAGATTACAGAAAAACTGCTGGGTTGATTATTTGAGCTTAAATGTGAAATTTTGAGGCATTGGCGGGTGGATTCTTTTTTTTTTTTTTTGTTAAGATAACCAGTTAAGATCTCCCTTCTTACCTCATTTAAATCCCGGAAAGAAGTGCATTTCTTAAAATGTCAAATTTTTTCTTTCTGTGTGTCCTGATTGTGCAAAACTACAATACAGAGAAAAGGAAAGTCAGAGGCAGAGCTGGGGCCCTTTAAAGCTTTCTTAGTGAAGTCTGTTATGGGAATAGCTGATGTTATCCACACAGCAATTAGAGCAGTAGCCTCACTATGTTTTTATGTTGTCAAAACCAGCTCATTTTTATGAGTCAAAGGAAGTTTCAGTTGTGCTTATCTGCTTACTTCCAGAGAATGAGATGAGAAGATTGATCCCACTCTACGGTCTGTCTGTTAAATATTAAGCTAAAGCCAGCTAACTTACCTTAGCACAAATACTGGTTTTACATTACTGGGGTAATGAGATACAACATGTTAATCAGTGATCTCTAGAGGTTCTGTGAGGCAATTGATGTTACCTTTAGGCAGCACAGGGTTAGCTGTTGCCAAGTTCCCAGTCTCAGGCTGTATATTATCTGACTTTGAGCAAGAAGGCAAATGAGTGTATTTGTCTCTGAATAGTTCATAATGTTGACATTCAAATTCTAAATCAACATTTGAGTTCAACGCAAGTCGGTACTAAAGCTAAAAACCCGTAGGGCTGTGTATTGGCAAGAATTTGGCGATGTGATATGTATCAAGTTACAGGGGTTACAATTCAATATATTGCGTTACTGTAAGCGCGGCGATAGATTGCAGTTTTTCTCATCTCAATATGCAACCAGAACGTTCTGATCTACATTTAAATTTGTCAGTCGTGTAACATCCATCCAATTTCATATCCCTCAGTTTAAGTTTACAACACTGTAATCTAGTGGTTTGGGGTTTAAACACAAGAAACGATACAATATCACAAAACAAATATTGTTACAATATTTATTTAGGTGTGGCTGGCTATGTGGTTGCTTCCTGCAGGGTTGTGTGGAGATGTAACTGCCGTAAAAGTGAAGTCATATAAAAGGTGACATTTGGTAGTCTTAGTTTGCCCAAAATGTGGGACTGTGTGTAATGTAATATACAAAATAAATGAAATGTACTGAAGTAATTACATGTGTTTTTATTGTATGTTGCAGCTTGCAGGAGGTGTAATCCTGGGTGTGGCCCTGTGGTTAAGACATGACCCCAAGACCAGCAACCTGCTGGACCTTGAATTGAATGGATCCCATGCCCCCAGCACCTTCTACATCAGTATGTATCTCATCTGTTAATAGTTGAGTGAGGTTAACTGCTACTGAGTGGATTTGTTCAAATGGAAATGCTCTCTTAGTTTATTTATTCTTTGTTATTCTTCTTTAATTATTTTGCTCAGGATCTGACATTGGCCTGAATTTCATACATCTATTTAATATACAGACCAGGATTTTATGTCAAAGTGAGATAAACAGAGTTTAAGCAGGATTACCTTTCGCTATATTCCTCAATGACTTAAAGAAATACAGTGATAAAAGAAGGAAATGTGCCATTATAACAGTTCAACCATATCAGTATTCACTTACTTTAATGGATTTAGACAAAACCTAAACATTATACACAGTAGGCCTTTATCTCAGCATCTGGTTCACTTCTGTGAAGAAATGTAAAGTAAACTGTCTAATAAAACAATGGCATCAGGGACAAGAAAACACTGAATTTGTAAAATTAATAAATAAACTTATTAAGTCTGTATGATTGTTAAAAATGAAATACATAATAAAGAGATAAAAAGTTCCCTAAACAAGAAATGATCTGCTCAAAATTAGTCAGGGGGTTGTCTGTTTACTCAGTGGTAGGAAAGGGGTCCCTTAAGAAAAAGGTTGGCAACCACTGACTTAGAGTATAAAGAGAGAGAGAGAGGGGAGAGAGGAGAGGGAGACGGAGGGAGGGAGGGAGAGGGGGAGAGAGGGGAGAGGGAGGGAGGAGAGGGAGAGAGGGGAGACGGAGGGAGGGAGGAGGGGGGGAGAGAGAGAGAGGAGAGAGGGAGGGAGAGAGGGAGAGAGAGAGAGGGAGGGAGGGAGGGAGAGAGAGAGAGAGAGAGAGAGAGAGACTACCTGCAGCTTGTTCAGGTCACAGTGAGTGAGTGGTGAAAGCATGGACTTTTCCAGACTCGAGGCAGACAACATCTTTGATCCGTGTGTGTTAGAGAGTGGTCTGTGTAACATTTATCAGTTAAATTTCCATTTAAAAAATTTTAAATATTACATTTTCTAAAATTCTATTTTTCTTTTGTTAGATCAATGTATAATTAATATACTGGGGCCTTTTTTTAAATTTTCTGTTTGTGCGATACTGGATAGACAAATGCAAAATGCAAAAAAATGTGTATGTATTTATTTCCATTTGGCTAGCGTATTTAGCCTGTTTTTCTTCTGGGCAGTATGGGAAAATCGGACAATAGGCGAGACAAGCAGCGACGCCAGTCAGACATAAGTTGAGTCCAGTGCTTAGACCTGCCCTCTCAGACACCCCAAACACACAAATGGAAATAAATTCTATCTATCAATCTATTTTTCAATTTTCCACTTTTCTATCCAACATCGCATCATAGAAAATTAAATAAAAAAAGAATTGAATTAAATTTAAATTTTCTAATTTTCATTATTTATACGGCAAATGTAAGTGCTACACGGACCGTAGAGCAAGTTTAACACTTCCGTGGTTACAGTATGTCTGACCTGTAGGTGGCATTTACAGAATGAAAACTGCCCTCCAAAAAAGGGCAACTGAAACTAGAGTTGACAGTGCTTTAGCTTGAGCGAAACATTTGCGTTTATCCCATGACTGGCTCACCATCACTATGGTTACCAGGAACTTGAGGTATGACAAAGCTGTGTACCCCAGATGAGACAAGTGTGAGACTGCAGTCATACGTCACAGTGGAAATTATACGGAGTATAGGTGAAATGCAGAATATGGTTTAAGAGTAAACATTGTAAATGAAAAGTTAAAATAGTTTTTTTGTTTGCCTCATTTATGTTCTGCTTTGTTCTGATCCACAAAGTTTAGCTTCACCAGCAAATAAATTTAAATAAATATTGATCCATCTGAACAGTGGGGCTGCAGCTTAAAATTATTTTCATTATCGTATATTCGGTATCTATTTACTGTTTTTTGATTTAACCAATTCATTGTTCCATCTACAAAATGTCAGGTCTTTAAATTGCTCAATTTGTTCGAAACCCAAAGGAAATATTCTGTCGGAACATAAAATATTTGGAACCCGTGCTTCATTTTATGGGATCGACTCATCAATTGATGGACTAATTGTTGGAGATGTACCGAACAGTGTCCAGTCAGTCGTAGCGTGGGTTCACACACACACGCGCAGTACGGGTCGTCCAGAGCTGACCCATAGCAACCTGGACGTGACAATATTAAACTGCTGTGAAACAGGCTAAGATGAAGTGGGGCCGCCCTGCCTCGCCCAAAACACCAGCGGCTTGTGACCAGGTCTAACAGAGGACACGCAGCTCATCATATGACTCTGTGAAAAGTTTGAAGCTCGTCACCGTCAGTTCCTCCTGTCTGTCTGCACAACCTGAGTCATCTGCCTCGTGAGGAAGAGAGGGAAAGGGAAAATGGTTGGAAAATGCAGCGTCGGTATAATTACGCAATAAATGTGAGAAAGAGTTTCCTATCTACATCTAAAATAGAGCTCCAGAAAAAACGTGGAAGGGGTGTTTGGATCATTGTTTTTGCCTTCCTCTGAGGAAACATAGCTGCGGTTGTGAAAAAAGCCTCACCAGTCAGAGAGGACCCACTCAGGGACTCTGTCAAACGGCCTCAATGATTGCATCCTACCCATTACATAAAGCCTCCCTCTCATTCCAGAGGAGTGGAGAAAAAGCCTAGTCGGTATAGGAAAAAATTCCTCACTGGCCCTCCCTTCTCCTCCTCCTTACCGGCCCCACCCTTATTCCTCCCTCCTCTGTGAAAGTTTTCCTCTCCTTTACTCCGCTCAGTTTCTGTCCACTGTCGCTCCCCCTTACTTCCCCATCTGGTTGTGGTTAGTGTTCACTGTCTCGCTTACCCTTATTTTTTTTCCCCCAGTCCCTCCCCCTCCCTCTATCTCTGTCTGCCCTTTTTTTCCCCTCCCCTCCCCTCATGTCTTCATCCCCTGCTGCCAGGAACTTTTCAATATGGAGTCCTACATCTGCTTCTCTCCTCTCTCACCCTACCCGCACACAGACACAATCACCCAACGACGACCCGTCTCTCGCCTTTCTACAGAATTTAACATACAGCGAGTTTGTCAGTTAATGCTTTTAACTACACTGAAGTCTGTTCTCTAAACAATCCCAACTTAAAAACAACAGAAATTAGATAAACTACAGCTGAATAAGCAGTGTGTGTGCTCATGTTTTATTTTAAAACTCCCAAAAAGTGTGCTGACTTTGTAGGAAGGCTGCAAATGGAACGTCTTGACACATTTTAGATTAGGCCCGTGGGTTGCGTTCAAACTAATCCAGTGTTCATTCTTTTGGGGTGTTTTTTCCAAGTGACAGCCTTACAGTCGCGCTGCAATACTGACCTCAGTTTTGCTCATCTGTTCTCCTATCAACAGGACATTCATTCAACTAATAATGTTAAATGTCTAATTTAATTTCATAATTTAAACAAGTCACAAGACTGGACTGGAGCTTGTGGTTGTAAGTCCTAAAATGGTTATAACTGTGGCAACTACAGATTTTAAGATTTTAATTTAATCTGACAAATACTTACCTTACGTTAATGATAGAAGATCAATGAATGTGATTTAATTTGATTATGGGTTGTGCAGTAGAGCTGCAGTCCGTTCTGTATGCAGCGCTTCAGAATGAAACCGAATACTTGGACAGTTACACTGGCCTAACATCTACCATTTACAAAGAACATGTAACTGTTCATGTTTAGGCAGAGAGTGGGCAATGCAAGCAGAGCAAACTAAAAAACAGTTCTGGATTTCTGGCACCCATTTTCATAGAATTATCATTCACATGCATTAGATGAGGCTTTTAGAGCTTCAGGAAGTTATTACTTGAACTACTTTCCTTTTCAATTCCAAACCACATAGTCATTCAGGTTGGAAGCAGCACTGGGTGATTCCCAGAAGGACAGAAACACTACACACCGTCAGTCCACACCTAAACAGATTTTATACATATCAGGTGGTTTACAGTACCACCTCACAAAAATAGAATTTGAGTCAGAGGAATATCCCCTCTCAGAGTTCCCAAATAGCCAGGCTGTGTTTGTCATGTGGTAGACTGGTCCAGGAAATAGAGGTGGGCGATATATATCGTTTGCAATAATATCGTCATTGTTGTTTTGACGATGTGCAAATTTCCATTATCGAGTATTTAAATTACTTTGCGGAAACTCAGAAATCAGAAATACTTTAATACTTACTTAAACTCCTAATATCCACTTAATACACGGTGCAGCAACGCTCTCTACAGCATGGCAGGATTCAGTCACAGGACTAGTGGGCCTACGTGATCACATGACGTGATCACATGACCTCTCGCTAGCATCCTCCTTGCAACAGTTTAGCAGCGCGTTGTGATGGTAGAGACAAAATGCAAGCAACTCCAGTCCCTGGAGCTACCGGTACTTCAGATGATTAGTGCCGAGACGTGGGTCTACCTCTCTGGCATGGAAATGGTTTAGTTTCGAAAATACTTTTTTAGCGCAGCGTCGAGAGCGGTTCAAGTTGAAATCTGTTCAACTTTTTGAGTTTCAGCTCGCTCTTTAGCACTCTCAGTGCTAAAAACATGTTTGGTGGACACCACCCCTAACTCAGACAATTCCAATCACATTTTAAAGGATATCGACTGATTATCGTTATCGCCAAAATCCCAAAAATTAACGAGATACAATTTTTTGCCCATATCGCCCACCCCTACCAGGAAAGGATTGAAACCTTAGATGTACATATTCTACACATGCCCAACATTAAATGACACATTCACATTTCTGGAACTACGACTAGGCCTGTATCTGTGGAAGAAAGGAAGCAGTCTTGTATGATGGAGAACATAACAAACCACTGATGTGATTATTGATGATAACAAATTGATGGAAGAAAAATAGACTTCATGTTCTCATAGTCAAACTACTGCATTGAGTGATTCTTTTGGCCACTATGGCAGCAGAAAACCATGTGATCTTGTATAATCTATATGGCTAAATTATTGCATAACAACAGTTGTATGTTAAAAAAGCAACATTAGCATTATATTTTAAATTAATTTAAATAATTTATTTTGGAAAAGGAAACATCAGAGTGTACAGAATAGTTTCAATATTTATTTATTTTCAAATTTGTCTTTTTAATTGTAAATCTTTCCAAAATTGTTCCATACCAACCTTCCAATGTAGGTGCTACTAGATTTAGTCACTTTTTTAGTGATTTAAGTTATGTTTCAAAAACAAAAGGTGGTCCAGATTAAGAGTCTCCAAGTTCTGGGGTGTTTGAATTTTGAATACGGTGCTTTAAAATGGCTGAAAAATGCATTAAAAAATGGTTTAGTCTGCAGTCTTGACACACTGTCTGCGGTTTCAGAAATCTTTCTGTGTCCTCCAAGAAATTCCATCTGTAAGGTCTTTTCCACTGTGTATGTCCCAATCTGAAGTCAGAATTTCTGATGTCCTTACATGGCTGGATTGCAGGTTTAATAATAAACCAAAATATAACAGGGAAGAGGAAGCAGCAGAAAGGAAGGCTTTGTATAATAAACAATATCTATATGACTTCACCGAAGCATCTGAATAACATATTTGGAGGTACGTTGTTATATTAGCTTGATTATCTTGGGGAAATATCACCTGTGCTGCACGTTGTTTATCAGTGAGCGGATGAACGAACACAATAGGCACAATTTCGAGAACCTAGGTGGAAGTTGTTAGTTTATGTTTGTGCTCATTACAAAAGACAAATATCCTTTTCTGAATTTTGACGAATTCCTTAAAAATAGAATGAAATATTTGATTTATAGTTGATTTGAATTATATTTTTTTATAATTGACATTATTTTCCTACCATACACAAGCACCTGTAAGCTTGTGAAGCCCATACTTCAAGGTGAAAACCAGCCATACACATGACAACTGAGTGACCTCCATCCCCATATGAAGACTGTGAGGTGTTCTCTGTAAAAACATTTCTTTCACTAGACAATGCAATAAAGTTTTGGTTCATTACACATTGCATATTATACATTGCATTAGGGGTGTAAGAAAATATCAAATCATATCACGATATTTAGTTTTGTGATATTGTATCTATTCTCAAAAACACTATTGATTTTTATATTTACACCTCCAACCACAATTTCCGTTTCTCCAATACTTGAACCAATATGACTGGTTTATACGACTGATTTGGTAATCTTGCAAGATAAGGCTTTCAGAGGCTATTTGACCATTCGACAAGCACTTTGGTAGAGGCATACAAGCATACTTAAGGAGCAATAAAAATGAAAGTCTAACACTAGATTTTAGAAATTTATAGAAGAATGTAAAAACATTTAAAGCTGTGTTTGGGGGCCATTTATCACTACCTAATTATTACTTGATAGCACATGTTGTGGTCTTTTTATTTGTCGCCTCGAAATTCGAGCTTGACACATCTCATGGCAGTGCTTCAGCATTCAGACTGTACAAGGGAGATGCAGAGGGCCTGGTGAGTGGAAGCCGACAGATCATAATGGAAGAGGATCCATGAGTAGATTAAATCAAGACAGACAGGAAAAGACATTTAAGTAAATGGAATTATTGAGAGCATAATTTCGAATGAGCAAATGCATTAAATAGAAAGGACAGGTGGGTGGCGGCAAGAGAGAGGGAGAGACTGAGATTGCCAAACAGCATCAGAGGAAGGAGGTGGTGGGTGACTGTGTCAGACTGGAGAGCCACAATATCAGAGATGGAGGGAGAACTTGGTTTGTGTCCAAGGTATCGATTTATAAATTAGCCTTAGTGTGTGCGAGAGTGGCTCTGTGGGTAAGAAAGAGGTGGGGGATGGGGTATACGAGGTACGGGACCAGAATGGTTAGTGGTCCAGAATCGAATTATGTCTGAGCTGACAAGCAAGAGTAATGATGCTGGGGCTGAATGCAGAGAGCTGCACTCCCAGTCTGATACGAGCACAAGAAGCACAATATGGCCCGGTGCTCACTGACTGAATATTTGTTCTTTTCAGTTTTGTACTGCTGATGTTTGCTTAAAAATGATTTAGTTAAGATTAAATTAGCCTTTTTGTTTTTTTATGCAGCCCCAAAAACTTTAAATATTTAATTAAAGAAAAAGGGGGGGGAAGGAAAATATATAAATTAAATCAAATTTGAATTAGTCTTTTTTAATTAATTTGAGTATTGAAGTTGAATTTTGAGTTTTTCTAGATGGCACTTTTACCATCATCACTGTCATGAAAAGAGACAAATTGTCACATTAAAGTGTAATTGGGAAAATGCAGTTAAAGCAAATTAACTTTTAACGTTAGTGAATGTGATTCATATTTATATGATAATTAGCTGTTGTTCAAAGATCACCTGTTACACTAATGCTAATATCTCACATTCCTGAGTCCTTTAACTGCACATAAACGCACCACCAATTAGCAGTTGGCTCCTCAAATGCGTCTTTAAACACAATGTCATATAGTTAAAACCACTGAAATAAATTATGTCACTCAAACAAGTCTCTGCTTGTGGATTTTCGTGTTTGCTGCAGTAAATGGAAACCAAAGTACTGCATGGAAAAACACATTGAACAGTCTAAACAGCAGTCATTTATATTTATAGAACAACATTAGCAAAAACAGCAGATTGGTCTTTAAGGGGAAAACAAGAAGGAAGTGATTCTGTGTGGATTAAAGTGATGTTTTTCCCTCACAGGCCTCCCAATACAATTAATACTGATCAAGATAGATAGATACTGTATGGTATGAATTTCTTTACTTTTGCTTTGCTGAATTTATATTCCAAATCTCAGATCAGCTGCAGCAGTATCATGTTCTTCACTCCAGTCCCATCTTTCCACCCAGCTTTTAGCCTGCTTGGCTCGTCACACACTAGACCTTTGACCTGGACTTTTATTAGCCTATTTTTCACTTCCTTTTCTCAGCTGTGCTACTAAACAGGCCAATGCACAGCTGGGGTTTACGACCACACATCTCCTGAAATCAACAGAACTAAGAGCAAGATGCAAAGCAGATAAATGACTGTTTTTACAAAGACAGTTCAGCGCATTCACACAACTTGCTGCACACCCTCCGTCCTCCATAAAGTCAAACATTAACCTGCAAGCATCTGACAGCATAACACAGGAAACACACTGAGGTAAGACAAGTGCGCCTGAGCAGATAGAACCCAAATACAGGACGTGTATAAGCAAGCGTTTTGTGTAAGAAAACATGAATCAGCTTCCTGTGAGCATAACTGGAACATGACTCTCTTTATTCTACTGGCATAAAAGCAAGATTGTGCCTTCTGCTGTCCATCAGATGGTATTACAAGCAAGCAGGCATTAACATGAGGTGGAGGATACTTGAAAAGCTTCAAAACCACAATGGGTTTTAAAGCCTTTCAGTGGTGTCCATTCTTCTAATGACTGTTTACATTAAGTTGTTTGTCTCACTCAAGCAGAGCGTCTCTGAAAGTATCCCTGCAGCTCTCCTGCCAGGACTCTTATTTCTACCTGTTAATGTACACGTGTTGCCATGGATAATAACCAGTCCATCTGTCTGTCTGTCCAGGTGTCCACATCCTGATTGCTGTCGGCGCAGTGATGATGGTGGTTGGTTTCCTCGGTTGCTATGGCGCCATCCAGGAGTCCCAGTGTCTACTGGGAACTGTGAGTCACACTCACGTTTAACGGTTTCGTGTGAAGTTTTAGACCTCTAGTAGCACCACAGAGCTGTTTTTCTTTGAGAGGGTCCTCGTACTGTGTATCTCATGCACGAGGACGCACATGTGCGTGTGCTAGAGCTGCAACGATTATTTATTTTTTTAAAAAGTTTCAATTCTCTGATTTCAGCTTCTCAAATGTGAATATTTACTGGTTTCTTTTATCCTATAGGACAGTAAACTGAATATGTTTGAGTTGTGGACAAAAGAAGTTATTTGAGAATGTGATTTTAGACTTCAGAGGCAGTGATGAAGATTTTTTCATAATCTTCTGACATTTTACTGAACCAAAGAACTAATCAATTCATCCAGAAAATGACTGTCAGATTAATTGATAATACGTTATTTATTATTATAAGTTATTATATTATTTGAATAATATAAGGAAATGCACTTGACACGTTTTGGTAAGTGACACCACTACAACATAAGTTTTTATGTTTACAATAAAACTCCACAGGGCACCTTTAACTTTATAAACGTCATATTGTCTCATAACCACAGCTAAATCCTTACACCAGTTATCTGATATATCTCTCCTCTGTCCTGCAGTTCTTCGTCTGCCTGGTCATCCTGTTCGCCTGCGAAGTTGCAGCTGGAATCTGGGGCTTCATGCACAAAGACACTGTAAGACTGCAAACCTACACTAGAGGCTGAAATAGGAATGCAACACTGAGCCTAAAAGTACAGTAAATACCTCTATAGAGCAATTTAAAACATTCTGAAACAAATCTCAAGCCTCAGAAAGTCAGGACCCTTGTTTGTTTATAGAATTTTCAGTATTCTGGTTTATTACGCCTGAATTGCCTCTTCAGTCTTGCAGGTTCCCTCACCGGGTGTCTAAAACTAGGTGCAAAAACTGCTGTCAAAGTGTGTCGTGATAATCAATAGTTTAAAAAAAGTCTGCCACAACATCAATACTACCTTAATTTAACCTCATGTGTTACCATTACAGAGCCTGTTTTTTCTGACAAATAATTACCCAGTGGTCTTAGTTGACAGCACTTACCGCTCTGAAGGTATTACCAGAACCCTCAAAAGACTGGATTAAAACATTACATCCGCTGCACAATAGGTTTTTTTTCCCCATTTCCCACATTGTAGCTGGAAATTTAAAATGTCTGCGCTCAACTTGTATTACTTAATTATTTTATATATTCATAGAAAAGTTTTTATAGTTTTTTTTCTGTGCTATAAGGAGCAAGAGTGCAATTTCCAGAAGAATGGGAAACACCACTTGGGAAACAGTTTAAAGGTTAAAACATCTTTTTATCGTAAACAAAATAGGAGACTTTGAGGATTCTGGGAATGGTGTAGAACAACCTTCTGGGATTTTCAGAGACCGCTGCTGATTTATTTCTTGAAAAAACATGTGCTGTGACTGGACAGTCAAGACTCTGAGTCATCCCACATTGCTACCATGTTGCGTTTAAGACTCATGGATCTGTTACTCATACCGGCTTCCCTGAAACAACACGCCCACATCATCTCAACTTTTTTAGTTTTCAAGGCACTGTTACTTTGTTTTTAATGTCCTTTTAATATTTATTGTATTTCATCTCTGTCCTGCCTTCATTTCCCGAGCCAGCACAAAAACAGTTTACTGAAGGTTAAACTTATACAGTTTAAATGTTTCAAATTTGAGGCCGAGCCCACAGAAACCTCTTGTTGCTGTTTCAGGTGTCGAAGGAGATGGTCAACTTCTACGACAATGTGTACGACCAGGCCATGACAGCAAGCCTCACCGAACCAGACAAACAAAAGGCTGCCGTCCCTGTGCTCAAGGTCTTCCATGAGACGGTAGGAACGTACGCTATAAAATATATCATTTATATTCATAGGTTCAATTAGATGTCTCTTTTTACATAAGGTAAAACCACCCCACTCACTAAACATCACACCTATTTAAGTACAGTCCTTCTTAACTTTGTTTTGTTGTTTTTAATGTATGTATTCTTATTTTATATATTTATTTATTTCTATTTACCCTTTATTTAACCAGGAAGTCCCTTGAGATTAAATCTCTTTTCCGAGGGAGACTCGGCCAAGACAGCACACTAGTTACAACATGAATAGAAATAAAAACACAGTTGACAGAAAACAAATGTCACACACACATTGAAATGACTAAAACCAGCTCAAATGAGGCATTTGCATTTCTCAGTTACATTGAGTTTTAACATGGCCTTAAATTATTCCAGTGGGTCTAGATCATTAAGATGCAGCAGGTTTTGCCACCAGTATCAATGTATAACACAGGGCTGTACACTAAAGGGCACTGTTATTATTTCTGGAAATACTATGTGTCTCTTAAAACATTTCAGATTAAACATAGCATGAATACAACACAAGGGCAAACTGAAGAATGTTTAATCATCATGGTGTATTTATTCTTTTTAGGCTTTGAATTGACGGTGTGGATTTTAGCATTTTATCCAATCTAAATCCATTATCGAATCTGCTAATCAGAATCGTTTTAGACCTCTTAGAGCCTGTCCAGTGGGGCTAATAAGTCATCGTTTTGGGAAAAATCAGTTTTCGCCATCCAGACGACTCCGGGCAATCCGGCCTTTTCTGATTTTTCCACTCTGGGACCGGTTTCCAAAAAATACCGTTTTCACACCCCGAAAACGCCATATCCGTCTGGACGCGAGGCCGATACGATAAAGTATTTATCCGGATTCTAAAAAAACGTATTTGTGTGGACGGCCCCTTAGTGAACCTATTTAGTAACTTTGAAAAGTTGAACGCTGAAGTTATCAGATAGAGGTTTCAGGTCCAGTTGTCCAGACAGCATTGGGTGACTCACTTCCACACTTTGGATAGACACGAGATAATCAGCTGTGTTAGAAAAAAAAGCCAAGTTTTGAGTGGCAGCCTAATTAATGCTTACAAGCAGCCGCTACCTAAATATAATTTTATATACAGCACATGGCAATATTTCCACATTGAATAGCAGCAGCCTACTGACTTTGGCACACATTGTTTTCAAAAGCAACATGCTCCAAATAGTGAAGGTCCTTATTTAGTATTCTTTTTTACACTGGGAGCTTTGCTAATAAGAGAACTTCATTTGCACCAGGGCACCCACACAGTTTTTCACACTTGCACACCCTAATTCTCACTCACATTTGCGAATAACAGCTGGCCAAGCAGAGATGGTACAGAAAAATGTAGTGATGATTGTGCTATAGTGTTCTGTCGGAATCTTTAGTGAGAAAGTTTGAGTCGGTTGTGTTAATTCGACAAAGTGACCATAACGGTCTGTTCCCTATCAATGCTAGATTGGTTGAAACAGATTGACAGTGAAGCAAATGAGGGGTCACATAAATATACAATCACAGCAATAACATGAGGAGAACATTAGTAGAATTAAAGGTATGAAAACCATTAACAATCTAGAATGAAGCAAAGAGTGTGTAAATTACCGGCCATACTACCTACCCACTGACTTCTGTAGAAAGGTATGGAATTGGAACCTGTTCTATGATTGTAATACATGATGTGGAGTCCTGCTTATACCATTATATTTGTTCACATAAGGCTATTTAGCTAATTTTTTATTGTTACATAGACCAAAGTGTCTACCGTACAAATTCAATATAACTGAACTCATGAAAACCGATGGCATTGTAGCGTTATTACATTATATGGTAGACTCACAAATCGGACAATATGAAGTATGGAAAGTTTACATGCGTGTGTAACACATGAGTGTTAAAGTTAACAAGCTGCCCGCTGTCAGCAAAAGCCCACAAAGAGGACGTTGACAGACCTGGCTACTGTGCAGTGAACAAGGCTAATAACTGTGTTTTTTGTGTTTCAGCTGAACTGCTGTGGTAAAGGCCAGGGGACCTCTATACTGACACAATTTACAGATATAATCGGCGTGACCAACCTCTGCCCCAAATCTGATGTCACAATTGTAAGTGCGATCATTCATCTCTACTGTTTTACTTCCACTGTCGTGCGTACACGCATTGTAAGGTTGTGTTCACACTGGAGCTGGATGGAAGCAACACTTTTCTTTTTATGTTAATTTGAGTAGGTCACATTTAGTGAAGGAATTATGTGATTTTGTTTTTCAGTCGATACAATAACCGGTAATTACCCACTTCTAATAGCTGATACTGATAAAACCATAATTTCACATTCATCACCTGTAGTTTATGCACACCTGAGAGTAAGGAAGGCTGAGATACAGTGAGCAAAGATGGGTGATGTATTATTCCATATCAAATCTAACTGACATCACTGTTAGTAGTAACAACAACAACAACAACTTCTGACTCTTCAAATGTAAATGTATTGTTCAAACATACTTTGGTTTTCATGGAAAATAAATTTTATCAATAGTTTTGCAAAAGAGTTGAAAATAAATGATTATGGACCAATCATTAATCAACTGTAATTTCTAATAATATAAATATCCCATTATTGACAGATCAGTCATCGGACCTGAGAATCATTGAGCACACCTAGTTACATTTCAGATCAAATATTAAAGTTAAAACCTGAATATGTATCACCACCTCATCAGTCTAATGTCTCTCTACCTTTCCATTGGGATCCCTTGGAGTTGCCTGATATGCAAACAGGAGAGGAATGGAAATGTTCATATTTTTACATATTTAGAATGAATGAATGTACACCATACCCGTATACACATGACACCTTGACAGCTCTCAAGAGTCATTTAGATTCTCAGAAGAACTGACCTTCCACACGGCAGACATCTTGTATCAATCATCTCATTAGTCCTGTTTGATCAAAGTCAAAATGTCTGCTATGAGGAGGGTGAGTGGGGTCAGGTGCTGGAAAAGGTTGGGAAACATGAATGGAGTCATGGAATCATTCCAACAACATTTGTGAGGGCTGGAGCCAGAAGTCTAGAGTGTAAAATCTTAGTTGAAACATGAGGGGAAAGTTGTCTGCATTCAGAGTTGTGCTGCTCTGGGGCCTTCACTTGATGTATTGGCAGCACATATTCACATTACTGAAATGACCTGAGTCCAATCTAACCCTGCAAGGTTCTTGTGTTCAGTTCTGTAGAACTGACATTTTCCACTGTATCTGGCCAATACTTTTTAAAAGAAGCACCATTCCAAAGAAATGAGGGGATAAAAAAAGCAGGTTTATTTTTAAGAAAAAGGTTGCATAATGTGACTGTGGGTGTTATCATAATAGACCAAATCCAAAGCACATGACAGCCTACTGTGAAATAAAATGTAATAATTTACAAGTTGTCATAAAATAATAATAGTAATAGTAATAATAGACAGTGGAAGGCTGTACACAGGCACAGCTATGGACAACTGCTAATCTCATCATTTCTGTAAGAATTAGTTTGGCAACCAATCATCCATACAGCCACACCACTAGCAAGGCTGCTATCATTCTTGTATTAATGCCAGTTATGTTCTGAAATAATAATTAATAATGTACCAATAATAACCTTTTCTATCATAAGACTAAACTATAAGCATTAGATAGTCTTGAGTTGACCATTCACTAAACACCTCACCTGAACATCGATTTTCCAATTATAGCTTAGCAATTGTAAGTCAGCTTTGCAGGCCTGTCAAGTTTTGTTTCCCTGCACGTCATCAGTGTGCATGGGGCTGTAGTACGAGTACGAATACTGAGACACATTCTCCTAAAAGAGACCTGGAGCTCAACTGGAAGTGGAATCATGGCTCTCTGCTTTCATGTGTCTGGTCCGGTCAGTGCAGTGTCGGCTAGCTTCCTGTGTTATAATTGTAAACTGCATATGTAATGTGTGAGAACAGAAAACCTGAAAGGTGTAGCAGCAGTAAGTAAGGGGATGGTCATTTTGCCGAACCCAACCTGGGCACTGGAACAACTGATGGAACAGTACTGAAATACTAATAAGCCAAAGTAAAATGTGGCACTGTGTTTCCCCCTTGACCTCCAACTCATCTCACAGGGCAATCAAGATGTCACTGCTGTTTTGAATCAGATATTAATTTTATGTTTGGATTGTTTTCCTTTGCAGAGTTGCCACCAAAGGATCCACGAATTGTTTTCAGATAAGATTTACCTGATTGGCATCGCCGCGCTGGTGGTTGCAGTTATTATGGTGAGAACATGGAAACTACACAAACATCAAACTTTTCAATAACACGTTGTATGTCTTCCTTGAATTCATCCAAAAGCATACAGAAGGTGCAGGCTATAACATGGGCATATTGCGTTCAGTAAATGTAGCTACATGCAGAAAGTGACAGCTGTCGCCATGACAACATTTAATCCTAAATCCATTTTATTTTCATTACCACCATATGGTTATGTAGTCATGGCAGTGGGTGTCTGTGTGTAGGTTAGGGGTCCTCATTCACTGTCTTCATGCAGTTCTAAATAGAACCTATAAATCCGATAATATGTTTAAATTAAATTCTGGTACCTAAAAGTATAATTTAATTATTTTCTCTCTCAATGCAAGAAAGTTATGTTACCATCATTGCATTTTATAAAAGAAAAGAGCTGACCAACAGATATTTCAATACTGCCAGGCATAAATGTGGCATCTTAAACAGGAGTAGACAGCTTATATATATCTTCATTTACTGAATCATTTCGGCTGTCTGAGCTGAAATGTGACCACCGCTCGAGGCAGGACAGAAAGCTTGCTCATGTTAGTACCTCTTCTATTATTTTTTATCAGAATCTTCTTAATTTAAATAAATAAATAAATGTAATTTAGTACTTTATTGCCAACTTAAAGCAGCTGCAAGGAACTGATTTTGTGTTGTTGTTGTGTTTCAAGGGGAATCTGACAGAATCCAACCCAGTGCCAGTGCGCATTCTATAGAAAACTATATAGAAATAGCCAGTCTTCTCTCTGATGGTCTTATGTATTTATGTAGTAGTATTATAGAGGCATCAGTATGATGAGTAAAAACCTACATTTAAGTAGGCTTGTATGGCTGCATGTGTTTAGATAACATTTAACGTGGTTTTATATTTCTTAATGTAAGTACTGAAAAAGGTTTTGCTGCTGTTGGTACTGTTTGTCCGTCTATTGGACATTTAGTAGGTTAAAGGATGATATGTTATTCTGTTATATTCTATATTCTAATTATTCTATTCGTGTTATTCTAAATCTTTATTGTTGTCAACAAATCCCACAAAAAGATCAAAACCAACAATGTGTTGTTCTGTCTCTCAATACTTTCTGACTCCCCAACCCTGTAAACACTAAACAGTGCTCTTGGTAGGGACTATTTACAGCAGTGGATTTAGGGAGCAGATGTACTCTGGAAAATTTAGAGAATACTTTTTCAGTCATTGAAAAACCTGGAAATTGACCAAATATCCTGGAAATACCTACACAACTCGACTGTTGGTAGAATAAACTGTATGATGCTTCAAATGTGTTTACCAGATGGAAAGTAGAACGGACTTACAGTGATCTTTCTGGCATTGAGTCTATTTTTTCCAGAGCTGCTAGTAAAATTCTACATGCATACAGCATCACAATACTTGTTGCTGTGATTGATAAATACATGCACAGTGATGTTAATTGTGTGTGCGACGAACACTTTAACTTTCTAAAAGATACATTTTCTTTGAAATAAAATAGATTCTACTTGATTTGAACTGTTACTAATGGGCTGTGGCCAAATGAATATAGTCGTTGTTAGGAAGAGCGGGAACCCTTAGTGAGCATTTCCGGTCGCAGTGTAAGAATATGAAATAACCCTTCGTCTTTGTGCCCTTCCTCCCAGATCTTCGAGATGATCTTCAGCATGGTGCTGTGCTGCGGCATCCGCAACAGCCCAGTGTACTAAAGCGTCCGGCTCCCAGCCTCCTCGCCATGAAGGAGGGACGACCTCGCAGTCCCCGCCTCATTCTTTTTATTTCCTTTTATAAGCAGGAAACGTCACATATATTGCTTGCTGGATTTAGTCAGCTCTCTGAGAAGAAAACCACCCTCCATTGAGCATTTTAATTACACTGTCAATGAATTTTTTGTTAGTCACAGATGCTGTTTTGCATATTTAACCACAGCTATCCTAACCTGATATGTAGATATTATACCACAGTGTCATACATGAGCGCCAGTCCCAGTGCTCTAATCCTTTAGTGATTTATTAGTTGTTTACTGCTTCCTTACCTATGAACATGCTATTATATTCTTTGTTTTATGAATGTTTTTCCACTGTTTTATGTATAAACTGTATATAAATATATATATTAACAGTGCTTTATGACTGCCTGAGCATGGATATTGTATAACAGTAGATCTTTCTCCTGTATTCTTCCTGCACTCTGCTTGTTTGTCTCGCCCTAGACTGAACCAGACGATAGTGCATATGAGCGCCACTAGTGTTGTGACTCACCACGCCTCTTAGAGGTGAACACACCTCTAGGAAAACACACAACAGACCGTTGTCTTGGTTCACATCCACAGCGCTGTGTGATGTCTACAGGAACTGACTAAAGAAGGAATCTCAGTTATTCATGGAAGCTGGAACCAAAGTCAGAGTGACCTGATGTCTGTCATTTTGGCTCAGTTAGGTTACTTGTTGATTTGTCTGTGGCTGTTTGTTGTTCATCACATGTCCAAAACTGTCTGAGTGCTCAGTTGCATGAAACATGACAGTATTTTCTTTAGATAGAAAGTTGCGTAAAGTTGAATTAAGTCTTGATTCAACTGTGCACTCATTTGTGGATGCAACTTGCTTAACACTATAAACCATCTTTCCCAAACCAGAGGAATTGAAATATGACCTACAGCATTTACACCATAAGCAAGTCAGCTGATATCTTCTGTGACTGACACCCCTGTTCTTCTCTGTGTCTGTGTATTGGTCGTATGCTGACCGTCCACACATGAGCCAACTGTCCCTGGTTGCTCAGCCCTGTCGGAAATTGACTGACTTGTAGAGGAAAGACACGAAACTCTGTAGCTAGTGCAACAGCAGAAAGAGCCTTGGTTTTGGTGTTCTGAATCTGGGGTGCCTTGTCTGGTTGAGTCTAGTCCCGTTTCATCTGGCTTAGTTGTGTCATTGTCCCACCGGCTTCACAGCCCATTAACCTTCCTCATTGTCACCATTCATGTCCTAGGTGTTCCCAGGGCAGGGCAAGAACAGGAGGAAAACAGCTCACCCAGTGGTTTGCACTAAGCGTTTTGCCCTCCTGCTTAGGAACAGTTTGAGCTAGTGTATTTGTGTGCACATATAGATCAAGGTGAACACCAGTTGCAATTGAGCCTAAGCCCCACCCCCTTTTGGAGCCTAATTTGCTGTACTGAGAGAGGCTACGTTCTAGCCTTGTCTGTGTTGAAACGATAACCACATTTTGAAGATGGTTAAAAGATAGAAGTGACATTTAGGCATCTCAAGTTAGCAAATGTTAGCAAAAAAAAAAAAAAAAAAAGTTGGCGTTTGGCTAACATTTGCTAATTTAAAATATGACTACGTGTCGCTTTCATCATGACGCTTTTTAAAAATGTGGTTGTCTTTTCAACATAGACGAGCCTAGCACATAGCATATCTCTAAGGAGGAAGTTGACCGAGGCTTGTTCAACTGTTATTGGAGAACAGAGCCAAAAGGGGCGGGACTTACTAAGGGTCAATTGCATCAAACTGCGAGTTTGCTGGAACTATTTTTCTCGGGGCGCAGTGACTTCTGGAGTCTTGTCACTGCGAAGGTTGCCAGATATCCAGGAGACACTCCTGTTAGCCGCTGCACCCGGCCAAGAAACAGTTCCAGCTTGTAGCACTCCGGTGTTGTTACGTTGGTCAGTTTCTCAGATTGATGTTTTTCAGGGCTGTTGTGTTGGGGTTTGTATTAGATTACACAAGTGTTTATAATTTTGCGTCTGCTCTCTTTAAGTCTGTTTTTTTTTAACCGCCTCAGGCTGATTGCAGTATTAATAGTTATAGTACACAGCAGCGCAGTCACAACAGCTACAGCGTTGGCCACAAATCAGTCTTAACTGCCTGCTGAAGTTCAGCCAATCAGAAAGCTTCCACCTGGCAACTGAACATGCTGTTCATTAAGTCCAGTGGTGTTTTTACTCCACCACACAGGCTTGAAAATATTTGTCCTGAGGTCTGTTCCTACTAGATCGCGTAACTGCACAGCACTGCAGCATCATAACCACTCACATTGAACCCTATCATCTCGTGTAACCTTACATGTTATCACAGCTTTTGTCACACAACTAAACCCTTGTCTTGTTAACATCTCATGCTTAAACTGAGAAACAGTAAAAGTATCTAGTAATATTTACAGCTCTGAAGTATTGTACTAATGAAAATCATGAAGGCTGTAGAAAGACAATGTATGCCTCTCTTTTTTTTTTTCTCGTATTGTGATATCTTTGTCTGGTACGTTGTCAAAAGGAGTCTGGACGGAAAGGGTGGAAGATTTTGTGGCAGTGCCGACTGAGGAAGTCACACCTTTTAATAGATCTGCTAGTTCCTCCCCACAATCATTAAGGAAAATATGACCACGCCTGTCAGTCCAGTACTCCCCAATGATGAGGGCATGTTGTCCACGTTGCTGCCTTTTGAATTTGGTAACTGACCCTCAGGACCCACTGCCACGTAAATCTCAACCCCTCTCTACTCTTGTAGACTTCGGTTTGCCCAAATATAAAGGGATTAAATGTATTTTACAAAAAAACGAGTGGTCTTCTAATGTGTATGATTAAAAGGATTAAAGAAAAAAATCTACTGGAAGGCTGAAGATCAACTGACTAGATGATGATTTTCACTAGAAAGGAATTATTTAAAGCCCCCCTCCAGTTAAAAATCTGTTTCTTCTTGTTCCCACAGTGTGCTGTTTGAATGATGTCTGTGCAGAGTTTGCCTATAGAAAGATGTTTTCACATTCATCTCCTGATCTGATTTTAAGGGGCTACGAGTATGATTTTAATGTGAAAATGATTTTTTTTTGCAGATAAAATATACTATATAATATTTGTATGTGTTGAAATACATGTCTGGAGGAGCGCTTCAATATTTTGTTAGTTTTAAATGCAACCTAAAAATACAGACAGATCTCCTGGATACCCAGTCCAACAGACTAACTGACTAAAACTAAACTGACCAAAGTTAAATTATAGTATTTTATTATCCATAAATGAAATTCTAAGTGGACTGCTAAAACATGCTCAGTCTGAGGCAGAAAGTCAGACTATGTCTCACTCTGTTTTACACTAAGAAACTGATTCATGCTTTGGTTTTCTTTATCTTGACTATTGCACTGCTCTTTTATCTCAATTATCTTCCTCAAAACCTCAGTGAATACACTTCAGCTTACACAAAATGCAGCTGCCACAAAGCAGTGAAAAGAAGCACATCACACCCACTTTAGCCTGCATTGGCTTCCTGTCTTTTAGAATTGATTCTCTATACCCAGTCGACTGCTGTCTCCGCTTATTGAACACTACAGAGTTACATGTGCCAGCAGGTAAGACAGAAGTACAGAGGCAGCTTTTTTTGTTGTTCTGCAACAAAACTGGAACAGGCTTTACACTGATTTAGATTTGTGTTATTCTACCCTCTTGTGTTGAACTTTAATGTCTCCCTCACTTCACCTTCCCCTCCCACGCGTGAAAGGATAAAATACAATTGGTGGAAAACACAAAAAAAAAGTCCTTATTCAGTGTTTGGTTTGTCCATTCTGGGCTACTGTAGAAACATGGCAGTTCAACATGGTGGACTCGATAAAAACAGCTCATTCTAAGGAAACAAAAACACAATGATTCTTATATTCAGGTGATTATATACTAATGAAAACATACTAATAAATATTATATTCCATTTCTGACAATAGATCCATCTCAAAGTTACACACTGGACCTTTAATATAATTTGTTGTACAGAACTTTAAGCTGCATATAAAAAAGACAGGGTACAAATAAAGTTTGTATAATGATTATTATCAAATGGAAACAATACAAGCTATAGGATTTTGAAAATAATTCAACATGCTAATTGCTTCTAATATTAATAGTAATTCAGTTTATTGAAAGGAAGCCCTGCCTCTAAAAAACAGCTTCAGTTGAGTGCAGAGGTCTTCACTCTGAGCAAGACCTTTCACAGTTGCCATGGTAAGGCGCAGCCTCACATCCATACAAAAGAGGGCCCTTTTCAGGCATTGAATACGCGCCATTGCAGCGATTCTCACACTTGTCTTAATTAAAGCTGCTCACGCTCACTTCTGGCAGTATGAATCCCCCGAGTGCAAACTGAGAGCAGAGCGTCACCATTTCAATTTGACCAGGAAGTGAAGGGTCACCCTGTTGGCACCCTCCTCCCTACTTTGAAAATAAGAGCTGGGACACTGGTGTTTCTAACCACCAGATGGAGACAAAGAGCAGTGTTTGTATTATCCATCATAAACTCCTAGTTTTTAAGTTATTATGGCAGAGTCATTTTGAGAGTCAATTTCATTTAAAGCTAGTTACTAGCTACCTCATAGCAGCCCTGTTAGCTTTGTGTTAACTCTATTTCTAGTGTAATTTTCTACACCATATGTAGTGTTTTCTTATTTCTTTACTTTTTCTGAATATTTTTAACAGAGAAAATTATTAGGACCATTATAAGAATGAGGCTCATTGTTTCTCCTGAGCAGAATAGTGCGTTCAGAAATCTAATGAGCTTGATTTAGGGTGGTTGGGTTTACTGTAGGAATCTGACTCTATGTGGGTCTGTGTATCATTCATTCATTCATTCATTCAATTACTCCATTCATTCTTTCATTTTTTGAGGGAATCAAAAAGCCTGTCCTCTACAAAAACATTGTCTCTGGCTATGATTGCTGTAGCGTGGATGGAAGGATGGATGTGAAGCAGAGAGAGAATAACTATTATAATATAATATTATAATAAAGGGGTTTTTAACCTGTTCTGCTCCGCTGTGAGTGGAAAAAGTGTCTTTATAGACTGATCTGATATGAAAACAGCAGTCTCCTCAACGTCTGGCTGCACTTGCTTGAAAATATTAAATTATTAACCATTTTAACATTTTTTTTAAATACAGGATTTTTTTCTTTCTAAAACTTCAAAGATTAAGTTTTTCTAATGAAGAATGGTCAATTATTATTAATTATTATTAGTGTAATTCAAAACTTAAGAATGAGTTTGACTTGACAAAAAAAAAGTTTGACAAAAAAAGACAGAGGACAGTCGCCTTTAAATTATGAGTATTCGCAACTGTGATTTTTTACAGTGCACATTCTTGGTTAAGCTTTCATCCAGCAGCAGCACAAGTAAGACTTTACCACCAGGGGGTGCCAGGTTCAAATAATTCACGCCCAACACCATGAGCTTTCAAAACAACTTTAGTAATTACTGACATAGATTCTCCGCATATGTGTAACTCTGCTGAACAACATTCTTCCAAAACAGATTCCTTCATCTGGTATACAGTTGTATATGTAAGTAATGGTTATACAGATTCAGATATATATTTCACATCTATTCAGATCAAACAAACATAAAAGTTTCAGAAAACTACATAGAAAGTGAAGCCACATGAGGTTCCTACAACAGGGATGAGGAACGTGGATTTAAATGATCTGTTTTTCCTTTTGATCTCTACAAGTGTGATCCATCACTCCACAGGAAATGCTGCCAAACAGCAGCGCTGAGGAGGAACTCCTACTCTACAAGCAGAATAAATTACCTCTCTATGTCAGAATTCTTAGGAACTCCAGGAAGTCCATGACAGCCCACGCAGTCATTGCTCAATAATTATTACTCTTAGAGGACTGTAAGACTGTTTTGCAGCCTTGTTCATTGACTTTACTACACAGAAATTCACACTGTTTAAAGTGGCAGTAGGTACATTTTATGATATTTTATTTGCTGATACTTTCACTATATCCTGACAGTAGTACAGGAGACAGGTAATCTGGGAAACAATCAGGTTCCTCAGGCTCCTCCTAGTGCTCCTAATGGTGTTTGCAAGAATCCGCCGGACCTGAAAACAACCAATCAGAGCTGAGAAAGATAGTTGATTGTTGAGTCTCATTCCGAGGTTCTCAAATGCAAATTTGGTGGCTTGAAGCTTTGGGACCAAAAACATCAGTATTTGTCAACCTGGGAATGAGACTCAACGATCAACTATCTTTCTTGGCTATGATTGGTTGTTTTCGTTCAATTCTTGCAAATCCCATTAGGAACACTCTGAACCAGCTTTTTTTCACAGATAATCTGTCTCCTCTACTACTGTCAGGATATAGTGAAGGTTTCAGCAAATATTACAAAACGTTATTTTCATATAAATTACCTACTGCAGCTTTAAATACCAGATCTAAAAAAAACTGAAAACTGTTGCCCTCTACCATTTGGAGCTGGCAGGTGAAGTTATAATGAAGATTCAAGATGGATATATCATAACCTCCTGTTTCAAAGCATAACAAAGGTTACGTGTACTTGTGTAAGTCTATCATCAAAATGCCTTAGAGACTCTGCAAGGAGTCCACCACCAGATTCCCTCAGATTTCCCCTCCTCTCCCCATCACCTGACTGCCCCACCCATCTACCCACCTGTTCCCACTTCCCTCATCTGCTCTGCAGCTGCCTGAAAGTCCCCACTCACCCCCTCACCTGCATCTCATTCCCTCATTGGCACTGTAGATATTTAACCGGCCCTTTTTCCACTTATTCCCTGCCAGTTTGTCCAAGCTGCAGTGTTTCTGTCTTGCCTTGTGTCATTGCTTTCAAGCGTCTGTTACCTCAACCTGAACCTTTGTGGGGAAGCTGTGTCTGGTAAGCGGATGTTTGTTTGCATCCTGGTTCCCCCAGTCCAGTCAAAGTGTCCATGGGGAAGAAACTGAACCCCAAATTGCTTTGCAGTTGGTGTGTGTGTGAGTCAATGGGTGAGCTTACTATCATTGTGAATGTTTTGGAAAGGAAGTGCTGTATGTATCTATTTCAGTGCAAATAAAATAAGCAAGATTCCACAGAAACTGATTGGGAAGTTGAGAGTAGAGTAGGACCCTCTAAGATTAATTATAGCTGCAGTAGGTACCTTTAGAAACTTTCACTATATCCTGACAGTAGAACATGAAACAGATAATTTGTGAAACAATCAGGTTCCTCTGGCTCCAAGTCTTTTTTTTTTAAACTTTTTTTTTTTTTTATTGTTCTAAAAGTTACCTACTGCAGAGACAAACAAATAAATAAATGAAAGGAATAGTTAGTATTTTGTTAGTATATTTCTTGCCAACAAATTATATTTGTTCTGTTGACCTTTGGACTCACCAGGGTTAGATATTTCCAGTCTTTATACAAAGCTAATCTAACTCTTCGCAAGAAACAAATTCCGAATTGTCGCATTATTTCTGTACCTGCACCCCACATCACAAAGCATTAACTACATGATATTTTCCATAAGTCAGGGTTCAGTGAATGAATGCATTTTTTTGATAGAACATGACATCAATCAACATTTGGCTAGCGTATAAAGTTGTTCCTGGGTACAAAATCATATCACAAGTTCTGATTTTTAAAAGGGAAGATATGGTTGCCTCAGCTTTTGAGTAAAGTATGAATACAGACCTTTCCCACTAAATGCCATATGGTTGACCATCCAGGTTTACTTACAGTATCTAAACACTTAAATCAGACAGGAGGGCTTATCTGACTCTCATGACCAACCTTGGCTTTTTATACCCATAGACAATTGGATCCAGGTGAGTTTCTACAGTGCATGTGGTGCTAGGAATGTCTTTGAAGCTACACACCCTAGAACCCATTCTTTGGCAGACGCACTGATAATGCATGTCAAGTGACTTATGCAAGCAAATTAGGACTAGGGCTTTTCATTCACACAAAAACACAAACTGATGTGGCCAACAAAGCACAGCTCTCTATCAAACAAAGTTGTATTTACAGATGTGGTATGTGATGGGTAGTGACTGACATCAGAACCAGCAAAATGTTGATGTTGTACCTTTTGCCAGGTTGAGAGAAAAGTAACACACAATCTAGGTGAACTGATTATTTTGTATATATCTTCTTCTTTTCCAAAAATTATCTGATTATATTTCATGATCAAGAGATTTGTTACGATACAGTATGTTTCAAATGGAAAAAACTGCATTCTTTAAGTGAAACAATGTTATATTCCCATTCTTGATTGTGTGAACAGTATTGTCTCGTGTTTCTCATTGACATCAAATCCAGACAAAAATGTGCATGTTGTTGCTTTGTCTTTCAATAAACTGTGTTAGCTAGCATGTGTGACGGGTCACAACTGTATGTGCTTCTACACATCACAGGCAGCCAGGTGGATTACAGGGTTCTTTATTGCACAGTACTTTCCTTATCGCTCTGTACCACAGTACGACAGTGGTATGTCAATCAGCATTGGTCTCAGGATAACAGTCTGAATAAAACATGGAACAGGTGCAAATAATTATGCTAGGTTAACACTGACAATGTACGTTTCAGTAAGTCTCTAAAATATCATTTTAAAGACTAGATAGCTTATAGTCTGGGCTCAAGACAGTTAGCTAAAGTCAATATATGTACATTACATGGTAAAATACAAAGTATGAACATTTGGAATCTCACAAAATTATTAATTATCCCAGACCATGCGAGAGAACGTGACCTACCACAGTGCATTCCGTATCACTCCGTGTAGCTCCATAAACGCCAACCCACAATGTCATGGCTACTGCCGTGCCAGTAGATGGCACTGTTGCCCCACTTTTGCCATAATTAAACCAAGTATATTCTACTCCGTTACATACGCCTTAAATTATGCCAAATAGGGGCAACATACACAAAGAGCAAAACCAAGAGCAAAAAAAAAATGACAGTAGGACAGAAAAAAAAACTTTCGAGCACTGATGTACGAAAGTGTGTAACGACAGGATGGCACCAAAACCCATACTTATCACAGACAAACAGAGATGCCATTTACATCTCACACACTTGTCATACTTCGCCCTATTAGTGTAGAGAATCTCATACTCCCAAATCATCATCAACAAGACTGATAATAAAAAAAAACAAAAGGGTGCAACTTGTCACCAAATCTCATCATTTGCACTACACACACATCGACGCTGCAATGACACTAAACACAGACCCCATCACAGGTTCATTATTCCCCACAAGTCTCTGGCCTGCCATCTCACAAATAAGCCTGTTTGGAGGCTTAACGCTCCTCCCAAATCTTGTGAAAACTGAAGGGGCTTGTGTGGTTTGTGGATATGTGCAAACAACCTCCTCTAGCTCAACCTCAACTGGAGTGAGAGGATCACCTAAGGCTACAAGTACATCGACAGGCAAGTGTGCTGTGTCACGTACCGGGTCTGATGATGAGTCGGTCTGTGCATGAGTGATGTGGACATGTTCAGAATCATCAGGAACACTGTCTGGCGATTCATCCAACTGGTTCCTTTCCATGACATCCACTATCAAGGCATCGTCAAGGCCAACTCCCCAAGGAACACTCTCACTCTCTGCTTCCACTTGGGCTGGCGACCGTATGAGCCAGTTCATGGTGCGTGCTCGAGTATCCTCTTCATTATCCATGATGGAGCTCTGAGCACTCCTGTGTGACGCATCAGACCCTCCAATTCAATTCAATTCAATTCAATTCAATTTTATTTGTATAGCGCCAATTCATAACAGATGGTAGCTCAGGACACTTTTCAAATAGAGCAGGTCTAGACCGAACTCTTTAACATTAATTACAGAGACCCAACAGTACCACCATGAGCAAGCACTTGGCGACAAGGGAAAGAAAAACTGCCTGTTAAAAGGCAGAAACCTAGGAAATCCTCCGGCTCCAGAGGCTGCTTGGTTTCCATCTTGCTCAGGAAAAGCCAGAAAATCAACTGGGAGCAGCATGTTCCTGTGCACAACCTTCTCTTTTCCTGTGACGCTATCTCGGATCCTGTACACGTTGATTCCGGATCTCACAGACACCACATCAAAAGGGGTTGAGTCCCACCAGTCTGCAACCTTCTTCTTGCCTCTCTCACCTCAATTGGCTAGCAGCACCCTGTCACCCACAGTCAACGGCAATCCTCTGACCCTGCGACTGTAGATCTCTGCGTGACAGGCTTGCTCTCCAAGGGCATGCTGCTGAGCAATCTGCGCGGCCTCAGAGAGATCTCTCCTCAGATGGTATACAAACTCATGGTGGCTGACGACGCCAGCATCCTCCAGGACATGATGGAACATGACATCGACAGGCAAGTGCGGGACCCACCCAAACATTAAGTAAAACGGTGCAAAGCCTGTGGTCTCGTGCACCGTGCAGTTATAGCAGAAGGTCAACATCTGGAGCATCTGCAGCCACTTGGATTTGCACTTCGGGGGGAGAGTCCTTATCATGCCTCCAAGAGTTCTGTTGAACCTTTCTGTGATGCCGTTGCCCATGTGATGATACGGTGTTGTATGGGACTTATGCACACCCATCATCTCAAGTAGATCTTTGAATGAGCCTGCTCTCAAAGTTAGCTCCCTGATCTGATTGGATCCTTTTGGGGAACCCGTAGATGCAGAAAAACTTGTCCCATAAGCAGCGGGCAACTTGTTTCGCAGATTGGTTTCTACAGGGAAAGGCGAGAGCCAGTTTGGAGAAATGGTCTGTTACAACAAGGACATCAGTAGTCGTCTTATCACTCGTCTCCGCTGTCCAAAAATCAATGCACACTAGCTCCATAGGAGCTGAAGTGCGAATGATCTCAAGAGGAGCTTGATCAGTTGGTTCAGGAGTCTTCCCTAAGATGCACTTCACAATATCCTTCTCCATGCCTGTCCAGAAGAATCGTGCACTGGCCAGAGAGAGAGTCCTTGAACGGCCCTGGTGACCAGCTGCATCGTGAACACTGTGCAGGACTCGTTGTTTCAGAGACTCTGGTATGACAAACTGAAAGATCTTTCTGTTCATGCGACGGTCACTCTTCACTCTGTAGAGTTGTGCACCTTCAACTTCTCCCAGTGCTTCAACAGCCTGAGTACACAGCTCGACTCAGTTACCCATTCATGTGCGTTCGGCCTCCTATGCCGCTGAACATAGAAGAGAACTCTGCTCACTGCAGCATCCTGCTGCTGTAGATTGGTCAATTAACTGTGCGGGAGGACAATGGAGGGGTCTTCCTCAGGCAGTTGCAGTGACATAGGGCTCGCGCCAGACAGTCAAGAGACACCACCAGTGCGATGGACATCCAAGACTGCCAACACCTCCTCAGCACAGATGGCAACTCCAGACGGCAGACAGAAATCTTGTTCTGGACTAAGGTCTCCATCAGCATGGCTTTCAGCGGTCTGTACAGCTTGACAGTTGGTGGTCAGTCAGAAGGCATCCTGTACTGTTCCAGTAACAACTCCATTGACCTCATCCAACAAAGACAGATGAGGTTCTTTCACCAGACGATGGCTTACGCTGGACCGGACAAAAGGTTCATGGCTCAGGGCATCAGCGACGGTGTTCTTGGGCCCTGGGACATACTTCATGTCAAAGTCATACGCCGCAAGCTTCGCCACCCATCTTTGTTCGCATGCATCCAACCTGGGCTTTGTTAGAATGTAGGTCAAGGGGTTGTTGTCAGACTATGCAGTGAAATGCCTTCCTTTGAGCCAGTGGGGGAACTTGTCACATATGGCCCACTTTAAAGCGAGAAATTCTAGCATGTGAGCTGGGTAGTTCAACTGGGCTCGTGACAGTGTTTTGCTGGCGAAGGCGACTGGCCTCCCAGGCTGAAGCTGGGAAAGGACAGCTCCAATCCCATCAAACAAAGCGT